ATGAGTAAGCGACTTCTACATTATTCAAACACGTTTTTTCGTCGAATTTCTGGATATTTCCTTGGAGTTTTGCGAGGGAAATCGGCTAATAATTGTCTAGAGTAAAAAGTTGGCTCTGGTTGGCGTAATTTGTCGTTGAGCAGCAGATGTGCGAACTTTTTGCCGGCAACTTCCCACTGAGTGAGTTGGCTGGCAGCGCGCTATCTTCTTCTCGACACTTTCCGTGTGTCATTTTATATTTCAATGGCAACTTTTCCGTCTTTCCGCTGCCCAAAACGCGTGTGGGCGTCATGCCATTATGCCACATTATGCAAAGGTCAAAAGTTAGCGGCTGTTGTCTTCCATTTTTTTCGTGCATGGAAATAGTGTTTTGAAAATTAATAATTTTTCCCTGACCGTTTTATGAAATTTAGAAATATTTCAAGAACTAACCCAAAAATTATAAAAAGAAATAATTTATCCCTGCTTAACTTTTCAATAAACTTATAGAAATATTAATTGCATTTATTTTTTTAATCTATTAAAAAGACGATTTTTCCATAAATTAAGAGAGTTTATGCATATTTTGATGTATTTTTTATTTTGTGGCATAAAAGTAAATTAAAAATCAACTTATTAAATTTTATCCTCGTTTCTTTAATAAAAAATTCATGCCAAATTAATGCCGAAATATACGTGTATAAAGTTAACTAGTGGCCAACTTTCCGCGTTTTCCATTTAATTTACACTTCCGTAAACACTGGTGCGTAAAATGAATTTGTCGCGTGGACACTCGAAAAAAGATAGTGGCCGCCAAGAGAGAAAGGTTGAGGTGTTTCCACAGCATTTTATCAGATCCGGTCGGCACGCGAGTAAATTATATTTTAATTATATAATATAATGTAAAGCGCGCGAGACTCGTATAAACGCGGCCAGCGTGCAACGGACAAAAGCGTTCTCACCCGAACCACGTGGTCTGAGGGTGCTTTTGCAGCAGAGGGCGGCGCGGAGGCGCAAATAACTCTCTCTGACCGCAAAAAGAGCAAGTCTGCGGCCACCCATCGCATTATTGTAGCAACAATGGCAAATTTGCCACCGGAGCAAAAGTATCGGGCCCATGAGAAGTATCAAGAGCGGAGGACGAGAGGCGTTCTGCAAGGGTGGGCGGAGGGGGTGGATCGATGCTTGCAGCCCCTGCTGGTGGCGCCCCCCGTGTGGCTCGCGAACGTCTTCCTGATTTAATTAGATTGGCAATCACCAAATGGCTTGCGATAATCGACGCGCCCGAATATTCAATGCATTGTTCGCCTGTACGGATTAAGAAAACGTGAATTCATTTTTCCCCGCCTTTGACAATGCTTAAAGGTTAAACGCAACCCGCATTTTACAGCAAATCCAGTGCAGTCCTTTGCTTGAATAAATTATTTTGAGATTTCCCTCATTTTTACGGCTTATTTTTTTGTTTTTAAAATAAAAAAATTCCCCATTGGAACAAGAGAATTTTTGTATTCTTTTGATTTTAAAACAATCATTTTCTATTTTATCTAAAAAATTTGCATAGCGTAAGATTGATTTCACATGCATTTTTTAATGTAGCAAACACCACAAGCGTAAATAATAATCTTATAAAATTTTCTTTAGGAACACAATTTTTATTCAAATTCCAACAATCTAAATTTCCTTCTAATAAAGCAAAACCAGCATTTTTTTTTTTTAATTACATGTTATCGACCTTTCAGTAACTATTGCACCAACTTTCAAAATTGCGCTCAAGGAAAACAAACACGACATATAAAACTAACAAAAGGCACAAAGTTAAAAGAAAAACATCAATATTCGCGGTTGTTTGCAAATGGAAGCAAATATGAGGAGACAGTCAGATCAATAATCTAGATACAAAACAGCAAAGCCACTCGGCACGAAAACGCCTCATTAAAGCTAACATTGCAAATTCAACGCAATTCTAAGATCGCTAGTACAAAATATAAATTTTGCAAGGGTTGATAGGCCATTGCACCCTCCGCAGTGTGGACGAGAACGGCGAGGCCCGTTTGGGCTGGGACTGGAAATTGACCGTCCGAGGCCAAACAGCCCCGCCGTGAAAAGGGAAGGGGGCCGCCCCCCGTCAGAGGCGGCTCGAGGGCCCACAGGACGGCATGGGCCAGGGGGCAGCCAAGATGGCGGCGGCGCGATCGATGCAGTTGACAAAGGGCAAGATGGCGGCGGGCCCGGTCGATGGCCGGGCGGTGGGTCTCGGCGTGGGCCGTCCGAGGAGGGGCGCAGTCGCGGCGGGGGCCGACGGGGCCCTCAGGTCGCAGGGCGAGAGGTGCCGGCAGGCGTTTGTTGAAATAGTTGGGGCGAGGTTATGTCCCGTCCCACCAGTAACCTGAGTTCAGTACTGCTGTGACAGGACAATATCTCGTCCAACCGGGGGCGGCCCTGGGCCGGGGGCCGCGGCTCTTCGGCCGCCGCCGACACTGCCTTCGCTTGCGCGTCCCACGAGCGACTGACGGGTGTGCGCTCTGACGGGGGGATGCTGAAGCACCGCCCCACCCTATTGATCGGCCAACCCCCACCACGCCATTGTTGCGATCGATGCCAACAATGGGCGCAGCTGCCCCCTCCGGCCCCGAGTCGCCCCTCGCGCCGAACGTTCGTTGAAGAAGAAGAAGAAGGGAGGCGAACGCGCGATGCAACCGACACTTCTTTCTTTTCTCTTTGCACCCCTTGCAAGATTTGCTTGCAGCTCGCCAGGATTTTGTATCGCCGCCACCTGGTCTAGCTGCTGCCGCGCATGGGGATGATGCACACTCTTTATTTTTTTTTTTGCCCTCTTTTGTGCCCCGCTTTTTTCTCTCTCCATTCTTTCTTTCTTCTTTTCGCTCGCTCGCGCCGTCTGCCCAGGAGAAGAGGAGGGAAGGAAGTATTATGTAAATCGGGCCGGATCAAACGGTAGAAAATGTGCTAATACACGCGGAGAGCGCATATGCACTTATTTACCTGGTAACCAAGCAGCGGCAGCTGAAAGTGAGAACAAGCTGCGTGATCATCGAGCATTTTCAACTGCCGACGGACTTGAAATTGCTCATAAAGAAAAAATATAACTGTAATCTAAACAAAACCGGCAAAAAAATTCACAAGAAAATAATTTTTATTTTGAAATTAAATAATATCATGAAAATTCTTGTAATATATTTTTTTTTAAATTGAAATTAATTTTTTTTTAATTTTTACTTCATTATAAATTGTGCTTATATACTTTTTGCTATAGCTGTTTTACTATTTGAAGCTAAATCAATTAAACTTTCCAAATTTTCAATCTTAACTTCAATTAGCTTGTTTTTTAAGTTTTTATTTTTAATTGTATTTTGCACTTTTTGAAGAGACAAAGAAACGAGCATTGCAGTGCAAATTTGCGCAGTGCGGGCTTCGCCAATAAGTCATGGTTTCCAGTTGGAATTTTTTAATATAATTCGCTCGCTTGACCATCCTTGCAAATCAGGCGTTGCAAATCTTCCTATCGCTACAGTCGCAGTAACACATGGCGATGCACGTTGGCATAGTGATTATTATATGGGTGAGCCGCATCATAAATCAAATTGAACGCAAACGCCAGACTGTACAACACGTACAAGCATCAGCTGGCCGGACAAATGGATAAATAGCTGCGACGCGCGAAACGAAACAATTTCCCTGAAGAAACAACCGCCAAAAGATACAAGTTGCGCAAGGGGAGCAGCTCTCACCGTCTACTTTTCTATTGTGCCCCGATTCCCTCCAGCACATAACAATGCAGCTTGATGGCACGTCACAGCTTACAAAAAAAATGAGTTGAGCCGCACCTGGACTATATATCGTGGGGCCGAGAAAAGTAACTTTGATTGCGATCAGCCAAGTTCAATCAAATGAATACAAATAAAAATTCTTTGAAAATATAAAGCATTGACTTCGATGAAGGTCAGGTATAATGATAATAAATTGCGAAACGGTAAATTATTTCATTGCATGATACATTTTTTTTTATTTGCTTGACAGCGATACATGATCGTAATATTTTTTATTTATTTATCTCCTACACATCAAGATATTTCATACTAACTTAAAACGTAGCGCTTCAGTTCCATTTTACTTCTGATTGATTTCCTCCAGAAGTTTTTGTAGCTCAGGATTTGGCTTCACCTCCTGCTTGAAACGGAACACCTGGAAAATTTCAAATAGAAATTATTTTAAATAAAAAATTGTGATCGTAAACTCACCTTGGCGTACCGAGGTTCTGCGAGATTAAGCTTATCGCAGTCTGCTTTCTGACCCACGAATCTGTGAATTACAAGCACCATTATCAGCACAATTATCAAATTGCGATAAGTGTAATTGTTTGTCTCGTCTAAAGCGCGTTTGAGTGTAACGGTTGTCAATTAACGGCGATTTTTGTTCTCGCGTCGCCCGACGAAAAATTCTGTTAGTTTCGCACGCAGCATCAAAAGTGGTTTGCGTGTCGCGCTTTGCAAATCAAATTGGGATCAAAGCGGAGGCGAAAATTAGATTTGGTTGACAAATGCAGCAGCCGGGAAGCGATTCGACGCCGCCAATAAACGTCAATTTGCGCGGCAAACTGATTTTGCGTTGAGAGACGGGAATGCAGACGAGGCGGAAGCCGCGTGTCATTTGGAACGCGACGAGATCAAAGGGGTCGCAATAAACGAACTTACTGAACGTCCAGCTTCTTTGTGGCGAAGTAAATTGTTGCAGAGGAGGCAAAGACCATAACGCCACCGACTATCACCACAATCGGCACAATCTGGAAAAAAAGAGGATAAATTAATTATAATAAAGTACAAATAAAAATGTGCAGGAAAATAATTAATATGAAAATATTAAAAATGTATATTTAAGTGAGTCGCAAATTATGACAAAGAAAAATATTTAAAATGTAGTCGGCCCAATAAAACCCCCAGTATTGAATAAATTCCTTTAATTTTAGTTGAAGTTTATTTTAAAAATTTGCTCTTGTTTTGTTTCAGCTTGGAATGGAGGGAATCGTGAACGGCGTGGTTGGTGCCAGCCCCATGATGGTGAACGGCAGCGAAAACGCGACCCTGAACGGCGGGGGCGGCAGCCAGGGCGGCTCGTCGGGCCGCTCGACGCCCAGTGGGGGCAGCTCAAGCGAGCCGGCCCCCGGCAAGTTGTTCGTCGGCGGACTCAGCTGGCAAACGTCAGCTGAGAAGCTGCGCGAGTATTTCGGCCAGTTCGGCAAAGTGACCGACGTTCTGGTCATGAAGGACCCCGTCACCCAGGTGAATACCCGCCGTTCTTGCCCAGCGCCACTGCTGCCGACAAAACCAAAGAACGAACGAACGAACGAACGAACAGGCCGGTTAGGTAAAACAGCCAGCGCGTGAGTGTGCTCGGTTGGACTTGGTTGGCACCTAGGTTGGAAGTAGCAGTGGGCATCTCTTCTTTTGGTTGATTGATTGATTGATTAATTAATTAAATATTATTGTCGGACCATCAGTACTTCTTGATTAACACCCCCTTCCAACGCACGCGGCGCCTCATGCTGGTGACACTGCAGCCGGCCATTGATTAATTTAATTGGGCTACTCGTATAAAAATTGCAGTTGTGACTAGATTTGGAATGTGCGAAATGTGTCACCAGCTCCCAAGTGCCCTATGCAAGCTCGAGTTATATATATTTAAGTATTTTGCGTAACATTTTGTCCCCCATATAAAATATATTATATACTTTGATTAAAATTGGAATTAATTGTGATTAGAAGTTTTGATTAAAACTTGGTCTACTGATCACTGGTTGGTTTGCATGTTGCCAAGCTCAAGAGCAGGCTGTAAATACGATCGTCGTTCTACGAACTAGGTCCAGATCTAAATTAAGCAGCAGTCAGGCCAGGCTAATTATTGTTACTTTGATTATTGGCGCTGTAATTTATTACATGCCTAAGCGGTGCATTGATTACACTACTTAATTGCTGTTGTAATTATGGGTATTTACTATTATATCATTTAACAATATATTGAGTTCAGTTGTGGCATTCATTTCAACAGTAATTTATTTGCATTACTTGGTGCGTTTGAATTTTATTGAACATTTTATTATTTCCAATTAACTTTCTCGATTTTGTATTTGGTAGTGCTATTTGTCAACAAAATTACACGTTTTGGGGCATAATCGAGGCTGGTGCGGAGATTTTTCAAACCACACACAAAACACTGGTTTTCCGTCGCGCCCAGCCTCAAAAAGTAGAGTAATGATTTTTTCTGATCTTTCAATATGTCACACACATACACGCATTTTCCTTATATTTGATTAGATCAAAAACTTGACTATATACATTGCCAACTATAAATTTTATTAATTGATGGTATTCATTAGTTTGTAATTTTTTGGTGTTCAAACACACACATCTCTAGCAGAAATTTTCCACAATTAATAACATTGAATGACAAAAAATTATATATGAAATTCAACAAAATTGTGGAAAGTTTTTGCAGAGCACCACACTTTTCAATAGGCCTCTGCCTTGCCTGTGTGGTCCTCTAACTTTGCCCTTAGAATTTAATTGAATTTGTGATTTTCAGTTGATTGCAACATTGTTTTGTCTTTGCAGAGGAGCCGCGGCTTTGGCTTCATCACATTCAGTGAGCCTTCGACAGTGCAGAAGGTTCTGAAGGAACCGGAACACACTCTGGACGGCAAGAAAATTGACCCCAAACACGCAACCCCCAAGAGCAAGGGCGGCCGCCCCAACAAGACAAAGAAAATCTTTGTCGGCGGGGTGAGCCAGGAGACGTCAGCCGACGAGGTCAAAGCCTATTTCAGTCAGTTCGGACGTGTCGAGGAGGCTGTCATGCTGATGGACCAGCAGACCAAGAGACACCGCGGCTTCGGCTTCGTCACTTTCGAGTGCGAAGACGTGGTAAGTAATTTTTTCATGATCAAGATCGAATTCCTCAAATTTAATTATTACAGGTGGACCGTGTGTGCGACATTCACTTCCACACAATCAAGAACAAGAAAGTGGAATGCAAGAAGGCTCAGCCCAAAGAGGCTGCAGCGGCCGCTGCTGCTGCTGCCGCGGTTGCCGCGGCACCTCTGGTGCTCCCATCGGCTGGTGGAATGCAAGTGGGCGGCTATCAGGCCCCAGTGGCCGCTGCCCTCAAGCGTGCACAAGTGCTGACAGCCACTCAGTTCCAACAACATCAGGCAGCACAGGTAGATAAAAATTGACATGAATTAATTAATTAAAAAGAAATTACAAAAAAAAGACAAAAAATTCTACAAAATTTTGGTTTCATACAAAAAAAGTCAAATTAAATAACAAAACGTAAAATAGTTTTCAATTTGGAATTATTAACTTGAATATTCAACCAAAAATTAATTTTAATCCAATCCAATTCCGATTTTTTTCTCATCATTGTTATTTTTATTTTTAATTTTAAAAAAATGTGAATAATTTAGGTTCAGGCGGCCATGGCTGCTGCTGCTTACAACAAGTTCCTGAACCCGGCATACCATCTTGGCTACCACCACCGATATGCCCCGTACCCCCTGCCAGTGGCCTCGATCGCTGCAGCGGCCGCAGCCCAGCAGTCTCCGAATCAACCGCAGGCTGCACTGGCTCAGGCTCCGACGGCCATGCCCCAAGCGCCCAACCAGGCGGCTGCGGCCGCGGGCAACCCTTATCAGGGCTACTCGCTGACCAACGTGGACATGTCAAGCTTCCAGGGCGTGGACTGGGGCTCGATGTACGGCATGGGCATGTACGTGTAGACTGAAGCCTTGCTCACACTCCCACTCTGCAGTTCTGTCTGTGTAACAAATTCAATCTCAAATCTCTCTCTCACCCCCGAGGCACCAAAAACTCATTTGTTTCTCATGTAACCGCGAGACTGATCGGAAAGTGAGACAAAAAAATCGCGCGCGAAGAGATATGTTAATTTTGTACAACACCAAAGTGGAACTTCAGTATAATTTGTGCTCTTTGCAAGCAAGCAGGTATTCAAGTGAAAATAATTTAAAGCAATCTCAATTTATGCAAGCATGGCTACTGAGACAGTTGCTTTTTCCCTCTTAAGTTAATCCTGTTATATTTATCTCATGTTCGTTCCGAAATTCTGACATTGGAATGTCTTTTGTTTTGAACAAAAATTGTTTTTTGTTACTATTCATCTCTTTCCCTCCCTTTAGTCTCAAAGTATGCTTTGCAAGCTTGTTGATGTAATAAATATTTTGCTGAGTTGTGGATTTGTTTATGAAAATTTTTGCGCCAGACCTGGACAAAATACTCAAAACATATGTCGTAAGAAGCTAAATTGCTCAAAATCCACATGTTGTGACTTGGCAAAATATTAACCGAATACTCACTTTTGACTCGCTTACAAAATATTGAAAAATATAAAATTGAAGGCAGCTTGTAAATTAATGAATAACTAGTGAATTAAGTGAAAAGTGCTGATCAGGGGAGGCCATTGACGGACATTGACCACACTTTTGCTCACCAACCGGCATTTCCTCATGTGTTTAGGCTACCAAGTTAGCCAGCTTTTGTAAATAGACCTCGATTCCAAAGCGCTGGGGCAGCTCTTTTGGCTAGCCCTGTTGTAAATACTGGATTTTACGAATAGCCAGCCGGCCTCCCTTGGATAAGAACTTGCCGAGAGATAGCGAGAGCAAATAAAAGGTGTCTCGGGTGGGCAGCTAACGAAAGAAGAAAATTAAGAGGCGATTGAGAATCGCCGCCGAGGACCACGAAACAAACTCACTTGTCACTCAGAGGGCCAAATTAGCTAGCAATAACCTAGGCTAGGTCCTAGCGCGATCTCTTCAATTGAAAAAGAAACGTGTTTTCCTCCACCTCTCTAGTCCGAAGATTGCCAAGTACCCTTGTTCACCCCTCACTCACTCACTCACTTACCCAGCCACCACCACATTCCTAGCTCATCGCTTGGAGGAGTTGCAGTGCAGATCAGCTGACTGCTCGTGATGCGACATGACCAACGATCATTAAATAGAATTGTAATTGTAAAAATTAAAGTAGCGCGATTAACTCGTTTAATGTGTAAGTTCAACTAATTTATTTACTACGCTAGCCTGTAAAGACTAATGATTAAGCAAGTTTCTTGAACACGAAAACAAAAAAACAATGTTGAGGAGGCGTTCATTTTCTGTGGAGAAAAGAGGGCCGCCCTGTCTCGCAACCGGCGCTGCTTGTGTGTAGAATTCAAAGAATATCCATACTCAGGACCTTTGGCTTTGCTTCGGTCGGTTGCGAGCGCGTGGGTGACCCTTGTATGTGCTTTTCTCTTGACCTGTCTGTATAAATAGCCTTTAAGTGTGGAACGAGTCTCCCATTTTACCTACTCAAGCTGCATAAAAGTCGAGTTTTAGCAGCACTGCCGCTAGGGTACTTAAAACTGACTCGCATAAGCTGAGATAGCAAGGAAACAATAACGAAACAACACTAGCAATAACCACTTGGTTGATTGATTGATTGATTGATTGATACTTAACCGCAAACATTGCTCGTAGCGCTAGCAACGCACGGACGAAAAGCAAGAAAAGAAAAATACTTAATTACAAAAGTAATAAAATGTTATATATTATTATACACGTGCAAAGTGGAAACAAAGCAAAGAAGAAACAAACAAACAAACACACTCATGCATATGATGATGATATATTGAAATCTATATATATTTACATGATGCAAAACAATGATGTCAAGATGAGAGTGAGAGAGCAATTGCATAACGAAAAATCTAACTTGAGAGAATAACAAAGTAAAAAAAAAAGAAATGGAAATTAATTATAGAATATATTATACATTACGAACCCTCTATTTTTGTAAGTCGCCATTCTAAATTATACAAAGTGACTACAAACTGACAAAGCAAACAAACAAAATTAATATCACAACAATAATAATGGAATACAAACGACTGTGGTTTGATTATTTTGTATGTACAACTTTCCTTTGAGCAATACAGGGACGAAGGTCCCGTGCCTTGGGCCAACTCCCGCCCGAAAACTCACCACTGTACTTAAATCTTTCTCGCACTGTACATGTCAGCTGAGGGCTGATCTAGCCGTGTGTATTTGGTTGCTTCCTCCATTGCTCTCTGGTCTTTTTGCATTTTCAGTGCGCGTATTTTGATCGATTATTCATTATCTAATCAATTGTATGAGACGAGGAAAAAAATGCTAACATTGTATCAAAGTCAGTGTCGCACCTATTTAGTTTAATTTGCATGATGCCTCGTGTAGCGCTCGTCGAGGGTAATCTTAGCTCTCGGTCAAATTTCGGAAAAGGGCGCCGCGCCACACTTTCGCCGCGCGCGCCCGCCCACCCTTAGCATATACTCATGGAACGAATGCATATACAAGTAATTACCAGTAATACACACATATATATTTACTCACGAGAGACTAAAATAACTAACATGCGAAAAACAGAGGGTTTAACTATCACATTATTGTATCAAGCAGCAGTGTCATTGTTGTTGTGGTATTGTTGTGTACTATGTTAGCGTACCACGTGCCTCCCTCGTTGGCCGGGGGTCCCAAATGCCCACCAAGAAGCTCCTCGTAATAATTAATAATATAGTATCGGACCAAAAGAATTCAACGTTTTTAAATCTATTCCCAATAAATATTCAAGTCTTAATGATCCTTTTAGTGATCTCTCTTGATAAAAAGTGGCTAAGCATTTTTTATTTTCGGTTCAAAGAAACTTACAAGCAATCATGCAGAAACGAAATTTGCTGTGATCTCCTGCTGATATTTATCGGTGATAAAAATAATAAATACTCAAAAGCACGCGATTTCTCCACTTTCAAAATTTGAGCAATAAAAAAAATTCGCTTTCTGATCTCGATTTCGTCGAACAGCCACTTCCAGTAAAGTTCCTTGACACCTAAAATGGTCTTTTCGGGTCGTTTTTGAAATAGCAGGTGGGGAGCGGGCCGGGGCCCCCGTGTTGGACTTCCTTGCTTGCGCGTGCCGGGGCGACTTGGAGCCCCAAGCGCGCGCCTCCTACTTTGATTTACGGAGAGACCCAGGGGCCTGCTTGTCCTCCGCGGGCCTGCCACTTGCTCACGTCAACTGCGGGCCGGCGGGGGGCAGGGCCCGCGTGGGTCGCTGGCAATAACCGAACAATTAATTAATCGTAGTGGACGTTGCACTGTAGATTGATTGCAATACTCAATAAAAAATAAAGTAGATGCGTTCTTTTCTTATATATCAGCGTAGTTTTGTTTTGTACTTTCATCTCTGGTTGGTTGATTGACTGATTTGTTGGTTGGTTGATTAATTAACATGCGTAAATTATCATTAATCGATTATGTGTGTTCTTTTTTTTTACTTAATTAATTGGATAATAAATGGTTTCACCTGTCATTCGATTCATTGTGCAAAATTTAATCATACGGTTGGCGCTATAAAAATTTCATCTCCATCACGTCCACCGTAGCAGACTTTGAATTGGACTTATTATTACATAGAGTAGGTCAGCCTTGCATGACTAATATTATTTATTATTTTTAATTAACCATGGTTTATTTTTTTATTCTCAATATCTTAATGTTGATTTTCATGCAGCCGTTGTTGAGCATCTCCTTTCGAAATTTGTCTCATCTTGTTGGAAAACATTTATACATAGAGTTGTTTGGCGACAAGTGGCCATGGATGTGCAGTGGTGGCCGCCAGCCGCTTTTTTTGAATCATATTTTCAAAATCTTGATGTGCATTTTTGACGCTGTTGGTATTTGAGGTAATCGAGAATTCTCTAGTAGGACCATTAAAAGTGGCAAGCTCAGATTCTTTCGACCGCTCATTCTATGACAAATCTGGAGTATTACGGATAATTCTTTAACGCCTGAAATTAATAGATTTTATAGAGTTTTGCGGAAGAAAACACATTTTTAAAAGAAGATTTTCCTGCAAAAATTCGGAGGCGCTTTTAATCAGAAAATTTGTGCCTTCGCCATCAGTATTCAGTTTCATCCCCGGCTTTTTATCTCGGCCTAAGCGCGGTTGAGGCGAAACTTATCAATTAAAAAAATATCACACCTCAGGCATATCAGATTTGAAGCAAGTAAAAAGTTTCGGAATTAATATAATTGAATAAATCAGCCTAAATTTAGAAAGGCAATTAAAATAGTTGGAGCAAATTTTGTGTAAAATAAATAGAGATGATTGATTAATTAGCCGAATAGCCGCTTTTCATGTCTTAGGTAGAGAGCATGCCACTGAGAGTAGCAATAGCTTTGATTGTCGCAGGTGGGTAAAAATCGTTGTCGGTGTGTCAGTTTTAGGTGCCCTCTTTAAACTGCAGCATTTATACACACGCAATTGAAAAAAAATGGCAACTATATCATATATTATATGAAAATTAGGAGAAAAAATACTGTGTTCAAAACTTACACACTACCCGGAAAAAGGATGAGATTAAAAGAAAAAAATAATAATGAAAAATCAATTCCGATAGCCAGGACAATTTGATTGCTGTAAATATGAAATATTTTGGAAGCGTCCTGGCCTAGGTGGGTCTTCCTCTGATGACAATAGCAAAAGCAGTGCTGGACTGAGACCAACAACTGGAGTTTGTATAGCCTCTGTGATAAAGACCAATAAAAAAACTCGCACGACTCACTTAAAAAAACGAGTGAAATCTTCTTTTTTCTTTTTGCAAAAGTGTCAGTGGAATTTCTTTGCTACTCACCGCAGGGTGTCGCCGAAGGGCGGCCAGGCCGAAGCCGTAGCTCTTGCCGTGCTGGTACTGGTGCGCGGAGGACATGATCGAGACTACGTGACTCGCAGAGCAGGACGACACCAGAAGGACGCTAATCAACGGCTCGTGCGCACCTATCATTAAAACAAGATAAAAGACGGTTCAAATGAGTACCACGTGAGCGGTTCGTCAATGAAATTTTGGCAATGCGCGAATGTTCAGCGGGCGCAGAGTCTGAAACTTCTTTTGGACCGGCGCTTCGCATTTGGTTTTGTCGTTTTATTTTCATATTTTTCTAGTTTTTTATTCACAAGAATTAATTAAATGAAATCAACGATATCTCCATACTGCAAAACAAATTACTGAAAAGTTTCCTGTTAGATCAAATGCAAATATTTAAGCTTTGATAATTTTTTAATTTCATTTTCCTTCAACTTATTATGTGCTTGATTTGGTGAAACTTTTATTAATTTTTATTCGGCCAATAATTTTTACAAAAAAAAAATTATAATGTAAATTTTTTTAAAGAAAATCTCGTTTTTTTTTAATAAAATTAGATAAAAAGCGTTAAAAAGGTAAAATAAAGCTTTTAATTATTTTATGTCTAGGTATAATCATCATACGTATATTAGCAAAGAAAAGTATTTACTGAATTTTTTATTATAACATTTTGATAATTTATTGTAAATTGTAAAAGTTTTATGTAATTTAAAATCAAATAAAAATTAGACAAATTTTAGGAAAAAGTTATTTTAGAAAATTGTCATACCATCGTCAGACAGAGCAATAATTATCAAATTTGTTTAGCCTAAATATTAATTATGGTGACTGATGACTCAAGAAATAACATCGTTTAAAAAAAATTATATTAAAATTAAAAAAGAAGATTGAAATTATTTTTACCATAAAATTCACCATGAGTAATTGTTGGCTATTGAAACTTGTTAATTATGCAAGTCAGCAGGGCTTATTACCGAAGAAGAGATAATAATTGAATGAGCAAACATATTGAAATTTCCTTCCTTTGTACCTCTCTGCTGTACTTGGTATTTAACGAATGCTAATTATAGAGGTTTTGGAGCGGGTTTGCTGTTCAATGTTGTATGCTGAGATTCGCCAAATGATTTTTGCAAACGATGGGTGCGCCCTGGGTGTGCGTTCAGAGGCGCACGTACGCCTGGCCGAGATAAAAGTTTGCTTTGGTGTCTATTTTGTCCGTGAGTCAGCCGGGCAGGAAGCCACGAAGGACGGCAAAACCCCTTATTTATATACAGCGCTAGCCCATTTAAAACGCCTGCCGTTCGTCATTCAAGCAACCCGCTCGACGGGCGAATCAATCCAGTTGCCTAATCCACGTCACGCCAGCCACCGCCGGCCACTCGCTTTTGAAAATTAATAAGAGCAGCCGAATCGACCGAGCAACAGTCGATCAAACAAATGTGTTTGATTTTATTCAAGAATAAATTATTCGCGGTGATTAATTATTTTGGCGTTTCTGACAATTAGAAAAAAAATTAGATATAATTTATTTTGCTGGCCAAACACAAAAAGTAGTTTTCCCCTACCCAGGAATGATTTATTGGAATGCTCCGAGTACGTGCAAAGAAAAAATCTTTTGTAAGTGAGACGTGGAAACGGTTGCAAGATCGCCAAACGCATTCTTCTGCATTCTATTCATTCTATACATTATTGTGTTGGCCTGTCGCGCTTTGTTCTCACAGTCGGTCTCGTTCGTACCCCAGGGGCATGTGCAAGAATTTATTCACCGTCAAATTGTCTCAAATACATAGAATAGTTTGGAATCAGCACAAGAAGAAAATGATATATTATGATTAATCACAATGATAAAAGGAGGAAAAAATTGCAAATAAAGCGAAACGAAGTAAATCTTGCCGATTCATTAAAATGTTTTGTAAAACAATTTCCTTAAAAATAACTTGATTATTAAACAAACAAAAAAATTTAATATCTGATATTTTATTTTACTAATAAAAAAGTGCGAAGCTTGGATTAAAACAGGAAATCATGAGAGAAAATCGACAAAGGCGCGCGAGAGTGTTTGCAAAATTTAAAAAGAGAATTACGACGAAGCTAATTTACCTGGATTTGAGCAGCAATTATCTCTGAAGGAGGCGGATTTCCGACTCGAGTGTTCGGATGCGACGCGGAAAGTGGAAAAGCTGCTTCTTGTCTGGGAGGAGCGAATCGCTAGAGGTGAAAGCGAAGGTCATTCGAGGCAACACCTCCCTCTTCGCACGTACCGCCCTGCACAACCTGTTGCACCCCGCAAAATAATCTTTACCCGTCCACGTATGACGCACGCACAGAGTTGGTGCGTTCAAATAGGAGCAAGTTCCGTATGTGGTCGCAATACAACAACTTAAATTAAAATTGTTATCAAGCATTTAACGAACACGCTGAACATGTCATGATATGACTGTAACGGAAGAAAAAATATATGTACTTGCGGTTTTATTTTTTTTATGTCAAGATAAATTTTAATAGGGAATCTCTCAGGAAATTAAATTGGATTAAATCAAGAATAGATTTATAAATTTACGTATTACAAATAATTCCACTGCAGGAATTTTTGTTGAATAAATTTCTAATATTAAGTCTAATTAAACATTGTTTCATCCCTATTTTGCATTATGCTTTCAAAAGCGCCATTAAAGTTGATCAAAATTTTGAAATTTTGGTTTAAAATTTGCTGTTCATTAAATGAAACTTCAAATCTTCTAATACAAATGTGTAGAATTTAGTTTCTTATTAAAATTGTTCTGCCATTCATTGACATATACGATTGGAAAATAAAAAATATTACATGGTAAATGTATAATTTGAACACATCTGTGTCTTGATTACTCGATAAGTTGAACGTCGCTGTCTTCATCGTCGTCGTCCATGGTCAGGTCAATAAAAATTTCTACTGCGTTTTGATTAATTTCAGGCAAATTATCTGCCTGTGAATCACAAGCATCAGTTCTTTCCTGCCGCAGAACCTCCTCCTCCTCCAACTTCTCCCACTCGTCCTGGTCAGCAACCTCTTGAGAATGACCTTCCTCAGGAGGATTTGGTTTTGCCACCAAAACTTTTTCCTCCACTTGATTTTGAGCCTCTTCAGGCTCTGGACTTTCCTTATTGTTGGACTGACTCACTTGTCCGGACTGCAGAATATCCATCTCTTGCGGAGCCTCGGACTCTGTCGGATGCGGCACGAACCGACAATATGCCTCGTGGTCCTTTAGTAATTTCAAGCACGGCTGCACAAACTTGCAGCGGCTGCAGTTGAAGGGCTGCTCGTGATTGTCCAGTTGCTCTTCGCTGAAAAGGATGTCGTGGCAGAAATCGCACCGGTACTTGAGGGGCTCTGCGGATTTCCAAGGTTGCGGAGGGACAGGAACTTTTTCTGCCGGTGCAGGAGGAGGAGGAATGACGAGAGGGGCGGTTTTCTCTTTCCCCTCGGGTTTGTTGCACTTGTGGTGTTTGTACTGGGTGAAGCAAGTGGCGCTGAACGAGCAGTCGGGACAACTCTTGGACCGGGTGTGTTTCATCAGGGCGGTGGACGAAGGCAAGTTTTTCCGGCAGTGAGTGCAGATTTTGCTCCTTTTCCGACCCACGCACTGCGTCTGGTGTTTTTCCATCAGGCCGTAGCAAGGCAGCGTCAAATGGCAGTTGACGCAGTTGCTGAGCGTCTGATGGACCTTGCGCATGTTGTCCTTGACCGATTTGCCGCAGAAATCGCACAGCCACGTGCTGCCGACCTCCTTGTCACCGCCCCTGCACAGTTTCCAGTGTTCTGCTAGTTTCCGGCAGCAGCCCAAAAACGTGCTGCATTTGGAGCACTTTTTCGAATGCTGGTGATTTGCCAAAATTTGGCTCGAATCGAGGCTCACATTGCAATATTTGCACATGACGGAATCCAATGCTGGACTCTCCTCGGGGGTCGATGTTCCTGCTTCGGGGTGTCCGGCTTGGATGTGCTGCTCCAGAAGAGTGAGACAATTGAAAACTATGCTGCATTTGTGGCAGCGCTGCCAAGATTTGTGCGATACAAGTTTCACCTTCGTCTTTAGATCCTCGTTGCAAAATTCGCATATTCTGCTCGGCTGTGGCTTTTTCAAAGTCTCATTTTTCAGGATTATTTTTTTCTTCAGCTTGACCAACGGAGGAGGTCTGACGTACTCTTCGTTGATTGTTATTAACAGCGAAGAAGGGCAATTGCCTGAAGCTACCCACTTCTGCAAAACCTGGCACGTTTCTTTCTTGTGTTTTCTCACGAACGCTTGCTTCGGATAAAAATAGGAGCATTCATGACACCACATGTCTATGCTTTGTATGGACAATTTTACTCGAGATCCATTTAAATTTTGTTTTTTGTTGGCCATTCTTTTCTCCACTTGGCACCATACTGAGCAGAAAAATGTTCTCTCAGGCACAACTTTGCTGCAAAAACCACATACATTTTGGACATTTTTTGTTTCTATATCGTCAACGGGCGCCTCTTCCAAGGCAGCAATTTTTAAAGGAAGTTGATCCTGGCAGTCTTCACTGGAATGGCGTTTGGCAGGTCTTTCTGAATTCAATTGAGATTCTTCTCCGTTTTGATTCAGCTCCATAGGTTGAGAATTATCCTCTTTTAATTTCTTCGGCTCAACTTCTTCCGAATGAGATCTTTTTTGTGGTGCAACAATGACTGACACTTGGCGCAATTGTGCGGTACAAAATTTGTCTTGAGCCGTGGTTGTGGAACACGGAGAAGCCGACTCCACTTGCCGATGAGCGAACTCGTTAGGAGACATCGTCGCACGAGTCTCAGGGTCACTACCACTTGTTGGTTTTGGTGAGCACCAGGGGGAATTTTGGTCCCTTGAACTTATTGAGCTTGGAGATGAAAGCGAAACAATCACAGAAGGAACAGGCGGTGCAATGGAATGGGGCCGACTTGCATGTTCTGGAAAAAAAGTAGTTTTATTTCAGTTTCAGAAAAATGCGTTGACAATTTTTTAAATCAATTCCTTGTCGAATTGAAATTCGGCTATTGCTTGATAGGTTTTATGACGATTTATTATTATTGCATCTTTTTGCTTGTGTCAAGTTAATAAAACATTTGTCTTGGGGTTGCAGCCATAATAATGCACGAGCTTAGTCGTGTTTTGTTGACGACAAAGGGCTTGTAGAGCAGTTTATTGATTTTTTGTAACTTACAATTAGAATTGATATCGTTTGAAAAACACAATAGCTTCAGTTTTATAGAAATAGCCAAGTTTCCATATAACAATTATTTTAAATAAATACTAAATTTTTTTAACAATTATTAAACAAATTTAGTACCTGGACTGGAAAAAAAATTGCGTCCTTGATTAATCTGACTGGAATGTGAGTCTTGCGCTACAGGATGGTCACCTAAAATAATTTCATAATAAAATATTTATTAAAGATTTCCGCTAAATAAATTATTTTAATCATTACCTCGCGTGTGAGCATTTTTAGGACATATTTGTCCAGACGCGTGGTAAGTACGATTTGGGCCAGCAAATTTGGTTGGCTGATGATGAGATTGATGAGCACCTTCAATAAAAAATAATTTATTAGAGAAGGAAAAAAATATTAATATTTTATAAATATAATTATAAAGTACAGAACTATGAACAATTTAATTTAGTAATTAAGCAATTTTATAATCGCAATTTTCAATATTTACCTGGAGAGCTGACGGAATTGACGGATCGACTTAGATCTAAGGGACAATCTTCAGTAGACATGGACGGTGTTAAAACTCCAGCCATTCCAGGCTCAGACACCGACATTGCTGGCGCCGGCGGAAGTTCTGAAATATCAAGGAAATGCTTTATGGTCAGATTAAGTTTTCTCCTCTGAAAACAGACAACAATCTGTTCACATAAAACGACAGCTGCTTCAACAAATATACACGTGAGCACAATAAAATTATTTATTAGAACCACTACATGCAAGCTGGTCATAGACTTTTTTTACGTCCTTCTATATTTTAATGATTCTGCTGTTAAATACATAATCGGAAAGTCGAAGCAAAAATGAAATTGCATAAAAGATGTAAATTAATAAAGGAATTATTTTTAAAAGAGGAAAGCGGCAATCATAAAATTACTTGGTCAGCAAAAAATTATATACGTGGATTAAGGAACCATCAAACGAACTTTCCACGCATAATCTTTACTGTAAAATGTGGGAAAATCAAAGCATACTTTGTGGTGAGGGATGCTAAGGTCAGCGTATCAAAATTATGACTTCAGTTAGAATAAGTTCAAAATCTCTACTGAAATAAAGAAGTTGAGAGACGACGAAGAAAATTTGTTGGCAACATTAAATGAGTTAAAATAATAATTTGGGATGTTGCAAAATAAAAATATAATAATTATAAATACTCTGTACGCAAGTGTATGCTTGAATTTTACAAAAAAAAATGTAAATAATGAAAGTTAATTTATTTCAACTTACGATAAAGCCTTTGTCTAAAAGGCTGCATGACTTTTGCAGCCCAATCGTGTCACGACATTTCAAAAACGAGTGTTTTTCCTGATATAAATGGCATATAATTTCAAAATAATGCATCCAGCTTTGATTTAAGTTTTTTCCGTTTTGCTTTCAAATGTGGCGAAAGGCGGAAAATTAAAGACGACAGGTCACAGGTGAAAAACACAAGAGCAGAAACAGGTTTTCGTTGTTTGGCGTCAACTCGTGAACCTCGCCTCGAGAAGTTCACGAACTCGCCACCAAACCAAAACAAAAACGACACGCCCCCGTGGGACGCAATTTTATTGGCTCCTTGGGACAAGCGCAATTTAAATTAGAGCGCGCTAATTTGGCAGCATGGACGATCAATTCATTTTTCCTTGGGCAACATCAACATCACACTCTAAAATAAAATTCCAGAAAAATTAATTAAAATCTATACTTTTTTTAAATTAATACGTGAAAACTCCTGAATTGGATTTGCTGGCTTTGGGGAAATACAAATTATTGATTGTTGAACAAATTAATTTCTGATAAAAAAAAGAATTGATTTAATGAAGGTCAATAAATTTGTTATTATATCCAGAACGCAATAAGTGGATCTTTTTATTTAAATAATAATATTTACAAAACAACTTAACTGTTGAGGTTATGTTATAGCATTTATACTTTCACTACTTTCAATTGACAAATTGTAATAAATTTTGTTGAATACAATATTTTGTTTAATTGTAATAAAATATCCTCAAACATCTCTGTAGTTTACGTTTCCGCATCCATAAAAGAGTAGCAACAAACATTGATTGCAAATGGTTTAATACAATTGCATCACAAACAAGTTTTTTTTATAGAAATTCAAATTCTAATAAATTTAATTTATATATTTGGATAATAGTAAAAATAAAATATCCCACTTATGATAGCACATACAAGATGCTTTAAATGAAAAAAAAATCAATTATATGGTTTAACAAATTTTTCAAAAACATAGAAATCCTTTCTCGATGCAATGATAATTGTATTGTTTTTGTTATTAAAAACAAACAGAAATATATACCTCTGATGCATACTTTTGAATTGAGCGTTTGCATAATTGGCTATTACAAAGGTGTATTTAAATCGTCGCCGAATTATAAACTAGATGCTTAGATAGGCACATGGATAATCATTATTTTACACACTAAAATTATTTGATCTACTTTCTTCTCGTTTAAATACAGCACCGATTGAGCTGAGCTATCTCGAGTTGAGGCTGATGTCTGCTGGGTGGTCGTGGGGTTGGTCTGGTCCTCCCCGCAGCCTCTGCTCCATGCTGATGTATTGCCTGATGAGTCGGGAGATTTCGTGCGCCTGGTCGGTTTGCAAACGAGTAATGCGCTGCTGCATCAGGTTGCCACACTTCATGTCCAGATAAAGAATTCCATCCTCAGATTTGACCTTCCTTGTCGAAATCACTTCGCTGAATGGATAGTGCATCAGAGTCTCCTGAAATGCCAAAATTCATTATGAATTTTTTGTAATAAATATAAAAAATTTATTCTTACATGAGTGATGAGATCTAAGAAGTGAACTCCGTGTCTGTTCAGGGCCAAAATGTGGTCTGACCTCTCTTTCGGATCAGATAATCTCTTAACAGCAAAGAAGCTGGATCCGAAAAGCGGCCACTTGGACAACAGATCTGAAATTTTTAAATTAATACCCTAAATTTAAACATTTCAAGTGCAAAAATTTACCTAAAACTTGAGCCTTTGCTTGGGAAACGGTCAAAGGTTCCACCTCATGCCAGCTTGCCTGGACCATGTTGACCCATTGGGGTGGTTTGATGTCCCTGACCCCAAGTGCTGGCCTCGGAAGGAGGAATTTCGTTTCCTTCATTGTGGGCAGGTGACTCAGGTCGGCAGCTCGGTGCAGCAAAGCGGCAACCTTTGCAATGTCGTACTGAAAAAATAAAATTAATTGGAGGATTTGATTTTGGTGGGCAGAAGGGATGTTTTACCACTAGTTCCTGGTCAAGTTGTTCCCCGGGCATGACGAGCAGCAGCCCTTCCAGGTAATCCGGTGCCACTTGATTGAAGACGACTTCAACGTAGAGGGCACTTTCGAGTCTCATGGGGTAGAACCACACAGAGCGGCAGAAGATGAGGTAAAAGACCTGCTGGTTCTTGTGCAGCTCGGTGGTGACGTCAAGGACGTACTCTTCCCTCGCAAGCGGCATTGTGAACGAGTCGCCCTCGACGATGCAGTAAAGAGAAAATTCTTCAGTCTCTGCGCCGGACGGCACCCCAATCACAGTGCAAATCTCTTCAATGATGTCCTGCACAGGATTTGATTAATTATTAAAAAAAAAAACTATCTCTTTGGGCTACACAAATTTATTCCATTGTAAAGAAATTATAGAATTTTTAAAGAAAAAAAAATGTATTTTAATTACCTGGACGACAGTGGTTGATTTTGTGTTAATCACCCTTTCGGTGCCGCCAGGCAGTCTGTAAATCTGGCGCTTAGAATTTCTGCCGGCGCTGATTGCGGTGATTTCTTCGACACTGGGAACATTCTTTCGGCCTCCATACTTGAAGGTTTTCCGCAGGTTTTGCAGGCAGACGGTGGCAGTGCCTGTATTCAAATTTTATACTTCAAAGTTGATCTGCTCGATTTTGAGGAAAACTCACCATGATAAGCTCTTCTCTTGTCGTAGGCAGCAGTTTCCAAATACTTGAAGAGGTAAGGCTTCAGTGTGGGTGAGCTTGTGAAGTATGCAGCGATGATGCTGAAGAGTCTCCAACCCCTTTGGCAAGAGTCCGGCTGCGGCGATTTGTTGTTTGTGGTTTGCTTCATAATTTGACAGTAGACTTCGTCCCTCAAACTTTCGTGTTTGTGACAATGCTGAAAATACACAATGAAAAATAATTTTTAAATTTAGGGGATATTCACATGCTAAGTTAGCACCAAAAATTCCCATGAATTAAAAATTAAAAGCGTAGATAGTACAAATATGTTCTTATTAAAAAAAAAATCAAAATTTGTCTACATATTAAACAATTTTGCGCCAAATTAATTTCAAAAAATAATCTGAAGTCTTCACAAAAACCTAAAAATTTAATTTAAGCATTTTCAGACTTTCTTTATTTAATATTATAAAATTTCAGGAATTATAACGCAATTTGAAACGTTTTAATGGACTCACCATGAGAATGGTGTAGACGCATTTGACCTCGGTCACCTCAGCTGGCATAGGCAGGTCGCCCATGTAGCACATGATACTGTTGAAACATTCAATGGCCAGATCGCTGAGCTCGCCCGACTCCAGACGCAACAAGGACTGCTTCGGAGGTTCCGGAGAAAATTTCACCATGTCAACCTGCAACGCAACATGAAAAATTCATAACACCTGAATTGTGTTGCTGCAATAATTGCACAGCAATTTGGCACTAAATTTTCGGGTTTTCGCATAATGTGGACATAAAAGACGCGAAAATCGTGATTTCAATTTGACACGTAAGTTTTAATGATTCGCAATTTTCGTGCGTTTTAAAAAGCACGTGTTCAATTCCTCAATTACAATAACAAACGCAGCACGTGACTTTCAGATTGCTGTGGATATATCGTGCTTTTGTGTCCATTGAAATGCAGTGTGTATTTGCACATAATGTTACTTTCTAAAAAAAATCACTGATAAGCCGAGTGCGATTGTATCGCATGTTTTGACCCCGTTGCCGCCGCCAAACGCCATTGAATGGCGAGACTGCGTTTAAAATTTTCATTATATAATATACCCACTTCTCCAAAAATATGACAGGAAATTGTATTTTATCGTACGAAGCGTGCTCTTTGCAAAATAATTAAGAAGTTAATTTCACAGCTTATGAAATCAATGGAACATCCTGATAACCTTTCTCTACCAATTATATCTATGTCTTAATTAATAACAAAATTAAACCAGAAATATTTAACTGCCAATAATTATTGGAAGCATAGGAGAAAATTTTCAATTTTTTTGTAATAATTTGGTTAATGATTATGGCCATTTATATAAAAATTAACATTGCTTACAAATTTCACCGTGCTTTAGTGCCAATCACTAATTTAAAGATTTTGTAACAGAGTAAAAAGCTAATTAAAATTTAGAAGTTCCTGGTCATTGATCATGGGCATCGAGAATCAAAGGCGTGAACAATTCAAGACCTAAATTAACATCTGTTCTTCAGTTGCAAATAATTATTTTGCCGTTTGTGGCACCCAAATCTGATTTATTGAAAGGCAATCTAACGAGGCGCAGGCCAATTCATCAGGCGCGTGATCCTTTGTGCAGAGTCGATCGAGCGTGCACATTTTCTGAGCACCGAAAAAATGCCTCGCGTTCTTCAGATCTGCAGCTACTTTCTCTCCTGATGGCTCCCAGAGAGCCATTCCACGCACGACCTACTTCAATTGCGCGCTCAAATTCATCTCATAATGCACACACACGCCGCCTTAATCAATTTAAATTTGTGCGCGTTCCCTGGGCCACTCACATTAACTTCGTAACAAGCAGCATTTTTCTTGATTTTATAATCATTTTTATGGACATGAAAACTTTCCTTTACTTTTGGGGCAACGCATATTGCTCAAGTCAAATGCACGCCACTAAATTCATAATTCACTTAAAATCTCTTACTTAAATCAGAGCTAAAAATGCATTTTAGCAAAGTTGTAAACTAATAAAAAAACATCCCGCGAATTGCGAAAAACCACAAACTTTCTATGCATGTTTTTTTTTTTAGGATTTATTATGTGAAATATATTTTTACCTGTTCCTTCCACGTCCAATCACTGGTGTTGTCTTTGCTCTTCTTTTTGTTCTTCTTGTTGTTCTTGATGCTTTCGATAACCTTTAGTGATCCGCTGATTGAACCGTCTGCAGTTTTCAGCATTTCAAACCTGAAACAAATTGATGGAAATTATTAAGAGACGCCGATCTCACGAGCAAGTTTTGCTCCACATTTTCCCACACACAGGGAAAAAAGCTCGACGGCGAATTCTTTGCAATTGTGTTTGCAATAGCAATGCACTCGAGCATTAACGCTCTGTATAAAAATATATAAATGAAATTTAGAGCAGGAAGTAACGGGCAAACTCATCAGCCAAGGTAAACAGAGTGCGCTGTAAAAAGGGAAAATCTTTTGCTGCTCGTCTACTTAAATACAATTTTCACTGCAGATTATTTGGATAAGATTGAAAAGGCGAGATGAAATATCAGAATCCGCGCACGGCCACGAAGAGTGAAATGCGTGGTGTGATCTTTCACGGATGTCAACCGAGAAACTCAAACGCTTTTGCCACGGATGCCGACGGATCGGCTTCATTGTCTTCAATCAGATCTATAAATGCTTTATAATTACTGGATTTTGCGAAGGGTTCAAAATATCTCCAAATAAAAAAATCCATCAAGTAGTTTTTAATATTCTAGCATTCACTTCAAGATCAAATTATTAAAATTAAGAAAAACGAAATCATTGAAGTGTTTTGAGAAAAGTGAAAATCATTGCGATAGAAATTTAAACGTGCCACACAAAAATTGACGATCACTCAAAGATCACTTTCATTAATCAATACTTAACCCCTTTGGCACTTTCGATAAACCAGTTGCAATTAATGATCTTAAATAAACTTTCTAGAGATTGTGTTGAAGAGATCCGGAAAAAAAAATATATCAACAACAAAATGGATATTTTAACCATTTTGGTTTTGGCTCTAAAAATAAGTATAAAAACCTTTGCGCGGGCAGAGTGTCCGTCAACAAGTGTTGGCGCCACGACGAAGACCTCTTCAACGCGGGGGTTTCGGGGTAAAGCACGAGGGGCTGGAGGCCGCTGCGGTAAGGACTCCATGGCAACATTGTGCCGACCAGACACTCACTGCCGGGCCCAATTCTCACTCATTGTCTGTCCGACGCGCGCCTTCCCACCCACTACTGCTGTAGCCTCAGGTCGTGCAAACAAGGTACGTTGAGTCGGCGCGAGAAGGCGCTTCAGACCCTGAGACGCGTTCGTTTTCTCACATAATTTGTCCTGGCTGGCGAATGTACTTATCGAGGCTTTTCGCACGAAACAGTTGCATTTTAATTGTTAGCTAGGCATAATTCGGTGGTGGGTTAATAATTTCCACGCTCATGCTTAATTTCCACAAAGATCTCACGGCGATGAGAAAGTGTTCTTCTTTATAAACATCCGAGAGTAGCGGAATAATTCAAAAATTGAAACTTTTTAGCATTAATTTGACTTTTCGGTCAAACTTTTACTTTTTCTGCGTGTGAAGTAAATTACCACATTGTGCAAAAATCAACACAAAAACGAAACAATGCCGAGCGCAAATTTTGCAGACTTAATTGGAGAAACCTATTTTTCTACCTAAATATAAATGAAAATAGCACTGACTTTTCAGGACTGTTTCTGAAGTGGAGCATGGCGAACTGAAGAAGGGAGTGTTTGCCATCGTGCACCATGCTGCTTGACCTGCCCTCGCGGCTCATGCGGCCCACAGGCGGTGCTGCGAAGTCCTTGTTGGCCACAGGGACCTGCACCTGAGGCAGCATCCCCCTCGTCCAGCCGTCCTGTTCGCCCTGCAGGTGCATTTCAACCTGTTTCTGTTGTTGTTTTTGCTGCAAAATTATAAACAAATAATATTAAAATTCGCTATATCTAATAAAAATTAATTATAAAAAGCTGGTTGTATTTTATAACATGAAGTAATGATTCAAAGCGATTCAAAAGTAATTGTCCGCTGAATGCAACCTGGCGATCGTGAAAGACCGACAGGTTGCCTACCTACCAGTTACCGCAGCTGCTTCCACATTGGACGTGAGCAACTGATTACATTAAATTTATATTTTATTTCCACTTTAAGTTTATTTTCCAATGAGGTTAATTATTTTTTTTTACATTTTTTCAATTGAAATACTGGAAAGTATAGATTATTTTTTATTATTTAAAGATTGAACAATAAAAATTGCAGGTTGCAGTACATTATAATATTAGTTTAAAATTAATATACTTTTAAAACTTAAGCAAATTGAATTTGCTTAACTTTTTTTAGCAACTGGAAGTTCTTCATTAAGTCTTAATTGCTCTAAAAATAACGTTCCATTATTTACGTCTGTGATTTATAAGCGGTGTCTGATTATAAGACAAAGGAGCATTAGCGGATAACTAGAGCTGAATGAATCAATTTTGGCAATTAATTTTGACTGGCCATCTGGAAGTTTGCAGTGGAATAAAACTGCATACAAATGCGAGTGTTTTTGGGTCTAATGCGCGTCTAATTTCGGTTGCGCGGTCGACTTTCTGGCTGATGGTCAGTGAGCGTGACGACAGATGCGCGCACTCGATACAAAGTAATAATTGTGTGTGCACCTATCTGCAAATCTAGTTTATATAATACGTATTATAACTGGGTCTGCTGCTTAAGGGGAACACCGGCAAAAAGTACACCAAAGCTGCACCAACTTCCCAGTTTGGAAAAAAACAAAATTTGCTTTTTTGCTTTGAAACGATTTAAGACTAAAAATTCTATTAAACTGGTCCAAGTAAAAATATTTTGTTTTTGAGCATTAAGTGCTTCATCAATTTTCTTAATAAAAACCACAAACGGCGGTGAAGTAAAATGAAATTAATTTTGAATAATATGAAACGCCATTTGAGAAAACCGCACAATTTGAGACCAAAACGAGAGCTTGTTCTACAAAAGCCTACCTAGTCTCATGCTAATTTTCTGTATCATTTTTGTGGCCATAAAGTAGAAAGTTGAAATCTTGTGAGCGCGCGCGAGCCTACCTGTTATAATAACAGTGCGCTTCTGTAATTGTATTCCATAAAATTGGGATCTTGGAGGAACGCTGAGCAATAATTTACACCAAAAGCCATTGTTTATTATTTGTAAAAAAAAAAAATATTCCATTATTTGCCATTGTAACGCCAGACATTTAAGGAGCCACGCGTATGAAACAATATCCTGCTGACACGTGAGGCGATAGTATAAAAAAACAACAACAACAATTATTATTAATTTGGATCTTCCGCCCAAGGTGTCTACAATTCTTACGTTTCAAGTACGTTGAGACCAATTAGCTGCGAGCAATGAGTTTTATTTCTCTTTCCAACTTGTATATATTTTATAAGTCGATCAAATGACTAACAATGAGAAGAAATAAAGAGAGCAGTGTATGTATTTTTTATAATTCAAACGCAAAGCAGTGTGAAATTGTGCTGACCACTCACTCGCTCGTGACAAGTGAGACAATAATTGAATATTCATGGCCCGAGGCATAAAAAGTAGTGTTACAATCTGTCCACTTTGGAAGGACGGGTGGAATTTTTGGCGTCTCGTTTAGCAACTTGAAGGGATCAAATACAATAGACGTGATTCAATCGCGTTACGATAGCTCGCTTGGCGTAATAAATAACAACTTGCTAAATGGGTGAATGAATGAATAGTAAAAGTAGTTTTCTCCTCGCCCATTGGGTGCACGACTGGAATCAATTACGCGCGACTGTCAGCCGCGTGGTAATTTAATATCTCTCACACTCACTCGCAGAATCAGTGAGACAAATCGATCGAGCACGTTCAGAAGATGCTGCGGTATTTTATATTTTATTTATGCAAAGGTCGCGAAGGCACTCGCTCGGAAACACGCTTTGGTTTTGAAAGTTGACCACAATTTGGTTGATCGCTTCTGCAGCTCCGAGCAGACCAAATTGAATTCGTTTTTCCTTGCAAATTCTTTTATCATAATGGCCTTGCAAGACGAACTGAGCGTTGAGAAATGAATTGTAACTTTATTCTTTGATCAGTGCAGTAATTATTACTTATTACACACACAAGAATAATTTTCAATGAGGTAAAGGATCAGCTAATTAAATTAAAGAATTCTGATCAAATTGTCTTTTAATATTTTTTTAAAGCGGAATTAAACCGTTTTTCACTTCATGGCGACTTCTATTTTTTTGGAAGATTATTTAAATCAATTCCCTAACTTTTAATTTATAGAACGGTTTAAAGTTTTAATCCCATCTTGCAAATTGAATAATGAACTAAATAATATTCTGTAAATCCATACCGATTTGTCGTCTACGTCGTTGTCGGGATGCTCGACGGCCAGTCTTGTTTCGTACATTCGCACTTTTTCCTCCAGCATTTGCAAAGTTTGCTGAATATCCTTCAAAGTGTCGGAAGTCCCAGTCTGCTCGTTGTCGGCCGCCTCCGCCGCCTCGATGTTCTCCTCAGTCAAAAAACGTCCACTGCAGTTTGCGTCTGATGAAGACGCGGTTGACTCTGCCTCGGATGAAATTTGCTTGCTGGGTTTGACCACTTGCGAATAGGCGGGCTCAAGGGGTGGCGACGGCACCGGTGCTTTTTGCGTGGGCGCTTCGACGTCTTCGTACGTGCCGTCGGACATCATCACGTCCAGCCGGACGCATTCTTCGACCACCCGATTTTGCTGCTCGTCGTCCGAACTGGCGATGGAGGCGGGCGCGTGGCCGTCGGTGCCCGAGTCGGCCGCCTCCTCGTCTGCAGGGGGTGGTAAAGACGGGCTTTCGCTGCCTCCAGAACTGCTGCTGAGGAGGCTGTCCGTCGACGTCGTCCGGCCTCGCATTTGGCTCTCTTCGTCCGCGTGGAATTCCGCCAGCACCGACTCTCGGTGCTTGAGCTTCCGCCTTTGCATCATAGTGAATTTTCAGTTTTAAAGTCTAATCTATTTTGAGTTTTGACCAAGATATTAATGTCATAATTTTTTATAATAAATAAAATATATGTATATATATATTTTATTTTACTTCCATTTAGATTTCTGTAGTAAAAATAAACGGATTTAATGTGAAAGAAGTAAGACGGGAAGTTATTATAACGATTTTTTTTCTTCGAGAAAATAAAGGGTGCTGTTGCTCTTTTAGTAACTGTTAACATTTTTGAACTAATTAACAGAAATTAAAAAAAGCTTCTTGAAAACAGCCTTAATCAAAATTCTAAAATTGACTTTTTAAAAAGGACTTAAAAACAAATACAATTTCCCCCAGCTATTTCCCACAATATTTAACCTGCAAAATAAAAGAGCTAAAACCACTCTTTGTTTAAATAAGTAAATAAAAGCAATTATTATGTTACTGAATTAGCTTAAATAGTGTTTATATCAGACTCTATAGCAATTAAAATGTAAGATAAAAAAAGACCTATATAAAAGAAAAACTATTGCCTATTTTTTTTATAGAACTTTTGGAAAATAATGCTTAAAAGAATATTGACACTTTTATAATTTAAAAATTGATTTAAATCTTGGCCAGTTTAAAATCCTAGTATTATTAATGTTGTGATGCTACCTGAGAGTGTCTGGCAAGTGTTTCCAGTTACTCTGCATTTTGTCCTGCATTTGTTTGCGCGTGTCCGCCTCATCCCGGGTCTCCTCCATGAGCTCTCGGTTCGTTTCCTCGGCAATGAGTTTCAGGCCTCGAAGGCCGTTGCTCGCGTGAATCAACCGGAAAAGCGTGGACAAGCGCTTGGACGGCGGCACCGCCTTCCGCACCACACTCTCGTCCGCCGGCATTTCACATCACTCGCCGAACAAACGGACGGACGGACGGACGGACGGACGCTTTCGAGACACTCGTCGTTTTCCTTCGCTGGGGCACAAGCACAGACTAACCGACCTAACGTGCAGCCGCTGCGAGAGTTGCGGCTTCGCCACGGTCTGGTGGGGCAGCCAGCGGGGGAAGCGGAGGCGGCTCGCTTTTTTAATACTTGACTCATAATTTTCGTTTCGCATTTCCTCTTTTGCCGATTTTCGAGGCTTAGCCTAGCAATTTATTATCCAACGCGTCTCGCGTAGGAGTGAAACATGATATATTGTCTGCGCTTCCACCCATATTTATTAAAGATGTTGATTTTTTCGGCAAGAAGTGCTTCTTAATTAACAAAATTTTTACGCAGCTCCCAATGAACGAAAAAACAGATTTTTTAAATTTATATCAAGGTTTGTTTTGCATCATTGACTCATAAATTACTTAACAAACTGAATTTTTGGTTATAATCATTTATCTAAATTTCAACTAGTTTGCTGAAAGGACAAAAAGAGTTGTTGATTTTTTTAACAACTTAATTAATTAATCATGATTGCATTCTTTGATTATTCATCAATTAAGAAAGATTTCTTCAGTTACTACCTTAATTTAACATATTTTGCAATATTTTAATCAACAATTTTTTATGAAAGGTTATCAATAAAAAACTTTAAATAAATTGAAAAAAGAATAAAGGAGAAAATACAAATTTTCAAATACATTTTGTACAGAACGAGTGATGATTGAATCAAATAAATGCTACCTCTGCTTCATGTCTTCATTTAAAGAAAGAAAAATTGAGCGCAATCGCCGTTTCTAAAAATAAAAAGTAACACAATTGCAAAATCAGTGCAATTTAGCAGACAAAAATTAAAATTAATAATACAATGGTCTTTGCATTTTGGGACACGAGAGAAATTTAATGCTAACGGGCAAAGAGAAATGGGACCTGAAATTTTTTGCTCGGGTCTCGGGTACGTTACTTGTCAAAAGTTTCCACGTATGCGGTTGGCGTGCTTTGTACGCACATCTGCTGTGGTAAATTAGTCAAAACTGCAGCACCAATCATGCCGGACATCTGCATCTACTAATTTTCGTGTGCGCTGGCCGTAGGCAGTGACGGAGCAAAAAACGTGCTACACCAGTTATGCCATGTGAAAATTATATCCCTGTGTATTATTTATCTGGTGGATGGAGACAGTTGTCCTAGCTGCAAACGGTTATCTCAACTTCTTGCTGTAAATCGACGAAATGGGTGCTAATATTAAATGGAAATTTCCTATTGAGGCAAAAAAATAAATTCGATTTTGATTTTGGGGTGCCAAAGATTCAAAAGGCTGTTTTAAATTGAAATTAAGACACATTTCTAGCAAAATTTCTTTGCATGTAAGATTAAAAACGTCCAACTAAGAAAGTTTTCAGTTTTTGCCAGAATTATCCAGCTTTCCAAAGTGAGGTTTTCAGAAATGTCAGGAGTTTGTGCGGATTCTGTGTACGAAGGAAAAGAGCGTCAACCGCCCAACAGCAACTTCCCCACGACGGTTTCTCTTGGCGTGCGATTAGAGAGTGCTTTTCAGCTGAGCAAAACTTGCGACCGATTAACTTGTTCAAATCTGCGTAATTTTGCAAGCTCGGCGATCAGTAATAATTACAAGTACGCCTCTTGGAATGAGTTTCACTCTCTTTTAGCAAAGTAAAAATTAAAAAAAGTATGCATACTTCCTTTTCTACGACGATTATCTCAAATCACATAATTCAAACATGCATTATCTAATAAATTTCACCACCTCGGTCCAATAAAACTTTAGTTAATCGAACGAAGATTCAAAACAATTTCTATAAACTTCCTCTTTTTGAAGATTTAATTACGCTGAATTGCTAAAAAGTGCTGCACAAAAGCCGATGCCTTTATTTCAATTAATTGAAAACTCATCTTGGCATTGACTATGAAATTTTCTCTTTTTCAGAGTGAAACTGCGCGACGAGCGACGAGCATTCCTTAGGCCTAGCAGATCGATCGTCGAACTCACGACCGGTTTGAGTGTGGACCAGACTCGGTGCATACTGACCTGGCCCAAGGTAATTGGATAATTAGGCCAACTGCATCTCTTCATTCCGACTGCACTTCTGCAGACAGAGTGTTCGATAAACGCAGCAATACCGTTTAACTTTGCGCTAACGGAACTGGTTGTTGTTGCGCACTTGCATTTTAAATTATTTCAAAGAGAATCAGTTTTTTTTTCTGCTGGCGTAACCAATTTCTAAAAATAGCTTGCTGGGAATTCAAAAATTTTCACTAAAACCAAGAAGTATTCTTTAAATTTTTTAATTAGCAATAGGCTTTGGAATTTTATTTTATTTGAAAATCAAATAAAGAAATCTAGAAATAGGAAAACGTGTAGCATAAAATTTAACCTATTGATTTTCCTTAATAAGAGATCATTTTTTTAATTAAAGTTAAGATTGAAATCTGCTTAAATTGGAACGAATATTTTCTCATTTGTAATGCATTGTGCACTCGGAGGAAGCAGCGCAAGCATGTGCCACATAAGTGTACCGTGAGGCAGCAAAAGCCACATGTGTGCCCGGCTGGCTGATTTATTTATTAATTCCTGCTCGTCATCCATTTATAATAACAGTAACGCACTTGATGTGAAAACCAGTGGCATAAGGATTTCTCGGATGTATCTGGACCACATTCTCGTCAAATTTGTTTATAACCAACGTTGCAAGTTCATGTTTGATCGTTTGAGAGTCAGTGATGTTAATCACAAATCGCCACTACAGCGACGCTCTATATTGTATGCAATTAATTTAAACGGGTTCAAAACTAACTATTCAATCTCAAATAAACGGATTCAACCGGAAATTGATTGCAAATTGGCCGTAAAATAGTTACAAATTTTTAGACACAGTTTGATGAGTGCATTTCTTAATTACTCAAATAATTCGAATAATATAATTCTGTGACTCAATTTGTGAAGAATAAACATTGCTTATTTCATTGCACTTGGTTTAATTATTTAGCTCAAAGAAATTATTTATAATTAAATAAAATGAAAATCACGAAAAAATTGCTTTTTTTGCAAAATGCTTCTACTGAATTTTCTTTCAAATTTTTAACTTTTGTCCACACAAAATTATACAGCCTTATTGCTCTAATACTATTCTTATATTTTTTATTGCTTCTTGATAATAAGGATCCAAGGACAGGCACACTAGGAAATTAAAACTAAATGGAAATAATTTTGGCAGTTTTATGGCGTCATAAATGAGAAAAGCTTGGTTTGAAAATTAAATATACAGCTTCCACTTACGTTGGTGAGATTTGAGACTAAAGGAAAGTGTAAGTGAATCTTTGAGAATATTTATAAGAGAGCTTTTAATAAATGCGGTTGAGATAATAACAATGGCCAACAATAATAATATTAATCTGTATTCTGGCTCGAGTTTGGTTGGTGAAAGCAGAGGCACACGCATTGGCTACAGTTGTTAAGTTGGCTGCTAAAACTGCTCTGCCTTATTTTCTTCATCAAAAATTCACTCCTTACAAGCTTTCACCTCTCGCGAGAATCATAGTGGCATTTTGTTTTTAACTTTGCAGCCGAGAAGCTTGATAAATAAATTAACGTGTGGTCGTTTATCGCAGCACTCTTATCTTGGATGCTTAAGTACCTTTTTATATCAATAAATTTCTTTCGTGACTGGGTTTTATGGAGAAAGTAAAATGAATTGATACAATTTAGTTTTCAAGTGATCATGTACATATTCAAGTTTCACGCTTTTAGTTCATTTAGTTTTTAATTGAATATCATTCTACTTTTGGCATATTTATTCTTCAATTGAACTTAATTGTTTAGTTTTAATAATAAAGACTATTTTTCTCTATAGTGCTTTGTTTGAATCATTACCATCATGTAGTATGAGACCGATTCACAGGAAAATTAATTTATTTAAAAAAATATAGATGGATAATGTGAAAATGGTACTCACCACCATGATGGCTTCATTGCGCCCAAGCACTTCAACCAGATCGCAAGGGAAAACTCCACTACGACCATTCGTTGAGCCATACAGCCACCCTGTGAAAGAAAGAAAAAAAAATATGTATCAGGGGTTTGAATTTATACAAGTACAGCCCAGCGGATACCTCGGATACTGCAAAATTTCTGCGTAAAAAATGACAAATGAATCATAATCTGAAACGTCTGAAATGTCTTTTGCTAACATCGTTCATAAGCAAATGAGGACATGCACCTTACTTTAAAGCAACTATTTTTCAATTTTGGAGCTATAACGTTAACGAAAACTATGTTTGTATTTTTTATTTAACAAATCAGAACTTACCTTTCTGAATGTATTGATCTTTGTTGACGACTTTTATGAGGTCGCCTTTTCTGAAGGCCAGCAGAGATGGCTCTCTTGTTGGGTGATCACTGACAGCTCTCACAAACTCGTGCTGCTCCTGTTTTTGAAAATAAAAAAATGTTCAGAACCATATCCACGCCAGACGCAAAAATCTAACTTACCTTGTCAATTTCCACAATATAGCGCTCAATCATATTTCGGATCTGAATTGCTCTCTGGGTGAAGAAAACATATCTTGTGCCAGAGGTCAGTACAATTTGCAAGGCACTGCCCTTGACAATTGAGGTTTCAGCAATTTCGTCAAAGCTAAAAACAAAATCCATCAGTACTTATAAAAAATTATTAAACTTTTATTAACTACCTAAATGTATCTAAGACTTGGAGGTAGTCGTTGGGAATGCTTTTCTCTCTTCTGATTAACCGAATACCTGAGTGTGAAACAGCAAGATGCTTAACGTCAGGATTTTGGTGACTTCCCTGAAATTTTAGAGACTCGCATATATTTTCCTTTATCAGGTATTAATTTTCTTACAGTAATGGGAAAGATTCTGGCAAAATATGTTGGCCAGTCTTTAGCAATGTCCACAATGTTCTTCTTGATTGTCACTTTATGGTGAGGAGAGTGTAAATTGCTTAGCGTGATGCCATAGCTGTCAAGCATTTTGCGCATTTTGTTGCGCTCCTCTCGGCTGATTCTGATACAGGCAAGGCTCAAAGCATCCTGCACAACTTGGCAAAAGACCAAATGCAGCGCTAGAGGGTTGCTAAGCATCTCATTTGGCGAAAACACCTTTAAAAAAGTCAACATGTTTCACATGGCTCAACATCCTGAAAACAATTACCTCTTTCCTTATGTGTAATTTCCAGTTGACTCTGTTGTAAGTGAAGTGATTTGCACTGCTGCTTGCAGAGTATAATTTTGTTTTGATATTCTCTAAGCTTCGTGCAAATTCCCTGTCCATAGAAACTGGAGTTGACGAATCTACAGGCTGGAGGAATTCAGAAGATTCCTCAACTAAAAATATTTGCAAAACGTTGAAATAAAATATCATCTAAATGCAGAACTTAATACGTACTTTCGATTCTGTCCGCTTTGTCGGTCAGGTGTGTAGAAACCGAAGATCTCCTCTCCTGCACCCGCTGTTGCATTTGGTACGAATCAGACTTGATGGGCTGAATTGGTGGAGGTGGCGATCGAGGTTCAGGCACTTGGTTTGCGCTAAAGCATAAAATTTATTATTTATAAAATCCTAAAATCTTTAACATACTTTGATGAATAAAAACTGCTTGATCTTGAAGCAGGGTGATGTTGATGGATTGCTTGCTCCATAAAATGAGGAGTAACAGGTGGAGGCGGTGGTATCGGCCGACGATTATCTTCATATCGACCGTTCGATGACTTGTCTTGCATTCTCATGTGTGGAGGAGGCACAACACTTATGTCTTTTGTTACAGCCTCGACTGAATCAATGGTGTCCCATCGTCCAGCTTAATAATTGAAAAACAAGATATTATTTTGAATATATTATTTTCGCTACAATATTAATGTACCTAATTGTGCTTCTAGCAGCAATTTTCGGTTGTCCTCAAGTTTCTTGACTGCCTTATGTTCTTTCATGGGCAGCAGAGATGGCTTTTCAGATTTCGTTGTTGAACGCATGCTGCTGTGATTGGCAGTGACTAACTCCAGCTTTTGACGCATTTCACTACTGATTCGCAATTTTCCAATACTTCCGGGAGTCGTCTTTCGGGGACCAACTTCAAATGCTCTGAACATTGTTTATAAAATAAACTGTACTACCATTTTTTTTTTGTTTATACTAACTTGAAACCGGACTTTTCTGACTTTGGTTCGATTGCGTCTTTCTTGGCAGGTGTAGTTTCCTTTGAACTTGGCGGACCTTCCACCTCAAATTCTTCCCACTCGACAGCGTCAGTCCTATCATAGCTCATAACTGTGATTCCGCCTTCACCCAGGTCCTACATAAACAACAATCATTGTATTTGTTAAAAATACTTTAAATGAATTCAGAAAATACAATGGGGTGTTGGTGCTGAGCTGATCGGCGATGATGCTGCCTAATTTTGAAATCCATGAAACTGTCAGGGTTTTGTTCCACGCTGTCCTTTGGCGGTGGCCACCTCCATTTGCCTATTCTCACGGTTTTGGCTCTTCCATAAAGGTCAATGAAAGGACGGGACCCAGAGGGGTCACAGTTTTCAGGTGCTGGAGGCATTGGAGGAGGTGGCGGAATAGATTGGCTCTGCTAAAATATTAATTTTACGTTAAAAATAATTTTTATTCGGGAGCAAATGTAAGCATTAAGATGGCAGATTTAGATAAAAAAATAAATTGAATTAATGGTATACCTTTCCCACAGAATCTTGTGAAACCTTGCGGTTTTTTAGTTCAGTGAGCACACTACCGAACACAGCATGCTGAGAAGTGCCCTTGGCACTGCTCTTTCTGGGGGCCCCCGACTCCTTGCTGCTCACTGGTGTGAACATATTTGAGTTCTGCAAGCATAAAAATCTCTTAATGTAGATGCAGAGCCAAAAGTAATTTTTAATAATAAAAGAGTCAATAATGACATTGATTTAAATTAATTATTTATTTGCTTCTTTATTTATTTCCAATTCTTCAGTTTAAAAATTAATCTTGATTTAAAATTAAAAAATTTATTATTTAAACACTATTTTGGTGCAAAAATATAGATTTCAACGAGAATAGTATATTAGTAAAATCAGCAGTGTTTACCAATTACCAAACAAACAACAAATAAAAGCATATTGCAGAACAATTTCCCAGTGGTATGAAGTGCATTCATTACCTGCTGGGGAGTGCTTCGATGAGGTTGAGCCACTACGCTTGGAAGCGGTGGCGGAAACAAGGGCGGGGGTGGTGGGGGCGACATCTCGGTGGCAGTGTGAACCTGAGAGAAGATAGCGTGCGCATGATGAGGACAGAAGTTGAAAGTTACAACAGAATGTCACGCTGCATTATTTTTGTATGAATGATGCAGACAAGTAAAAAAAAAATCAGAAACAGACAGAAATTTTAACATTTTATCCCAGACACAGATAAAAAAAAAAAAAAAAAAAATGCAAGAGCATAATTTTTAAGACTTTCACAGCATTCAAGAGACATCTACAGTGCAAAAGATATAAAAATCAACACATCTGCACTTACAGGTCTGCTGGATGAAGCTGGCGAAGCCTGTACATGCAGCATCTGTTGCAACGCTTGATTTTGGGCATATAGCTGCTGCTGGATTTGCATGTTTTGAGCCATTGCTGACTGCAAAAAGGCATGTTGCAGGTTTTGTTGGTAAGCAGCCACTTGGCTAGGATCCATTTGATTAAAAGGTAAGTTCATTCCTGAAATAAAACAAAATAAGAAACTTGAGTTTCTGCCTAAAAATAAAAATAATTAATTATAAGAAAAAGGAAAAATGTACAAATTTTTTGCAAGCATTTACGGGAAAATAATTATACAAGAACAGTTTTAAATTTTCATAATATACACAAGTTTTTTGAAACTAAAAGGAGTCTGATGGGATTTTCAGACCTTGCATATTGTAGATTGGTACAGGAACAAAGGGCTGCTGCTGGCCTGCGGGTGTCGAATAAGGCAAGCTTGCGGGGATGCTAGCTTGTTCAGCACCCATGGGCGTGGAAAAGATTGAGGGTGAGCCAGGAGAGGCCACGAGACTTCCTGAGGCCATGAAAGCAGCTTGTGCTGAACACAAAGTCCACAAGAAAAAAAACATAAGTGCATATTGCAACACATAAAATTGTGCATTTCTACTCAAAACGTCAACTGCTATCTAATGGCAATGAAAAATTAAAAAACCACAACCTATAAAATCAATTTGCAGCAGTTGAGTTTAACTTTCTTTATTTGTGCATTATGAATTAGTTTATATTTCTATAAAGTTTTCCGCTTTCAAAATTAAGTAAATTACAAGCTAATTTTTTATGGAAATAATTTATAACCAACATAAATTCATATCACATCATTAAATTTAGAGTTTTAAGGCAATTAAATCAAACCACATTAAGCAAAAGTGACTCGACACTAACAATTATTAAAGATTTGATCGAGGAAATTTCAATCTAAATTGAAAATGGGACTATAAAAAGCTTTATTCTATCCAGAAACAAACCTGCAAACAATTTTATGTACAAATACAAACATTTAATGAGCCTTAAACTCTTTAACTTGAACCGTAAGCAAAAGCATGCTAACAACTAAAAATACACATACCTGCAGGTGTGTACACTGGTATAGTTGGCATCATCATCTGCGTTGGCGACATCATGCCTGACATGATTCCCATCGGGGTGGGTGATGTCATTCCAGTTATAGGGGTGAAACCAAATCCTTTGGGTTGACCTTGGGAACCCTGAAATCGAATATTAATATTTCAGAAATCGTTGATTGAAAAAGTCGAGAAAGTTTTACCGGAGTTTCCACTCCTCCAACACTATCTCCTCCACCTTTAATGGTGTCTACAAGAGTGTCGGCTGAGCTGAGTTTCTTGAGACTGCCATTAAGTGAAACTGGGGCCAACAGCCCCTGGATGTAGTCCTCGACGCTTTCTGAGTTCACGGTCTCCGTTTCACTCGAGGCAGCGCAAACGCCGCGTCTAAAATTATAGCAATAAACACATTGTAGAGAAAAATAAAATCATTATATTACCGAGTTCTGGTGAGGGACTGTGTGATGGAGGCCACCTCGTGGTCAACCTCCTCTTCATGTCTGCACTCCATCTGGCCGCTCTTTCCCTTCTGCCCGCCGCCCTTGATAGATGCAGCCAGCGAGCGAGCGTCCGACAACTCGTCCAAATTGCCGTCCAAAACTGGCATAAACAGGTCATCCAAGAACTGGTCAACGTCTGAGGCCTGCGAAGGCACCCGCACTCGGCGTACGTGTGAGGCTAAGAGTTGAAAGATAAATTTCGCTAACCAAAAACATTTGAGAATGTACCGAGGGACGGCGCTTCACTGGTGTCTGAGAGCGCTGACGACTTGACGCTGTACTCGGATTTCTCAAGGTAGTTTCTGCTAGAGTGACTTCCGGGAGTTCTCTTAGCAGCGTTGTGTGATTTAATGAACCTGGAACAGTCAAAGTTCAAAGTTCACTTTTCTTTACCTTGTGCTGCAAGACGATGAAAAAAAAAGGCAAAACATATGATTGTCTCATAAAAAAGACTACACAGGCAATTAACTAAGTAGGCATGTGAAAGGAGTGCTTTTTGTGCTTTTATAGAAGAAGGAAAATATTGACAGGCGCAGGTAATACTTAAATGCAGATTTTCTATGATCAGCTTTAAATTTTACAAGATTAATGAAATTAAGAATGATGAATTCTGCATTTAAGTGACTTTGTGAGTTACAGTGGGCACCGACCTGGGGTGGCCTCTGCCCAGGCGGCTATGGCCAAAGTCGAATTCGTTGTGGCCGTTAGAAGGCAGCTGGCTGGTGGAGGGGCTGTTGTGGCGAGAGAGCTGGCCGTCGTGCGTGCTGCCAGTGCTGAGAGTTGACACAGAAGAGTGCTAGGGTCAGTTGCGTGCCATCAGTCTGTCGACTTGGGGACCACAAGGGACCCCTTGGCACTACCTTATCTCACAAGAGTGCGCCGTATTTACAATTTAGGGGAAGGGTGCTTTTTGTTAAGTGATTTTCCACTAACGGGAAAGAAAACTTTTCACAATTAAGATCAGTAAATTGGATTAACAAATTAACATGCCTTTAAATTGTTACTTAAAAAGTTTGATCAATATTATTTATAAAAAAAAAAACTATAGTGAACAGAAAAGGGGTGCGTACGGTGCGAACGTTTTTTCAAATAATGAGATTATACTTACTTGAAATTATTCTTGTCCCTATAGTTGTCAAAATCAGAAGCAGACACTCTCCTTTTGCTGACCCCATTGTCTACAGACGGTGGCCTCCTTGGCCTACGATCAAAGAACTCGGGCTGAATATGTGGTGTGCTGAACTCGCTGCCGAGTTCACTTTGCATGTCCATGTTGTTCTCTTTGAAATATCTGAGACAATACTTTAATTTCAAGCTGATTTGTTATTCTATTGATAGGCACCTGTCATTCAAATTGCTGCCGCTCAAGCCAAACTTTGACCACTGGCTTTTGGGAACGTCTTCGTTTAATTTGCTGACGCCTCTCTGGGAAATTGACTCTAAAGCTTCGTCAACTTCTGCTCGACTCATGTACTCTTGGTTGTGCACCATTACGGGCACTTCCAGCTTTTCGACTGATCTGTAGCGGTCATTTAGCTTACTTTGAGACAAGCCAAGGCCCTTCAATTTGCTAGCTGGCACAGGCTCCTTAAAAAACAAAAATCAGTGCAAACATTAATCTCTTGCTGGGGAATTCATGACCACTCACATCTCCTAAGAGATTGTCCAAGCTTCTGCTCCGGGTTTTCTCTTCAAAATATCTGTCATTCAATGCCGATTTTCTTGACAGACCAATGTCGTTTGTGTGGTCTCGAGACTGAGAGCGACCTCGGCTAGGTTGCTGCGCGTCAGCCCATTTTTCAGAAATGACTTCGTGTGACATTTTCCTTGTCTGAAGAGAATTTTGCGTTGCTTTTTCAACTAAAGACGAATAAAAATGAACTTACAAGTTGCTTGGTAACAGGTGGCTCTGGAGGAGGGTTGACTGGACGCCTCGGTGAATGGTCATCTATATCGACGGTCAAAGCCCCCATCGACGAAAATTGCTGTTGACAAGTTTTTTTACTCCGTTCCTTTTGACAGGAAGTGATAATTCTTACGGGCATTCTCTTTCCCTTCTTTCCTGACACGAGGAAATAATTTTTGACCACTGGGAATGCAGGCGGCAGCTCCATTTCAGACACAAGGTCCAAAACATAGTCAAATCCGCACATTTCCCGAACTTCTCCTTCATTGTCATCCTCACTGTGGCAGGACACAGTCCAACCATGACACTCATCGATCCCTCTGAATATCACAAATAAAATTTAGTAAGAAGTTTTTAAATTCTCGAGGCGTAAATTACCTATCGCGAATGACAAGTCCTGCAAGTTCCTCTCCTGTTATCCAGGATTCGACTGGGGTGTTCCTGACTTCCCCATCAGGGAACTGCACTTCAAGAGCCATATTGACCTTTTTGCGGTTTGCTCTCCATTCGAGAAGAGATGGAGGGTATGCCCTGGCCATCTGGCACTCGACTCTGGCAGACTGCAATAGCTTGCGCTGGCAAATGGCCTTGTAGCCGTTATAAGCACTGTCTGACACATACCTTAAAACAATTAATTAGGTAAACTGAGCTTTTTTTTTATAAAATATTATTAAACTACTTCAACAAGTATTTATAGAATATCTTTGAGGGAGGAAAGCATGACAGGCAGTTGGCCATCAGCAACCATCCTCGTTCGTTGTTTGCTTCGTTTTCGTTTTTCCACGTTTGATTGCAAAGTTGGCAAAGAATTTCATCTCGCAGTTTGTCGCTGATTAAACCCTACGTAAAAAAATTTTGTAGTCCGACAAATTAGGGCAAAATTACACAATTTACCTTATTTACAATGTAATCTCCCAGAACCTGCTCTCTCTTGGGACTCAAATTATTGTCGTTCATGAACCTCAAAATAAGTTTGAAAATCGCCAATGAATCTTGATAGTCAATATCCTTGCTCTTTGCCAAGAAAGGAGTTTTAATTGGCTCTCTTTTCATGCCCCACACGTGAGACTAAAATAATGATTTAGTCAATTAATGAACCTTAAATAAAAAGTTAACTAATAATTATACCTTGAAATAAATATTGGTGAACTTTGTAAAGGCGTGGTGATCAATGTCATGGGGAAGGTAGAAACGGTCAGACCGACTTGGCAATGCGCCGACCACCTTTACTAGGTTGCGCTCCGAGTGGATCGGCTGCCAATCTACCAGAAGGAAACAGTAGTTTAAAAACGGGTGACTTATCATCAGGTCAATTAGCATTAAAACTGATAATGTTCACATTACAATATGGTCGAGGCAGTGCAAAAGTACTGTAGTTTTTACAAATTAAAATGGTTTACAAGTTTAAATCTATAATTTATTGTTAAAAAAAGAAACCTACTCAATCGAAAAAAAATTACAAAAATAAAAATTTTGAAATTTTGCGAAACATATTTTTTGCGTCAATAATTTTTGTTTTATAATTAAAATAAACTCCCAGTGGGACCTAACTGAGGAATTCAGCCGCTTCTCAAGTTGGCGTTTTAAACAATTTATTATGTTTTTTTGTTCAAACTACAACAGAACTAAAAATGACTCACCATCAAGTTTGCTGAAGATAAAGGCAAGTTCTGCCGGGATTTCAAGGTGAGTGACCCCTGCAACTGCCCTAGAACTCCGGTCTTGGTCTTCTTTTTGGGCCTTGTTCTTTGCCCTTTCACGGGCCATTTTTTCCACTTCGGCCCGTCTTTTCAACTCCACCTGCAGACAAAGCAGAATGTGCATGCGTGTTATTGTTATCACTTTAAGAAACTGAACGGACAGCAAGCAAAGCACGCAATAAAAAAAGAAACACGCGCATGGAGTGGAATACGTTACAATGACTAAAGACTGCTAGTGGAAGAAAATTTCTGGCAACAATAAGGATGTAATACTTGGCACGCTGCCTAATGGTTTACGAGTTTGAATAAATTGGCTCTCAACTCTTCTTGAGAATGTTAACCCATTTTTACAATTTTTGCAGGAACTAAAGAAACGCAAACAAAAATATTTTTAAAAAAGTACTAAATGGAATTAAGCTAGGTATTTCTTTTAATTTGGAAATAAGATAATTCTATCAAAATAACATTTTTTTCTTATTTGATTTTTGCATGCAATAGAAAAAATAAAACGGGGACAATTCTCTTACCTTTAGCTCGTTAAACCTCTTCCTCTCCTTCTTCATCCTGAAGTTTGCTTGCGCCTTCAAAGCTACGTTGCGTTTCACTCTGAAATTTCTTCTCGCTTTATAGGCACGGAAGGCAGTTTGCACAGTCACAGCAGCTTTCTTCTGCTGCTGGAACTTGCGTCTGGCAAGATAGGCTCTGACATTTTTCTGGATTTTCATCACAGCAGTGCCAAGGACGCGCGCACGTTCTTCTTCCAGCCGGCGCTCGAGGGTTTCACGTAGGAAAACTCTATGGGTGCCCAACTGATAGTTTTCTGGCTCCCTGTTTACACTGACATTTTATTTCTTGCCCTACTTTATTATGTGCAACACAAAAAACATACCTGTCAAGAATAACTCTGCAGACCTCACGAAGGGGAGTACCTTTCGGAAGGGCTGATGGGCTCAGCAGGTATCTGTATCGCTCGACAAACTGGCCAAACTTTAGTCGAACAGGATACCCTGTTTTCCTGATCCTTATTGTTTCCAGCATCCCAGTGTACCTCAACTGCTCTAGTACGGTTGGCATGTCAAATTTCATAGCAGCCTTCTCGTTGTTTGGTTTGATGCACCGAACGAACCAAGGGTTGCACCTGAAGCAAATGCAAAATTTTAAATTGTTTTGAGAACATCAATGCGAGTTCTTACTTTGACATCGAATCCAAAAGTTGCTGAAGTGAATCATGAAAACGAGCAGCAACAGTTGGTGTGCGGGGCTTCATTGTGACAAATCTACCATTTGCTTTGTTTAAAGTCTTGGTGGTTTCTTGATAATTTCTCAAAGACTGGAACATTTTGCTGACCATCTATGCAATTTTTTGTAAGAATAAAAAAATTAAAATTATTTCTTAAGTTCATTTACGGGAATTTTGCTGCCAATGAGAAGATCGACAACGTCTTGTCTGAGCGTATCTCTGTTCTTGTCTAAGAATCCTTCAACATTGTACCAGACCTGTCCAGCATAATGTCGAACTCCAAACTCCATACTTGACATCCTTGGTCTTGAGTAGAGTTCATTTAAGGCATGGTTGTAATGGCATTTTTCGAGGAAGGAAATGTCAGTGGCTTTAGGAAAGTTTGACTCGTCGTCCAGCAGGTGGAGTATTCCGACGGGTTTCTTAGCCACTAAATGGATTACAGGCAAATTGTCCTAACATATTATAGAGACATATTAATGAACTGTATCAGTAGTTATATTAATATGAATAAAAAATTTAAATGGGACAATTTAATAAAAATGAATTATTTATACCGTGTAAGTAATTGTTTGCCATTCAATTTTTTCTTTAGCATATTCCTGCTGTTCAAGCTTGAAGATGTGTTTGTTAAAATAAAACTGTAGATTCTCGTTCGCATAATTGATGCATAGTTGCTCAAAGCTGTTCTCCTGTAAATATATATATTTTAAAAATTGCAACTACTTATTGCTTCAAAAAGGTTTACCTTGAAATCCTCAAAGCCGAATATGTCCAAAATGGAAATTGCTGTTCTTTTCCCACCTTTGCAGACAATCTGGTTAATCCTGGCTACAAGCCAGGAGAACAGAGTACTGTACAAAGCCTTAGCAAATGCATCGCGTGCGTCCAGAGCCTGGTCAATACTCAGAGGAGTGAAAAGCCGCTCGTTGCGGGCCTCCTGCTCATCAGACACAGACAAATTATATTCAGAATAAAAATGCATATGTTTTATGATTCATACCGTGATTTTCATCGTGAGGGACCTCTTGATTCCATCAACATTGAGCTGAAGCAGATGGCCCGCCCAACGTATTTCAGCGTCGGAGCCAATTTCAACACCCTCTTGGCCATGTTTCAATTGCTTTCTATGAAAGTAGACGTTTCCCAAATGCAAAACGGATGACAGTATCCTAAAGATTGTGTCTTGCTCTTCAGAGTTCAGTCCCAAGACCTATTTCAATGAGTGTTAAAATTAATTTCCCTGATACTGCAGCGAAAATTACCTGCATGGCTGACAAAAGTGACTGGAAATCTTCTAGATCATTTTTTCCATCGATTTCACAGTTGCCACCTTGATTCAGATAGAAGTACTTTTCAGGAGTGAGAAGGCCGTACTTCTCTTTTTGCTCTGCATTCAGGCCTTTCAGCATTTCATAGAAAATGTGATAATTTCGTTCATCTTGCGCTTGAGTGACTATCCTCGACTTCTCTAACAAATACTCAGTTATCTTGGCACCTACTATCACACCTCTGAAAATTTTAACTATTAGTAAAAAAAAAATTGCTAGTTTTAGTTCATCGTACTGTTTAAAGTGAACATCAAGGTATTTGCCGAAACGGCTTGAATTGTCGTTTTTCACAGTCTTAGCATTGCCAAAGCTTTCGAGAAGTGGCGATGCCTCCAGAATTTGTTCGGTAATTAGATTGGACGTGGCTTTATTGACAGCAGCCAGATACTGCATCACCAGCTTGGTGCTCTCAGTTTTTCCAGAGCCACTCTCCCCAGATATGACAACCACTTGACTTTCAGAGTCTTTGCTCATTCTGCTGTACGCACAAGAGCCAACAGCAAACAAGTGTCTGAGAAACAATGAATTTTTAAATAAAATTAAATATTTTAATGCTAATAAATAGACGTGGTATAAAGGCCACTTACGGTGGTAGTGTGCCCATGATTTGTCCTTCGTATTTTTTAACCATGTCCAATCCGTAGATGTCAAACATTTTGTAAGGGTTCACAGCCACAAGGATGCTTCCAGTGTAGGTCTAAAATAATTGTTATTTCGATAATTATAAAAGACGAAAAAAAAACGATATTAATTAAAGCGCTGCATACCGATAGAATCTAACCAAAAAATTTGCATTCTCTATTATAGTATTTTGCGGAAGTTGAAAAAATCTTGCAATTGCAAAGAAGCTTGTTTTAAATAGGATCAATAAATTGGTATGAACAAGTAAATGTCCAGCTTTTCAAAAGGTATTGTATCAGGCTTAATGCAATACTTCAGTTGCAGTTAGAATTCCGTTGCTTCTCAGCTGGCGCATGCAGGCTCCAATTATAGCCATTGCGCTTTAAAATGAACGCACATTGAATATGTTTTGAAGTAACGCTTGTATGTATGAATGAGTTTAGGTCACGCCTTATGTTGTATAAGAACATCAGCGTATTAAATAACTGATCGGAATCCTTATTTTAATTAAACATATCACTCACGTAAATGAGTTCCTTGTCGTAACGAATTTTCAGGTTCCACAGCAACGAGGCCTCATTCAAGTCACTATTGATGCAAATTAAATATTTTTTAAACAGATAACTTAAATTTTTGGCAACTCAATTTAAATGTAGATGCATTGAGGTCTACTTACGATAGTTGAATCATGTCCTCCAAGCCCGTGAGGCCCAAATCCTGTCTCTTCTTCACCCCACTCATGCTGGTGAGGGTGAAAACTTGAGGCTGAAATTTTGAAATAAATGCGTGGTAATTTTCTAATGTAAGAGCGATTTGCGTTCTTTCTTAATGAAATTTTGCATCAAGAAATCAATTCTGTCTAGACGAGGTGCAAGCGAAACACGGAAAAGTGTTTTCAAAGGAACATGAATCCAGTTTTCAGAAAGACAATGGGAAAAAAATGAGGTGGTTCAGTCTGCGTTTGTCCTACTTGACTTGCGATAAAAAGTAAACTTGGTTAACTGAGAGTCTTCCTGGAATGTGTCCACTTTTGAGATGCAGTTGTCATTAGTTGTGGGTCAATAAAACAATGAAGACCGGATCTACTGCTCGCGTCTTGTCACTCACGACGGTGCACAGCGGCGTGCATAGATCGCAACATACAGAATTACGGTTGATGAAGAATAAGACAAAAATACTTTTAAACATTTTTTTTTCAAATCATAATATAGTAGAAAAAGTAAAACTAGATCCGGCTAAATTTTGATCAATCGCTAAAAAAAGAGCTATAAATGACTGAGTTGCTTTGGGACACGCAAAAAGAAAAAGAAAACATTAGTACAGATAAAAATGTCTTTGATGAAATAACATTACATAACTCACATTTTGTACAAGCACCCTGAGACTATACTCAGCAAGGCTACCAGGGCAACTATTACGCCGCCACCTGGACGGAAGATCATCTTGCTGGACAGTCTGGACGCCCCTGCTCAGGAGCATGAGCATGTTGGGCACATCCCGGACGCTGCAAGAGGCGAGCACCTTGTTTTTCGACGCATCACTCGGCTTGCCAGTGACTATCAATGACTTTTGTCCAGCGTCGTAGAAAGTGATGTTGTCCAGGTATCGACCTCGGTCGAGGGACGGCACCGAACCGTCCATCGCGCTTGGACACGCGGAAATAGTGCTTTGGTTTTTAATGCAGCGACAAGTTCGTAAAGACCGGCTCTCCCACCTTTGACTCTCGGCAGGGGCACTAAAATGCAGCAAGAGCCCCACATCCTTGAAGGCGGTCGATTAAGTGGATCATTGCTTTTGTTCAGACTCAATAAAATGCGGAAGGGCCAATATTTAAAACGTTAAATTTGCGATAAAAACTTTTGGAAACAAAGGCGAAAATTTGTAATGGAAAAGTAAATTTATTTTCTTTGTCAAGATCAGTTTCATTTGGGTTTATATTTGTGCTAAAAAAAGACAATTATTTAATGTAATTTGCATACTCAATCAATAAATCATAATTATATTAAAATTTATTTTTGATTATTAATCAAAAATAATAATTACTTGGATCAAATATCCCGACGGCGCTTTCGGTATAATCAACTACATCAGTGTAATTAAATAATATAACATTTTCCTATTGTAAATAAGAGTTCACTTCCTATACAGTCGTTAATTCTAATTCCTCAACTAAAACAAATTTACTTGAGCAAATTGGGTGGGGCGAATGTTGTTGGTTATCCAACCACAAAGTGCATGCAAGGAGCCGAGGCACGCGAGTGGAAATGAAATTAACGGTATGGCACACATATTTCCTGTTAATAGCTTAAATTATGACGCGCACTTCACGTGTTTCATAAAAGCTATCTTAAGAACAACAGGAGACAAAAACGCAACTTATGCAACTACCGACGGAAGAGTCGTAAAAGTAATTGCCTAAATTTAAAAATTTTGGTGATGAGCGAACTGGAGCATACATAATTGATGCAATAATATCTCAGATGCAAAATTTCATCAAAACAATAGTAAAATAACAAGCTCACCTTTCCAGCAATGACCGCTTGCACAGTGACCACTTGGCCGGCTCTGTGGTACTCGAGAACCTCGCCAGGCAGTACATATCCGATTCCTGGGTCAAACCACACAAGGTCGCCCTGTGGGACAAGAAAGTGAAATCATATTATTTCATTCAAGAGCAAATGCATGCTTAAATAAAAATAAACAAATTTTGAAGGTATTAAAAAAAACAATCTTAATTAAAAGTGTATAATTTTCAAAGGAATCTTTAAATAGCTGAAAAAATAAAGCAAAATAAATTTATTAATCAATCTTCCCTGGGACAGTTTAATTAGTATTTGGATAGGAAAATTGTATATAATATTGATAAGTAGCCACACACAAATTAATTAAATTCCACCACAACTTATATTTTGTTTTGCTACTAATTGTTGGGTTCCGATTAAATTACCTAAAAAATATCAATAAAACTGGTGTGGATTAAATGAAAATTTTTAAGCGCAGTAAAAGCACCTTGAGAGCTTTTCACTTATAATTGTGGCTTTATTGTAAAAGTTTTGCACGATTTCTTCTCTTTTTTTTTATTGACGCGAGAGAAAATTTCAGTCGTATCCTACGACAGAGAGGAATTTATTTCATTCCACAAGAATTGCACACTATGAAGAGAAAGAGCAAAACCGCATGGCATAGCGTTAGTTTTTAATTGGCTCAGCAGCCAGAACTTATAGGTGGATGGATGCCTTGTGAGCAGTAATCGGCATCACTCGCGAGGGCGCATCAGCCGTGACGCAATTTAATAATGCCTTTTTTTGAAGCAGCGATTCAGTGAAAAAATAATAATAATCGCGGTGCAGATTGGCTAAATATGCAAAATGAGCGATGCGCTTTGTGTATTAAGAATAAAGTATTGCACGTGTTCCTTTGAACAACAGCTGCTTCAATTTTCGCTTACACAATGCAATTCCTCTCTGGAAATTTTGCTCCAAAAACGGAAGACACAAATGTTAATAAAAGAAAATGAGTTATTCGCAAAAAATATCTCGCTGAAAATATTTGGCGACTAAATGAGTGCCCTGCAAGGTTAAAGTATGATATCAAGAGGAGCGTATTTAAAAAAATCATTTTCATTGTGTCTTTTTCTCACCAGCCACTTGGACCTGTGAGAATCGTGGCGCATGCAATGCGCGTTTGTGAAAATTCCACGGATGTGGCACATGCATTTACATTATTCTTGTGTTATCCACACACAAGCTTTGGTAAATTGTTTTTAAAATACTTTAAAATATTTCCGTCACGATGAGCGAGACCCTACAAAAACGCAGAATTTTTTTATTAAAGAGTATATTCACTATACGCCGATTTATTTTTTTAATCAAAATCTTAGAAAACTTAAACTCGATACGAAAATATAATGCCTGCTTAAATAATAAATAAATATTCAGTAAAGGAATATATTTTAAATTTATAAATAACTAAATATAATGTAAAGCGTATTCAACATTTCATCCAAACAAATTCGATTATTTTTCGTAGAATTTTTTTTTCGTTTCAACGATTTTTTTCCCTTTGTTTTTGATTAAATTCAAGAGGAAACATTATTGCCTGAAATAACGTCAACCTGTCAACAAACTTTTGAGCAATTTTTCACCCACACACCTTTTCAAAATGCAGCGGCGATTCATTTTCAGTGGAGCCCTCGCTGCTGCCCAAATCAGAAGTGTTGGGCTCATCGTGGATTCGTTCTGTGTGCCTCGGCACCAGCTGCAGCAGTCCGTGGCCTCTGCAGGGCGAGGCGGAGGCGGCCCGCCTCCGAGCCTCAAACCACTGCCACTCGTCCTCCAACCAACTGTCCAAAACGCTGTCCTGAGGACTGTCGAGTCGCGACAGTCTGCGAGCGGCTTCCCGTCGCTTGACGAACGCTCGAGGGCGGCGCGGAGGCGGCGAAGTGCCGCCGCCGACCTCCTCGAGCCGCCTCCGCTCCATGCTTCGGCGACAAAGGGCCTCCACAGACCGGGGCCGCACCAACGTGCGCCCTCGGGCTCTGCATGGTGGCAGAGGGGGTGGCACAGCCTCCTGAGGGAGGAAACTGGGCAGAGACACGGGCTCATCAGGGATGTCGAATGCCGTCAGAAAAGGGAAATTCCGCTCCAAACTCGGCGCGCGTGCTATTCAGGGTTGCACGAGGATTGAGTTTTGTTTAATTTCGTAAAACAAGAAATTAAATATAAATAAAGTTGCCGAAAACGTTTTTTTTTTAATACTTCTCTTGACTTAAAAAGCTCAACAATTTTAATGAAAAAACATTTTAATCTTTTTGCAAATAAATAAGCAAGTAAATTTTCAAATTTTGATTAAATATGAATTTTAGCGATTTTTAGAAATTCACTACGCAAATTTAAAATAGAATAGGCACTTTTTTTTTTTTTTAATTTGTCTATAAAAAGATCATGATTTTTAAACCGCTTGAAACTTATATTTGTGCAAATTAAGTTACCAAAATAAAATTTTTTTTTTTTTAAGAAATCTTAGCAAGTTAAATTGTTTATATGCAAATATTTATCAGAATTTAATTGGCAACTGATAAAAAAAAAAAAATATTGGTTTCTCCCCCGTGCGTCACAAACCTCTGGGTTCATAATTTTTCTTGAGCCTGCAGAAAGCCCATCCAAATTCCTCTAGTTCCAGCCAACGCTTCCTGAACTTGAATCCAAAGCCCGAAATTTCGACACTGGCCCTGCACTTTGACGGACTCCATTCGTAGACCCGCGAACACATGACTGCCAACAATAGGGGAAACTACCCGGAAACATCCTCAAAAAACACTCCCGCAAGCAAACACACCTCACCGAATTGCATCGCCACCGGCACTGTTTTCAAAAATGCACCATATCGCCAACTGTGCTTTACGCATCCTTGCAGCCTCACATGGTGGGAATTCGCTGAGAAAAAATTGGCCAACCAGTAGTCGCTGTTGGGTGCACTCACTCCTTTCTCACTTCCTCTCACACACACACACATCCTCACTGCTAATTAGTTTTTCCCTCCCAAACTCTTACAGAAATGAAAAATATAACAACTTAAATGTAGCTTATAATCATTTATTAAGACAATAATTGCGAGAAATTTCAAATAATTTAATTTTGAAGTATCGATTTAATTGACGTAAGATTTATAGTGTTTTAGTTCAAAATGTACCATAATATGAATGGAGAATAAATAAAGAAATTAATTGAAGTTTTTTTCTTTATAATAAAAAAACTTTGCCTTAATTGATTTAAATTATTTTCTATTGACTGATGACATTGTATTTTAAGCTGCTTTTGTGAGTAGAGTAATTAAAACAGAAAGCGTATTTCCTTTAAAATATTGGCAAGCGAATAAATTCAATCAAGCGTGTTAACTATCACCATTGTTTATTTGTGCTTAAATTTTACATTGTTTCGATGCAAATAAGTTTAGAAAAAATAATTTATTATTATAATAAACAACAAAAGTCATTTCTTACTTTCAGTTCAAACATTTATGTTGTTAATTTGTTATTCTGAACCACTTTGATTTATTTTGAAAAAATTAAAACATTTAGTTAGAATTTTGTGATGCATTCTCAAGCCAAATTTTAACATTTTGGTAAATTTTTACCAAAACCATTCATGGTGTTAAATTTTGTAAGTTCGATAAAAATGTATTTAAAAGATTTAACCGATTTCGCTTTTCAACTTTGCTAAAATAAAAATATTAAAAATAGTGTCGACTAATTTCATCCAGCATGAAAATTTAAATATTTATTATTGGCGTAAAAATATTTTTATTTACATGAGAAACGTGTCAGACACGAAGTTTTGGAGTTTTGGGAACAAGCGAGGCTCACAATGAATGGTTTCTACCGGCAAAAAATAATAATCACGAATTTAGAGAATTTAGACATGTGGAATTTTATTATATCCACTATTTACAGTAGAAAAGATGTGAATTCAGTGCCATTATAGTCTGAATAATGCAGGAAGCGGTGGTCCTTGAAAAGTTCATTCAAGGTTCCCACTGGACTCGAGTGAGCACCGAGCTTAGCGAGAATTAACAATAATTATAATTCGGACGTCGGACGCTATGATATAAAATTATAGCAGGGTGCAATCTGGCTGGGGTCATTGACTGGTTCTCAGGCGGTGCTCCTCAGGTGCACACGGAGCTCCATCTACCGACTGCGCTCATCGTCAGCAAAACAAAGCCGACTACCTGCGCTACCTGGCAGAAGGTATGAAAAAGGAAGCCACGTGACGGAATAAGCAAGAAGAACTTGGAAAACGGGTTCTCCAGCTCAAAATAGTTAATTTGTTGTTGGTCACCAGGCAAAGCACTAATAATTATATTGATACCATCGCGTTGGTCCTCCTTTCTTTATTCATTAATTTAAGGAAAAAAAATACGTTAAAGTTTTATTGAAGAATTTTTACGTAGACTTTGAAATAAAGTGTGCGGAGAAAAGAGTGAAATGCAACACACCCAAATTCAAGCACGCAAACGCTCCTTTCTCTTTTAGCCAAATTCACAATCAAGAAAGCAACGATTCCTTGCAAAATTAATTAGTCTGGGATGCTCCAAGGAAATTACTCGGCTAATGATTTAAATTATTGAATCTCTCTCATAGCGCTCAAACCAGAGAAGAGCACGTTTTTGCTCGTTGCTGCAACAAAAAATGTCTTTGCGACTTTTACCTCGACGGATTTTAAACAATTACTTTTAGCATTTCGACAATCATAGACTTCTTCCTGACTGAGACACTTTTCTTGCAAGACTTGCAGTTGCTCAACGACTTTTTATACATAATATTATAACGACCGCAGCTATAGCAATGAATTAAATCGCAAATGTCACCTGAACTGGTGAAATTTTATATCACAACGAGTGTCGCACGCATCAAGTAATCTTGTATCCACACCAGCATAATAAAATCCATATTTTCACGACTAACCTCAAAATGCGCCGCCATTCAGCCGGCGAAAAACGTGTAGCGTATGTGCGAGGCTAACCTGTTCGCACATGTAATAAATTTACTAAACGAATGCATGGGAAAATGCACCGCGGAGTGCAATTAAGTAAATTATTGCACTTCTGCCAGCGCTGCAATAAAATGTCCGTGTCTGTTTTATATTTATGTTTCCTTTTACTCTACAGACGCAAGTAAAAAAAAAAAAAAAATGAAGTTGTATTCACCCCAAGATTGATAAAAACGCACTTAAATAAAATCTTACCTTTTCAAACTCCAGCGGCTGTGCAGACGGCATTTTGGCAGATTTTCCGTGATCTCCGCTCAGCTCAACGACTGCTCCATCTCACTTTGTCCTGTGAACACGAAAAGCCAAATATTTTATTCGTTAATGAAGACGTTTTGTTTGAAAATAAGTTAGCTTCCTGCGCGGGATAATGCCATTGAAGCACAAAAGAAAAGAGCTAATCGCGCCTTAACGTAAACGCGTATTAAGTTTCTCTGTGAAAAGAAACGGCGCTGACCTAAATCCTTTCAACATCATCCGCTCAAACTGCTTGTCCATGTTCATGGAATTTGGGAAAACATTTTCCTTTTTTTTTAAACTCATGAAATGAAAATGTTGAGAGGTTGCGTGGTTTTGGGAAGATTCAGCATAGGGTCTGGAACGAAGAGGTTTTCGTTCGCAGCACCGACTAATTAATTAAGAATGTCAATGTGGCTGAGGGAGTGGCCGAGCCCTGCGGCCAGCCTGGCTGAGTGACCGACCGACCTGAGGCTGCAGACCTACACACACACTCTTGTGCATTCCCCTTCCTCTCATTTTCTAATCTCATCTCCTTCTGTGTTCCTTGCGCCATGGATGACCAACAAAAGTGAGCGAGTGATATTTTTAAAACTTCTCAAGTTCACGAATTTTGTGACTCACAGATACAGCTCACGTGACTTGAAAATTGAAAGAGCAGGTTGGATATCCAGTTAGCATCGTCTAATTTGCATTGCCTCAACTGACTGTACAAGAAAAGCGCATAACATCGAATTTCACGGTGCGCTCAAGAAATTGTTTAAAAGAGCACACAAAAATCTCCAAAGTATATTTCTTTGAGTCAATTTCCTTGAGCTTATTGTACTTTATTTTCTTTTTAGTGTATTCAAATTCAGATTTAAAGGGTATCATATTAATATATCCTGCTGAATTCATCAAAAATAAAAAATTTCAAAAAATATATACTTTGGTCATTAGAAACGTACTTTTATTTAATTTTTATAATCTATTTCTCAAAAATATTATTTTTTGTATAAATTTAAATGCAGTAAATAAGTAGATACATTTTTCCACTTCTAACTTTTAAATATTCTTAAAAATTTGTTAATTGTATTAAGTTATAATAGTTGTTGTTTATTTGTCCACATTGTTACAAATACATTTTTTCCATTTTTTACATTCAATTGTTGAAAACAAAAAATGTGTGTTTTTTTTTTGTAATTTTGTGTGTAGAATTGTGTTGTGTTTGCGTTGTTTTCCGTTTTAATTTTCAAGCTCAGTTTCTGAATTTCTCTCGTGGATAATTTTTTTACTGATTGTGAGATTTATCCTTTTTTTAATGAAGTGAGAATTATTTGGAGAGAGGCCAGATTATGTCCTGCTATAACATTATAAAGAGATTGATGATTGATTAATATATATAAAAAAAGTGGAAAACCGGTGACTTCCAGGACTTGTTTTTTCTATTCTTTTTGTTATTGTACATGTGCAAAAAGCGTTGATGTGCGCGATGCGAGTGTGAACTTTAATGGCAGCGTGCGATTTGGTCCGTGCCGCTCGCTAAAGTCGTGAATGTTTTATAATTTTTTCCCATCTCGAGGCACTTTTGCTTTTTTGAGCAAAGTGCAACGAGCATGATTGTAACGCCGTCTTGGTGGCCATTTGCAAGGCCGGAAATAACCTCTCAGTCTCGCCAATAATACATCTCAATTTTCGCACCGCAAGCCAAAAATCTTAGAAAAGAAAAATAATAGAAAAAGAAAATAATACAACGATTTGAAGAAATTTATTCCAGCCAATAACTCGGAGATTTTTAAAAGATTTGGAGGATGAACAACTCATTTTGCTTCAAGGTACAATAACGTTTTCATTTCTTCGCTATGCAAATCTGTGCCGCAGCTAGAAAAGCTTGAAATCGCCGATTAATTCCGCTCTGCCATCGACCTTTCCAGTTAACTCTTTCAGACAAAGAAAAGTCAGCTTGCTGTTCAAACTACGAATTCCACCATATAATATATTATATTGGGATTTTGGAAAAAAGAAGCCGCAAATCGTGTGGCCAGACGCAAAAATGAATGCAGTTAGGTTCGCATTGTAGTGTTTGCTTATTCATCGGTGAATGCTAAAAAGAGCTGGTGTTGAGCTGGCCACAAAGGAAGGATACCTTCAAAGGTATCCACGCGGCATTCCAAAGGTCCCGTTAGCACCATCATGCCCACCTATGTTCACTTAAGAGTGTACCTGACTGGCTGCTGCTGGCTCGTTAGCCTAACTCTCAGGGTGCACCTTTCTCGCGAGCAAGCGCGGACCTTTGCGGCAAGCACAATATGCGGACATATTGCAAAAGGCAAAAGCCGCAGTCGTCTTGGCTTACGCTTTGCACCGCACCGCACATGACACGATCAACACACACTGCTGTCATGATGTTCAATTTTAACACCGACAAGCCACGAAAAAAGCTTTGAATTGACCAAAATAATATGATCTTTACCAGCTTTTAATAAAAAAATCAATATTTTGTACTTAAAATATGCTTCAAATCCATGCGTAGTTTTAATAAATTATTTAAATATAAGTATTTTAATGGGAAAAGATTTTGTAGACAAAGTTTTCTACACAAACGACTTAATATAGTATTTATATTTCATTGTAAAAGTTTCAATTGGCTAATTTAAACAAGGTTTTTTAATTGAGCGGTCAGTTTTAAGGAAAAATAAATTAAATCCAATATTTTTTTGTTTTGTTAAAAAGCGATGAAAAATAATACAAAAATTGACAGTTCAAGATGCAGATTAAAGCAATAGTTTTAAAAAAATTATTAACCTCTCCCAATCTGTCTTTCTTAGCTCTGCTTATTGTTTATATTAATTATAGCAGTGCGTTTGCTCATGAAATAGGTTGGTACTTGAATTTGTATGCGCACTTTCATAAAACGAAACAAAACAAAATCATAATAAATAGCACGGCGCAGTCCCTTTCCCTTTATCATTCAATTAGTGAGTTTTCAAAAACCTGCAGTTTACTCATAAAGATAAAAATATTTAAGAAAATGATATTTAAAAAAAATTCTATTTGAATAATTAATATAACTTAGAGACAAAAATTTACCACGGTTAATTTCAGCGCATTTGAATTGGCTGCGGACTTGAGGAGATTCGTATGAATGAAAATATCAAATTATTTCCCTCGTCTGCCTCTCATTGTCAAACACATGTCACTGCACCTTTTATAACGTGCGCTATAATATATTTTTATATTTATATTCGCGTTCGAATGTGCACATTTCGCCGTCGGGCATACAATGGCGGTCCACTTTCTTCTCTCGCTCCTTCCATTCTTTCCACGCAGTCAAATTCCTGAGCAACTTGTTCCACCTCGCCATACATAAATAAACAAAATGAACATCTCCGGTCGGCAGAGGAGCGTCAAACAGATTTTTAATACGCGGCACTTTCTCCGGCCGAGCTCTTCTCATCTCCGGTCCAATCATACATGGCAGTTTATTTATTTTCATGCTCGCCTCGCCTCGCCTGCCACAGGAGAGAAACCTCAAAATTCAATTTCGGTCTCGACACTCTTTTCATCCTTGAATGGCCTCACCAAAATTTGTTATCTTTGTTGTTTTTATTTCGGCGCGCATACACAAACAACAAAAAACGCGACATGACCGACTACCACCGTAAAATATCTGCCACACACAAAAACGCGTTGACGACGAGGCGAGAAATAAAAAAATATAGACAAAAATCGAAGAATTGCGATAAAATTAAAAATATTCGTATTTGAAATGATCCTGTGATGTGCTCGCTCATATCTAGCAAAATGCAAAACGAATCGATCAAATTGGCGAGGAGATATTTATCATAAGCCGGACACATCTGATGGAACAGGTGTTACGATATAGGGCACGATACGCCTAAACTTTTGAAAGAGACAACATCAAAACAATGACATGTGAAACTGCTTCAGACATTTTCATGAACAATAGTGATTAATCAAATAAATTTTTAATTTTATGCAAGAACTTTTAGTGCTTTTCCCACAAATTTTCATCGTTTGATTTATTTTTTGGTCTGAAAATTTATCCGCCCGATGATGAAAATTTTCATTGGCACGCGTTATTAAAATCCAATGCGAGGAATTTGTTTGGCTCAATTTGCTATATAATATATTAATTGTTGATTTTTTCCAAGAACGGCATCATCTTATTTCAGCATTAAATTAAAAAAAAACTTAATATATTGCAGTATTTTTGTAATCAGTACAAATCTAATCCGAGAAAAACTTGAATTGCAATTTTATTAAATTAAACAGTAAATATATGGAGCCATAATTTTCTAATTTTCATTACTCCATCATTATTTAAGGTGCGCCGATATTAAATTTCCTGAACATAAAATTATTTAATTATTTCCTTATGCAAGATAATATTATTTACTACACTTCTTATTAGTTACTTTTACTCGAAAGCCTAAAATAAAACTACTGTAAAAAATTGCATTTTTACATTGTAAATAAAATTTAAATTATATATTTTGCAAGAAAAATATTTTCCAAGAAACGGCGTGGCTGGGGTTCGTGCCACATTTTATATCCCCTTAATTTGTAACGAACGAAAAATCCCTCAGGGCAAAAAACGTCCCGTGTATTGGGTGGCCCCATGGATGTAAAAATCACCACCACAAAAACAACCCCTAAGCAGCATTTTCTTGGTGACGTCGTGGTGATGTCGCACAATAAACAAATTTCTCTCGATTTAAAATTATGGTCTTTGCTTATAAATATGTAAAAAATCGCATATGATTTATGTCTGGCAAGAAAATATATATATATTTTTTTTTTAAAGTGGCATTTCGTACCTGCGCCTCGCGCTTGAGTTGGGCGTGATCTAATTATATGAAGGCGATTTGAAATTTCACCCCGGATGATACTCACCCAGCTCATGTTCAGGCAACTCGCAAGTCGGAGAATGTGATGACAGCGTTTTCTTGAGATCACTCCGCGTTCACACACATCACTCGCGCAACCGAGCGAATTCCGCCACACCGTCGCACAGTGACCAAAATCCTGAGCAAAATCGGCCGTAGGTCCGTGTTATGGCTGGCGTGTACAAAATCGAGACAGGTACAGGCGCGAGCAGGCACCAACAGGCAGGTACCTGTGCTGTGGTTGCGGTCCAAGCTGGTGCTGCGGACCGTCGGTGGTTTCTGAAATTGGTTAGTTCGCTGCGCTGCCGCTTCACCTTTTACCAGGGTAAGAATCGCGCTGCTCGCCAGAGTGAGCTTTCCGAAGGTATTTTTGCCTCGGGGAAATCACGAAGGCGCAGTATCAAATTCCACCAGCTGATGGCGCAGGTGCATCTTTTATAATGCAGAATGGGAGATGATAATGGATCAGGGAATCTGAGCATGAGCTGCTCATGAGCAAGGTTTGAGCAAATTTTGCTTATGAGCAGCGTTCAGCAAGGGTATATTGAGCATGAGCATATGCAAGTGAGCTTGCTCATGAGCAGACAAAGTTGAGCACCCAAAAAAGTGAGCATGCTCGTGAGCAACACTAGTTGAGCAGATGAAAATGCTCATGCCCAGAAACCCTGTAATGGATTAATTCACAACGATAAGTACAACAGAGGAAAATAAAGGGAAATTATATTAAATATTTTTTATTTTCTAATTATCTTTTCAAATTGCTTAAAGAGGTACACGATTGATATTAATATAAAACTGATGTAATTCGCACATCGATATATTATCAAAATATTTCAGATTTCTTTCACGTTACATTCCCCATGTGCGTTAAAACAGTTATCACAAATTAACATCTATGTCAACGACATTTAAAGCTTCAACAAAATCTAGAAATATTAAATTAAGTATTATATAGTTGCTTCCAAAGCTTTGAAGTGTAGCAAAGATCAAGTTTTGATAATTTTACCGAATTTTACCACAACTAACATACATTGATAGAATGCTTACTGGTGATATTCAATAGTGCCAGGCAGAGTAAAGCAAAAATTTGAATTAACAAGCTTAGCTACTGAAGAAGTAAATAAAATTTATCCGCTGACTCGATTATGAGGCGGTTTGGCGTTTTTGTGAATCAATGATTGTCAGTCAATCCTTGGAGTTGCACAATGATGCTTTTGTCGTACCCTTCGACCTTTATTTTCAGGGTGCTGGACACATCTCTGGCTATAGTGGGTCTGAAGTAGAGCCTGACGTACACATGCCACTTGGCAGGAATCACTAATGAGCAGTTATCGGTAATCCAAAACGGCTCTCCTGGTGGGATGATGCAGACCTTTAAAAAAAAGTTAGGCAAACTGTGCATTTGGAAAATGAGAAATACATTTTTGTCCAAACTAGAACGATTGAAAATTGTGAGGGTGACGGTCGACTCGTGTCCTTTGGGCGTATATGGGAAAACGACAGTCTTCGTATCAGTGTAAACCTCCGAGGACTTTTCATCGTCAGAGTGCGCAGACAAAATAGAGTGCCATGAATTGCCACTTCCTGATCCAGAAGAGGAAGATGACGATGATGAATAGTTGGAGTGGGCAGGTGATGGTGGAGGAACTGAAGAAGAGCAGCTGGCAAACGACGGCTCCAGAGGTTTGCGAGCCGCTATGACCATTCTATGCCGTGGCTTGGGAAGAACCCGAACACGCACAGACACTCGATCATTTTTGGAATACACCTTAAAAGAAATTTTAATTCTTAAGTTTTGTTCATAAAGTTTCAGCGATTTGGAATCTTGAATTAATTTAAAATGTAATACTTACAACCACTTCTTTGTCAACAATCATCTGCAGATGCGCATCGTGGTTGAATGCAATGAATATTATTGCCGTTTTGTACGCTGCCAAGCAAGGGTGTGTTGGAGTTGCTTCCAGGCCCTCGTCACATACCACTTCTAGGCTGAGAGGCTTCTCTGTGAAATTTGTTGCTTGGATAGCTGCTTTGAAGTTGTTCTCCATTTGCAAAGTCACTTCTTTCTGATCCAAGTCCCATTCTCGTTTGTACATGTCCCTATAATTGGAGAAAATTAAATTATTGAAGATATTTTTGTTTTTCATTTTTTGGCCAGACCTGTTGAACATTTGATTCATGTCCGTTTCATTAGCTGTTTTATCCATTATGCTGACGAACGATTCGATGGTGTCGAGCTCAGGCAAAGCTCTCCCTGCACCTGTACCTTCAGCTCTTAGTTCAACATTGATCACTTCCAGATCCTTGGTCAAGAAAGATGCACTTGCGCCTGAAAAGTCTCTGAGCTGCTCTAAATTTGATTCACTGACACATTTTTCTTCTCCATTTAAAATAGTAGAGACTAGGCTGTTCATTCCTGCGCCATTTTCACTTTTCAAGAAATTGATCAGATCTTTGCTGCTTAAGGTTGGGAGCACTCTGTAATTGTTAAATACATTCAATGAAACCGATTTTGAAAAATTCCCATTTTCTAACTTTCTAAGGCGCCTCCTGGTAACTTCATTAATGGTTGATATGTGCAATGCAGCCAATGTTTTCACCTCACTAGAGGGGGTACGGCTCATTACAGAACGGACACCACTGAGCTTGACTGACACATCTACACTTTCTTTAGGTGGCACAAACAATACGTCGGGATTGCATGTTAAGGACATATTTTCAGTGACGGGTACTGGAATTAAAGAGGGTGGAAATTAAGTTATAAATGAACAGGACGTTAATATTACTGGACAATGATCCTGTGATTTTGACAAATGCAGGAATCGTTCCGTCATTGTAGAGAGTGAGATTGCCGACAATTGCATCTCCGAAGTCGGGTTTCAAAGTAATCCATTTGTTTCCCAAGGATGTTGAAACTTGTCGAAGTATTATTTTGCTGTGTCCCCCAAATCCAGACAGAGGTATCTGTAATGAACTACGTTACAAAATATAGCCGCATCTCAAAATTGCATACAATCTTATGAAGGAAATTTGGTGACGACTTTGGCAACATAGCAATCTCCGCACAAGCAGGGCCTAATCTTGTAGGGCTGAACATGACGGTGAGGTTTTTCTTTTGCTGAGGCCCAAAATGAATTTCAAGTTCAGATGTCACTTCATCAGTATCACTCAAAATCTGAAATGTGTGTTTAATAAGTCATCAAACACAAAACAATAGAATACTTTAAATGGCAATTCACTGTAATCCCCAACAGTTCGGAATCCTACGGTAATTTCCGAGGAGCCTACATTCTGAAATCCCAAAGTTTGTTTGGATGTATCACCAGGCCGAGTAGAGCCCCATGCCACATGAGGCCTGGTAGTCCTCAATGGTAGACGATCTTTGGCCTTTTAGTACAATTAAAACATTTGTTTGCAGCAAAAAGTTTTTTGTTACCACTTGAACTTTGCACTCCAAAGTGACAACATGATCAGCAGCAAGATTATCATACATGAGGTGCAGGTCACTAAAAACATTTTCAGTTGAAGACAATTTTGATTTTGTTGTTGTCAGACTTACCAAATGAAGTTAGCAGCATTGTCGATGTCTGGAACCCATGTTATGAATAAATGCTTATCCTCTCCAGGTAACAATAGCATTTCTGATGGTTCAACATGAATGGATTTCTCCTCTTGAGTATTTCTTTGGAATCTGCAGTAAGGTACAATTTGCAAGCTAAGAGGTACCACACCAGCGTTCTTGACTGCCAATTCTTGAGACACTCCAGGGATAAGAGTCAAGGTGTTGCTGGTTACTAGTAGTTGTGTCAGTCCTACACGCCCAATAATTGGGCATTTCGCCAACAACTTTTGAGGGTGTGATGAAATTTCATGTGCTCCCTCATGCTCGGAGGTTTCAATTTTTAGCGTGGCTTCAATTTTAGCAGTAGTCCCACTAACGTCAAGGTTATCACCTTAACAATAAAGTGAAGTTCTCAGAAATGTATCAATTACAATTAAAAGAGGCTGAGTATAAATTGACTTTGTGTGGGTTGCATAATATATGATTAACTTATTTTTACTTGAAATCGTTACTCGAAACCCATTATAAAAATTGTATTAAACAACCCAAAAAAATGGGTAACATCCCTTGTACATGACCCACAATAATTGAACACTGAAAAATAAAATTTATAATAATTACCTGTGACGGAGCTCAAATTTGGTGAGAAAAACACAATTCCAATGTTGACACTTGTAGCATTCTTTCTATCGTGAGTTCCAGGCAGAGAAAATGCCATGCAAGCCGAGAGCCTCACTTCACCTCCCCTTTCCTCGGGGGGTACCATCAATAAATATGAATTCTCTTCAGCATCCTAAAATTTTCACTTTACAGACAAAGTAACATTTTTAACCTCAGCACACACCTGATCAATGGAGATGCAAATTGGAATATCATCCGGGCTGAGATTGATAATTTCAAAGAACGATGTAGCTTTTGTATCCTCAGCATGCAAGCCAAAGTCAATTCCATCTTTGTAAGGTGTTTTTAGATAAATTTGAGGCTAATTTATAAAAGTCAGTGTAAAATTCAAGAAAGCGATTTTGTATTTACGTCAACAAGAACTTTTAAGGGAGGAGCAACAACTGAGCTCCTTTTCTTGCTCCTTATGTCCATCGTCTGAACACCAACATTAACTTCAATTTCCCCAGGTTGATGGAAAATTATTGTTCCCTTAAGTTTGAATAAATTATAATTGCAACAGAAGTTGATAAAAATTCACTAATATACCTGCAATGTTGCTTTTCTCTTTGACAGGAGCATAACAGGTTGTGACTGGTTGGTGACAGAATAAGCTCCATTATCTGCAAGGTCTACTAGTTCACATTGCAATGTGTCGCTACCCTCATTGACCACTGTGACTGACAAGTTGCAGGCGTGAGCCACTACTTTTTGCCCTCGAATTTTTGTATCAAGGCAGACAAGGTGCCCAGTTCCTCTGATGCTTCGAACAGTTGAAGGTTTGGATGCTGCTACCACCTTGGACTGAGGACGGGGCAAGCGCGAACCTGCCTTCTTGGGTGTCAGGGGCGCTTCTCCTCTGATGTTACGAGGAGATCTAAAAGAAAAATTAATCCTAGAAATGTTGGTACAAAATAAAAGAAAAAAGAATAAATCACCTTAGATTGGCTTCATCACTTTTGTTTGCCAGATAAAGCAACTCCCTCACAACTGTGTCACTCCCTTTCCTGTCATCCATGAGATTAGCAATAGTCGAAATACTCAATGCTTCAATGTCAGGTACCAAAGTGTGATCCAAATCTGAAATATTTTGAATATCTCCATCTTTCCCCAGAGTTTAATGAAAAATTGAAATAAAATAAGAAAAATATTACTTTGCGTATCATCCAATGTTATTGTGTTTTTTCTTGTGTTCTCTGTCAAGTCTGAAATCCCAAAAAATATCAGTATTGGAAGCATAGACCAAATGTGAATTTAAGCTTGCATAAAATTTACCAATTGTTTCTTTAAATCCTTGAATGTATTCTGGTTTAGGTCCTCGTGGAAGGGCAGTGGCTACTTGCGAGCAAAAACTTTCCTGCAAGAAATTTAGAAGTCAATATTGTCAATTTAGATGAACAAATATATTGTATACATCGCTATCGAGACTTTGGCTAAGCTCTTTCAAGTCTGATGACTTCAGCTGGAAATATTGGCCAATGGTGAGCCTTTTCCCATCTAGCTGAGCTCGTTTTTCAGGGCTAACCCAAGATTTCCTAAAGGTGACATTAAGAAGATGTAAATAGAAAAAATAGTAAAATTCATCGAATTTACCTGGCATCTCCAGATGGTGATGCAAAAGTAAGGCTGGGATCTGTTTGACGCACACCAAGTGTTTGGAATTCCTCTTCCGCCTTTTTGAACATTTCACGCACAACTGATGATTCTATATAATATAATTTAAAAATTGATAAAACTTTCAACACAAAATAAATATTAAGTGACCTGCTGGTTTGAAGTCAATGTTATCAAGGAAAGTGTTTGGCAGACTGGTTGGCCTGAAAGTAAATTTGTTAGAACATTGCTTTCTTATGCAGGAATTTCAAACTGACCTAAAGGAATCGCACTTTTGAGAAGATGTGAGGAAATTGCTTAGATCAAAGCTGGAGTTTGATTCCAGACATGTATCTCTAGCACTATTTTGAATCTGGAAAATATCCAATATTTAATAATTTTTTCCTGGTTATCGTTCTTCAAATCAAACCTTTTCAGGTGAGTGGTTTTTATTTGACTTTGCATCTACTTCATCGCCAACAAATCTATGGCTGCCAGCTGTATCAAACGGAGAAATCATCTCTGTAAATATTTGAATTGCATGTAAAAATGTTACTAATTTATTAACTAAAGTAGCTAACCTGATTGCCTCAGAATTCCCAGAGAAGACAGATCCTGATACCCTTGATAATGTGAGCCAGGTGAATTAAGGCTGAATTTGTGGACAGCGTTTTCATTTACTGAGTCAGCATCATCCGCAACATCGTTCATGGGCAGAACGCATTTATTTATGCTCCCTAAAATTTTGTCCAAATGCGACGCCGACTTACGATAATGAGCTCTTGGTTCAGTTTGGGTAAAGGAAGCTAGTTCTCTTGACACTGTGTTGGCACGGTAAGGCGAGTTGATTTCTGAGATGTCGGTCTCGTTGAGGCTAAAGAAATATTGTTGCCGTAATTTAAGTTCCACCAAGAATTTGCAAAGAAATGTGCATTCAGATTTTCTCACCCAAGTCCAGCATGGCTGATGGCACGTGGTCGGAGTGCAGTTGAGGTCAAAATGTTAAGCTTCAAACGATTCAGGGAATTTTTGTTCAGGTCTGATTGTTTTGCTGGCGTATGCATTCCATCCTTGTTAGGACTTGTTGAGGCTCTCAACGCCATTTCGAGCAGAAAATATCGTTCCAAACCTTCTTGAACACATGTAAAGAATTGCGATCTGTGCTGGGTAGAAAAGACGTGCGTTCTGAATAATTTTCGTCGAAAAATTCGGCTGGCTTGCCTTCACAGATAAAGGAAAATCACAATAAAAACAAACTTTTTTTGATTCAGTGTTTTTCCCGCAATCAAAAGCTACATTTCAGCTGGCCGCTGGCCTGGAAAAAGAAACACCAACTTGACAAAACTTCAAAACCCTCATGAATTTGTTAATTGCATTGTATTTCATTATTTGTAAAAAGTGAAACTTTATTTCATTTTTGTTTTAGGAAACTCAAAAATTAATTGAAATGTCTAATTTCAGTTATGATTCATGCGTTAGAAAATTATATTCCTTTTACTCCAGCGGCAATAAAAATTCTTGCTTACCCCAAAAGTTGGCTGCAATGTTAGTTTTTTCGAGCACGCGCACTTGCACCTGGCCTGGCACCACGGAAACACGAGCCATCAAAAATCGAACGAAAACAACAAACAAAATACAGCAGAAGCCAGTGGAAGCAATTTTAACCTTAATCAGGTTAGCACTTTTCTCCATTTTTCAGTGAAAATTTTGAGCATGACAAGCACCGCCGCAATCAACCAGAAGGAATACCTCAAGCGATATTTATCGAAAGGTAGAAAAGATGGAAAGAAGAAGCGCAAGAAGACGAAGATCTCAACAACTGGTTGTGGTCTCAACATTGTAGATGATAATTTGGAAACTGTGACTATTGAGGAAGACGATGATGCTGACCTTTATGAGCTTGCAGAGAACGCTCCTCAGGTCGCTGGGGTGTTTGATGACCGACCGATCCACATTCAACAGGCGCAAGACAAACTTTTTGGAGCAAAGTGGAGAGCTTTGGAAGCCGACGAAGAGATTCAGAAGACTGTGCCGGATCAATCCTCGGCACGGAAGAACAGGGGCACAGATTCTGACCTTTCTCCTAAACGAGTTACCAAAGAAAAGTCCAGTGACGATGACGTGTCTCCACCTAGGAAAACATCTAAAAGAGACAAGTCCCCAAGTAGAAAGGAAAATGCTAGCCGAAGAAGAAGTTCCTCGCCAATGAGTGGTAGGCTGGATTCTAGGGGAAAAGAAAGGCGTAATTTTAGAGAAAAGAGGTCAGCTTCGCCAAAAAGTAGAAGGCGTTTAAGTTCTGATTCCGAGTCCTCAGGAAATGAAAGGAGGCGGCCTCCCCCTCAGAGACAAAACCGATCCAGATCACCGAAAAGAGTTAAAGGCAGAAGAGGTGACTCCTCGCAGAGATCCAGGAAAATGTCCCCAGCAGGTAGAAAGCGAAGATCGTCCTCACCGAGGAGAAGAGAAAGGCTGAACAGACCGTCCAGATTTCATAAAGATCGAGACTCGGACTCTGACATTTCACCACCTAGAGAAACAGGTCAGAGAAATAAGTTGAGAGATAAAAGAACAAAATCCCACTCGCCTCAACGTCGTCAAAGCGATTCAAGTTCAAGAGCTCCTAGAAATGAAAGAAGCAGCAAAGAGCCTCGTCGAAGATCACCTGTTGCAAAAACCAGCAGTAGAAGATGTCAGAATAGCTCCGACTCTGATTTGTCTCCCCCCAGACATTCCAAAGTGTCAAAAAAAGCAGATACATTGCCCAGACAAAGACCGATGGACTCAGATTCAGACCTCTCACCTCCTCGAGTTAAAAAGGAGCCACTAAGCCCCTCCGAAAGAAGTCGTCAGACTTCAAAGCCGCCTTCAGTGGTAATTAAACAAGAGCCGGTTGACAGCCAGAATGCAAGAAATAAAACCTTGGAAGGTAAAACGGCTGGTCTGCAAGATGCCAAGACTTTGAAAGCAGAGATGGAACTGTATCGAAAAAAGGAGCAAGAGCAATACAAGAAATTGTCAGATCAAGTGTCCGGACGAGGCGCCCAAGCAGTTTTCCGTGATAGACGTACCGGACGAAAGAGGAATCTAGAACAGGAGGAGGAAGAAAGTGAAATAGAAAAGGTAAAATCTTAAATTGTACTGGCTTTTCTTTTAGTAACAGTTTTTTAATGCAGGAGGCCGAACGGAAACGCAAAGAAGAATTTGACAGAATTGGTCGTGGTGTCGTTCAGGAAGAGAAACGAGCGCAAGCTCTGCAAGAAACTCTTCATGAAATGTCAAAGCCAGTGGCGCGCTATGCAGGTGACGAAGATCTTGAACGTCATTTGAAAGCTCAAGAGCGAGACGGAGACCCAATGTTGGATTACTTGCGTGCAAAACGCATCAAAGAGAACCCAGGTGAAAACAAACCAGCGTACAAAGGACCAGATGGGCCTCCAAACCGCTTCAATATTGTGCCTGGACACCGCTGGGATGGGGTGGACAGGTCAAATGGCTATGAGAAAAAACTGTTCATCAGTAGAAACGCAAAAGAAGCTCAACAAGAGGAGGCCTACAAGTGGAGTGTGGCCGATATGTAGATTTGAAGAAGCTCTATGTTACTTTAAGAGGATTTTAGACTATTTATATTTTATATTCTGAAAATTTAGCATTTGCAAATCACAGTAAATGAGACTTTGTCTCGTGCAGGGGCAACAAGCAATGCTTAGAAATGCAAACTACTTCAGACTCAATCCATACGAGAGGCACAAACTGCTCATCAACGAGTACCTTCTCACTAATCCCGGTGCCCACAAACTCCTTAAAAGAAACAAGTATGTTTTCATGATGGATGTACTAAGTAATTTTTATAACTGAAATTAATTGTTACAGCTCCAAAGACAAACGTGATTTGGACGTCATCAAAGAAAATCATCGCTTTCTTTGGTCTGATGAAGAAGGTGAAGGTCAAACCTGGGGCGAAAAGCTGGCAAAGAAATACTATGACAAGCTTTTCAAGGAGTACTGCATTTGCGATCTCAGCAGGTACAAGGAAAACAAGGTATAGATAATTATATTCTTGTATTCCCAATATGTAATTAATAAATCTGAAATAATTACAGGTTGCACTGAGATGGCGCATAGAGCAGGAAGTTGTTGTCGGAAAGGGACAATTTGAATGTGGAAACAAAGTCTGTGAACAGAAAGACCAGTTGACTTCTTGGGAAGTAAATTTTGCTTACAAAGAGCATGGAGAAAAGAAAAATGCTCTGGTGAAATTACGTAAGTTTAATTAAAAAAATATAATTATGCAATATAAACACATTTTTGCAGGTTTATGCCTTCCTTGTTCTAAGAAATTGAATTACTACCACAAGAAAAAAGAAGTGAAACCAGCAAGGAAGAGAAAGTCGTCGGCAGAGGGTGTAAGTGAGGAGGAGGAATCTAAGAAAAGGAAGAGTGAAGCAAGTACAGCTGCGGAGGGCTCTAGCAAAGAGATTGTACCAAATAAGTCTGCAGATATAGATGAATCACAATTGTGGAAGAAAACAGAAAATCCAGCCCTTGTCAAATCAAGAGAGACAGAGTTCCAGGAATACTTTGATGATCTTTTTATGTAAACTGCTAAATTTTCAGAATATGAAAAATATAAATATTTTTGGAAAAATTCAAATGCTTTTTTTTGTAGAGACCTCAGCCACGCTTAGGCGGCGACTGGCTTTGACTGAGCCGTCAAGTTTCTAATCGGCGGCTTGTTTTTTATTGCGGTGGCAGGCGCGGCTGACACAATTTTTTTTGTTAATTTTTTTTCCTTTGAAATGATTTTTTACATTGATAAAAGGATTTTTTTTATATTCTCAAATCTTAGAAATACAAAAATAAGTATTTTTTCGAGGCAAGCAACAAATATTTGAAAAATAGTTGGCTGATGGCTCGCCAAGCCGTGCAATTTCAGCCATGGCTGATCACATAGGCCAAGGAGCTTGAAACCTAACTCCCTGACGTGGGACAATAATGCCCAGCTGGCGCCGTTGCCCTAGATCTTGCTTTTGCAAAACAAAAAAGATAATTTAAATTTCCACTTGTCATTTTGCAATTAATAATTTATTTGTCCAAGCAACAGTAACAGTTGACTTAGGCTTCTCTTGTTGCTTCTTGCTGCTCAAATTTAGGATATTTAGCAGCAACGTCTGTCCATTGGATTCTTTCAAAGGTTAGATCGCTCACAACTCTGGACAAGTCATCAAGCTGCAGAAGAAAATTAATTATGACGTAATATGATTTATAATCATTTTTATCTCACTGGAATCCTGACTTGACTCATCGAATCCCTGTCTCTCAAAGTGGCTGAGTGAGGCTCTTTCAAGGAATCAAAATCGACGGTGATGCCAAATGGGATGGCAATTTCATCAGTGCGAGCATAGCGGCGACCAATGGAGCCAGATGAGTCGTCAACACGGTTAGACACATCATAAGATGTTAGCTCTTGAGCTATATCACAGCAAAATAATTACAGAAGTGAAAATTCTTAACGAAAAACTTACAAAGCTTGCGGACAAAAACATTGAACTCTGGCTTGTTGCTTAGAGGTAAGACGGAGCATTTGATAGGAGAAACTTGCGGGGGAAGAGAGAAAAACTAGAAAAAAAAATAATCAGTAACATTTTAAGCGCAGTCAAAATTGACTAACGGTTCTCTGCTCATCTCCCTCTCTCATGCGGAAGTTATGCTCAAACACCGAGTACATGATACGTCCAATGCCAAAGGATGGTTCAATTACATTTGGCACAACCTCTTCCGTGTGAACTGTTTTTTGGCCTTTCTTGATTTTCACCATGTCCTTTGTGATTTTGAAGGAGTTTCCTCCAGCATCAATTAGGTACTCACTGAAGAGAATTAAAATTGTATAAAATGAAAGAATGAATACACAAAACTATTACCCATCTGAATCGAGGGCTTCCTCAAGTTGATGAAGGCCTTCAGTGTCAAGTCGGTTGAGCACTTCGACGATCAGTTTGGCGTCCTTTTTGTAAGTTTTTCCAACCAAACCTTGGTTGATATTTGGTTCTTAAAAGTGATTTTTTTATTAAACTACAAAGTAAGGTTTTATGTAAATTTTACCAACAACATCAACCACTTTCGGTTCTTTCAGCTTCTTCTCAGCCACAAGCTTTACGCCAGTGGCTTTTGTATGCTGAGTCAAGTCATACGCTGAGCGATCTGCGCATCCAACACACTCAATCCAACCCTACGTTTTAATTTGAAATTCAATTGAAATATTTATAAATAATCTTTTACATAAGATGTAAGGCACTCGGCATCCCAGCAGTCGCAAGCATAGTGAGCCATCTCATTGCCCATGTGTTGCCTGAAGCGCAATTTCAGTGGATCAACCCCCACCTTTACCATGAAGAGGTGGATCCTGGCCATGAAATAGCCCAAGGTTTCGTTAGCAACCAAGCCCTGAAATAAAGTTATTTAAGTTACTTCAGGATGCAATGAAATTAAAATTGTGTTACAGTAGCTACAGCGTCTCCTATGGTGTGGTGTTCGGCTGGTTTACCATCCATTTGAGAGCAAGCAGAGTAAAATAGCATTTTGGTATCTTTGATCGTCTCAAACTTTGGATGACTCTTGTTGTTAGGGTCACAGAAATGTTCAATTTCAGCCATAGTAAACTCTCTAATAATTCATATATAATTAATTTACAACCTCCATAATAAAAAAAAATAGGGTATAATAACTTTACCTGACTCTTATGAGCCCTGATCGAGGTGAAATCTCGTTTCTGAACGAGTTGCCAATTTGTGCAGCAGCAAATGGAAGATGCCCTTGATTGAACTCCAGCAGGCGTTTGAAGTTGACAAATATGCCTTGGGCAGTCTCTGGACGCAAAAAACTGAGGACGCACAAGTTTTAAAAAGATGTAGAAATAAGGGCCAATGTGACATTACCCTTTAATCAGCCCAGACGGTCCAATTTGGGTTCCAAACATCAAGTTAAACTCAATGGGTTCAGTCAAATCGTTCCCAGTTAATGGAGACTTGATATTGAACTTTTGCAAGACACCATTCATCTCGTCTTTATTCATTCCGTCAAGCTGCAATGAAATGCAACTTTTAAGTAATAAATCTCATAAATAAACTATATTTGATGTCCATACTTTGACGATAATGTCTTCGCACAATGCCTTAGTTTCTACCGATGTCTTTTTCTCGGCAGCCACCTTCTCCAAGTGCGCTTTAATGAGATGATCCAGACGGAAGCATTCTCCAGTTTTCAGGTCTTTCACCATAAGGTCTGCAAAACGATCAACATGTCCAGAGGCTCTAAAGTTCAATCAAAATACTAATTAATATACACATTTCTGCATGTTAAGGGATTTTTTTCACTTGAGAACAGGTTCTGGGGTCAAAATCGAGCAGTCCACTTCCAACATCTGCTCTTCTAAAACAAAGAATTTTCTCCACAAATTCAGAATGTTGGTTTTGAAGGCACACCCCATAGGTCCAAAGTCAAACTGGCCAGTTATACCTGTTAAGTTTGTAAAAAAAAATTAGAAACAAAGTTGGAGGAATTTGAATGGTAAAATATATTAATAAAATTCTGACGAAATTCTTAAAAAAATTACTAAGTGACATACCACCATAAATTGCAAATGATTGATCATAAAAAAATCTTCTTTTAAGGAGATCTTCCATCTTTGCTCGATCAAATGAGGCTGAAGCAGGAGCCAACGCAAGTTCTTTGTCTTCGAGCTTCTTCTTCCTCAACTTGAGCTCAGCGACAGCCTTTTTCACATCAAGTTCAGGTGCACCGCTCTCCTTCAATGACCGTACAATATCGCCCTGAAATATATTAAGAACAAATAGAATGTGATGGGATGGTCCCTGGGCGTATAAAAATTATAATTATGCTTCAGTTAGCAAAAAGATAAAAACTAAGAAATTTAAAGAGCCGCATGGACAAACCTGCTCTTTGACGGAAGCCCGGAAAGGTGCCAAAATCTCCTCTGTTTTCGGATCTGCCATTATGGATAGTGGGAAGTTTAACTTCACAGAACGGTTGCTCTTTTTAGAGCCCCACGCGGGCACGCTGGGTGGTTTTGTGCTGAAACAGGACTTCCTGAAAGCTAAATTTGCCGATTTAGTGGCGATCGCACTGCTCAGCAGTCGTGTCAATAATCGCATGCCGCATCAGCTAGTTCTGTCTCCCAGTCAAAATCCCCTCCTGGTTGTGGTACGGACCACTTGCCGATTGGTGCGTAAAGAGCGGTGTGCAATCCTATTGGATGCTCAGTCACAGAACGAATTGTCGTGATTGGTATTTCAGGTCAGCGGGTCAGAGCGCCCATTTTGAAAGCTAGGTACCTTCACTTTGCCAATCCACTTGTCTTTGCTTTTGCATGCAATGATGTTGCACCTTTCTAAATTTGCTTTCTTCATTCAAAGCTACCTTAATGCAGTGCATTTCATAGGATCACCCCCGAAATAAAAATCTTGAAAATTATGGGAATTGCTTGACATCACCTTGTGGTTTTATATCCAAAACACATAAGAAATTAAATTACCATGTCATCATCATGTACCTATAAATAGTTACTCTAGAGCACAGGATTATTCCCTCTCCATACATGATACCCAGCCATTCATTTTAAGTTATTAAATTTATATATCTAATGTTACTTTTTAACTGTGTTGTTTTATGTTGTATTTTCAATCAATCTGTCTTCACAAACATTTTAGTATAAAATGCACCTGCAACCAAAGCTAAAGAAAAGGTATGTTTGAGCTGCACTGGCAAACTTTTCAGCATTTCTGAGGGTTGCAAAACTTTTATTTTAACGATGAGGCGAGATTAAATGGTCCTTTTGGCCAGTATATTGGCAGGCGTCGTCTGAATTTGTCAGTGCAGTTGAATCTGTAAACAAGAAATCAATTAACAATGCTCTCATTAAACTAGGAATTAACATACCTTAGAAAACCTGAGCATGGTCGATACTTTATTAGTCTTCATCCTCGCCAGACTCCGACTCCTCCTCAGCATTTTGGAGCCACTCAATGAACTTCTTCATCTGGTCAAGGAACATCATCTTCCCCTTGACAGAATGGCCTTCTTTGTACCATCGAAGGATAGCTTCTTCCGACAATACATCAGCTACAAAAAATAACATTTTAATTCCAGCAAAAAAGAAAAGAAAAAAATGCAAATTACTTCTGTAAAAGAGCATGATGATCTTTGAGAAGACCTTCATGAAGTTCATGTTGCCATAGCAATATTCCTGGACTCTGAGCATGAGACATAGCTCAGCTTTGGCCGATGTAGTGAAGGCAGCAAACAGCGGGGCAAACGTTTTCAGATGCTTGAGGGCCTGCTCGCCGACCAGCTCTTCCTTCTTGTTCCATTCAACTTGTGCCATGACGCTTGTCCAAATCTGGAGACGTTTGTCAGAAAAAATGCAAATGCAAAACTCTAGATATGAATACCAGTGAGATGACATCACTATCGGCGATAGCGTTTCTTGATGACGACTCTCGAATTTCCGCCACTAGGTCCTTAATAGGGCGCCCTTCGGAAAGCAGGTCCTCCAGCTGCAGCTGCATGTCTTTCTTAGCTTCTTGGCTAGCCTGCGCCCTGTGAAGCTTGACGACCTCTCCAAGACCCTTCTCATCGTAGACAACTTTAAAGTGTTCCTCGCCCCGCTTGTTCATTGGGAAGAACTCCATTAAACTAGAATAAAACCCTTGCAGTTTCTGCAATAAAAATCAAGATTGAAAATATTACCGTCCTTCAAGGCCGCCTTTCTTCAGAGCCATCATCAGTGACGGTAATCCCTTTTCATTTTTCCAAGTGACAAACACTTCAAGCAGAAAATCCAAAGCAAGCCCATCTTTCACTTGATGTTCCTAAAATAGATTGAAAACAAGGTTGCATGTAATCTGAGATTTAATGGGTAAAGAGGTAGATACACTAGCTAAGCTTCCTTCAAACGGAAACTGATCTTACATTGATCATGACGAGCAAAGTTGAGGGAGGTACAGAACCATTCACCATCCACAAAGCTGTCATACGAGCCAACTTAAGACGCTCCGATTCAGTGAAGCCTTTGAGATAAACAAGAATCTTGTTCATCTCATCCAGAAACATCTTCTCAAGATACTTGTAGCGACGCATAAGCTTTACAAACACTTGCTCGTAATTATGCATCGTTTCCATGTCCTCGGCGGCATCAAAGATGCATGAACCCCACTTGCATACTTTGTCACCCTCAAGCTGGATACTGCCTCCTGGCACTGCAACAGAAAATTTGTTTCAACACTAAGCTCATGTCAAAATCAAAGAAAATTTTTAAGGATTCTAGAATTCATGTATGAAATTAAAATGAGTAAAAAATGCAACTTTATGCTGATCTGATTATTTGGTTTCTTTGACTCATCTAAGTGCCAAAAATAATAGCTCTGATCTTGCTCCTCATCACTATGAGTAAGTCACCATGTTTAATTATTTATTTACTTTTGGTTAAATTACAAGATCATAGCTTAAATAATTATATAATCAATTAAAAAAAATGTATAATTTTGTAACTTACTAAGCAACCCTCCAGCAATGAGAATGTCAAACAGGGCTTCGCCATAGCGACGATAGTCCAACTTTGATCCGGCAGTGTCGAGGAACTTGTAGATGGCCTCTAGGTCGCTGCCAGCCTTGGTGAGTCCCACCAGGACCGCGTCGCGGAACCCGGCGGGGTCGTACTTCTCTTTCTCATCTTTAAATATAAAAATATTTTATACATAACTCTGGATAACATGAACAATTTTAAACAGTTGGAGAGCATTGAGTTGCAATTTAAACGCGTAGGCAAATTTTTTGTCATAAATTGCAATTTCAAATTGTGCAAATTATAAATTAGCAGCGTTTTTTTTTCAGATTATGTATTCCACTAATATTAGAAGAACCAAAAATGCTCTGCCACAATGCAACGGTACATATTGCAAAAGAAGTGTGCAGGCATGCCATAAAAAGAATTTCACAACAAGGTCATTAACCAGGACTAGCATTCAAGAATGCAGTTGTCCCTCGATACTTATGCAATGCAACTGACAGCAAATCGCCAGGTCAGCCTGTTTACTTTTTAAACAAAATTAATAATACGCACCTCTTTTTCTGGTCTTGATGCGTTGACCCGATAGCACTGGCTTTTCTGTTTTTTGACTCATACAATTCCGGCTGCAACAAGGAAGAGAGAAATGAAGGAACTACTATACTGTGTGAGTGACCTCTATTTGTTGCAATCGGTGCTGACCGTCGCGTGCGGAATCATATTCGAACTGTCTAATAAGATCAAGTAACTGAAGACGCAGGTATTGCGAAAAAATTATGAATCATTCGCACAAACCCTCGCGAAACAAACCCTACGTAATTAAATTAGCGCGCAAATAAAATTGAAAGCCTTGTAAGCCGAAAACTTCTGGCTCAACACGTTGGCCATGGAGGACGCTCGTCTGACTGCTTTAACCAATGATTCCTCCGCTTTATCAATATCTCGAGGTTGGTTAGGGTGTATTTTTGACCACTATTAGGGGCATGAAGTGGCCCTTTTCGCCCTTTCTAGTACTTACGGGTGGTCTTGCGGTGTACAGCAGCTTCAAGCAAATGACGATCAGGAAAGCGGGCAAGCGCTGAGAGCGGACGGGACGGGCAACGTGTGACGGAACTTCCGGCGGCGGCGACCGATTTTACGTAAGTATGAAACTGGCGCCACTTTTGAAAGTTGAACAAAATTTACGATTTTCTGAAATATTATGGATGGACGACAAAAGAAAATCTGCATACACGCCGGATCGAGGTGATCGGAAAAAGGTTTTTGTAGTTGTGGTTTATGAAACTGATATGTAGATGAATTGTAAAAAAAGTGCAAAACATAATTTGTTTGAGCAGCGAGGATTGGCAGCGAGGATTGGCAGCGACAAGGAGGGCAGCGAGGCCAGCGAGCGCAACATGAATTTCTATTGGTTCTGGTTGTTGAACAAAAAAACGATGCGCGCGCACCAACCAAACACGCGCAAGCAAAAGTGGGAGTGACGAGAGAAAACATGGGCGCACGGAAAAATTAGCAAAATTGTAAATATACAGAAGAAAATACGTTTTTATTTTAAAGTCGGTTGTTTCTGTTCAGCGTTTCGGCTAAGAACTTCAATTTTACTGTGTCTTCTTGACGGCAGAAAAGGAAAGACAAAAATCAGAGGTGATTATCAATATGAAATACAAATAAGAGTATAAGACTAAGAGTATGGACTTTAGTTCAGAAAAAAATCCAAGAAATTTGATTTATATTGATGGAATATTAAATAAATAAAATAAATTATTATTGGTAGTTATATGCAGTACATAGCCAGGTATGTGTTGATACTAATGACAAAAACTAAAGCCTCCTCAATTGTATTATGATATAATATGTATGTATGTAGCTAATATGTTCTTTCTATTATGTATTTTAGGGAAACAAAATCCTACAGCGGTTACTGGACTGTTTAGTACTTCGATTATAAAGCAGAAATGATGCTGAGTCGCTCAGTGCACAGCTTCAAAAAAATTGCTAATCCATTAGGCTGGGTATGAATTCTTGCACATACGTAACGATTAAAAAAGAAAATTAAAATAATTGCTCATAATAATGTATTATGGAAATTTATGTACATGTATTTATTTAAGATTTGGTCGTGTTGCTAAGAAATTCCTCTTAAAATTTAATCATTCACAAACAAAAAGCATAATAATTATCTTGTAATACATTATTTTTTTCTCTGCAGTTAAACCCCGTCAACCCAAATGTTTTGATGCCATTGGTGGTTCAATCTAGTGTACAGCAACAGCAAGTACGCACCACAATAAGAAAGCATTATGATCCAAAATTCCGAAGGCTTCGAGGCGCTAAGGTATTTAACTCTTTGTAAACTCATTCGTTGATTAAAGTCACTTTTGAATTGACTTGAACTTGTGCCTTCTTCATAATGCAATAAATTGACTTTGCGGTTTTGATGACCATCATTTTATAGTTTATCAAAGTGGACTTGCCAGATTTAAATGAGGACAAAAATACTGACTTGACCCCTGAGATTATGAGGACAAAACTGAAGGAAAAGGGAATTCAGCCATTCAGAACTTGGAATGAGAGAAGTTTGTATGTGTCTAATTCTGGGACTGTGTTTGAACCATATGTCCCTCCTGAGGGTGATGGTAAACTTTCAATGGTGACTGTTGAGGTACGTGGTCTCATGTTTACTGATTGAAATGGTAAATAATAGAATGTTAATTAAAATAATTTCAGGGAGCAAAGCAAAAGTTTGAAATTATCGAGAAAAAGGGAAAATCGATGCTTGCAGTGAGAAAAATTAAAAGTTACGACGAAGACTTCACTCTGCAAGATTTTGTTGAAGATGCTTTGGAAGTGTATAAAAAATCCCACGAGGCATTAGTGAAGTAAGTTGTTAAATAGTATGTTAATTTCAATTAATTGAATTCTTTTTCATAGCTTTAGGAACAACAAGGAAAAACTTGAAGAATTTGTGACTGAAAAAGCCTACGTGGAAATGACGGAAAATGTTAAATACAAAACATTAGTATGGAAATTCCATAAATCGTTAGGCCCACCTAAAGTGGTGCATGCTAGAGCAGGCAATGTTGTGACAAAAGAAAACATCTTTGCCCAAGTCACTGTTCGATTTCATACGCAACAAGTAGGTCACTTAAAAAATAAAAAATGCAACACATTAATGTTATCTGTGCTTAGTCTTTGTGCATCTATGACAGATTCGGAAGAAAGGAATACGGAGATGAAAATATTATCAAAGACGTTCTTGAGTATGTTGTTTTTGAGAAACATATATCGGAGCAATATGGAGCCTGGAGAATGCACCACAAAATAATTCCTGACTGGATGCCCGCTGCAGAGCCTGTTCCAAGAACTTTCAGAAAACCTGATCCTTTGCCTGATCTTCCAGAAGAGTCCGAGATCAAAACCGCAGAGGACCAAAATGAAGAGTCCAAAAATATGGTCCCTGCTCTTGCATGAATTTGGTAAAATGTAGAGACAAAATTAAAATAAATTACGTTACTCACACATTATGAATTTAAATTGTCTTTCTGGTTCACAAGATTCATACTTCCAATGTACCTTATTGGAACCAACTTATTGTCGGCAACACTGACTCATAAGATGTTCAGATATAAGGGTAGCAATAAAATTATAGGTAGTTAAAAAATTAGTCCTTTATTTTCATAAAATGAGTATTTACACAACTGGAGGGGCAGATATAAAAATTTCCATAAACTTTTCGGAGTGCATAAGACTATAGACTTGCATGAATCTTTTAAAAATTGTCAATTTCAAGGCTTGCAGCTTTTATTTTACAGGACAACATTACATACAGGTGGTGCAGGGAATAAACTTAAATAATCTGCCAGTTACGTTGACATTGAGATTTGATTTCAGAACAAAATTTTACCTTCATCTGTTTAAATTAGAAATTCAACAGTTTTACAAATTAAAAGATTCATGGCACACAATTTGTGGCAATGGCAATTGGCCACGATACAGGTCCCTTCATGATAATACCGGAGAGGCTATTCTTTATCTGTACAAAGATCCTTTTAAACTCCAGGCCACAGCCTTTGGATAGTCGGAAGTTTAACAAAATTTTTCCATCCATCTCAATAGGACACGCTTTAAAAACTAAATGCATTTTCCTTTTGTCAACAGTTGAGACAGTGACCTATAAAAAGATAAGTTCCATAAACATTCGTTCATATCATTCCAGGGTAATTTTATCTATCATACCTCACTCATCGGGTTGATTTTAAACATGTATCCCTTGTGATCCAATACACCTTTCAACGTTGCAATAGTTTCGTCAAAATTGGTTTTAACGAAAAATCTGGTCATCCTCTTAACCAACTTTTGATATGATGTCTAAATGAACAAGTATGTAAATATCACAGGACCTTAAAAAACACAGATTAATTACCTGACTGCATGTTGATTGAGTGCTGTGAAGCTGCGTACTCAGCAGCAGGTCTTCAAGGTTGGGTGGTTGGGAGAAGCACCAGCCACCTGGGTCTAAGGCTTGAGGAAGACTAGCCTGTGTAGCGCTCATTCCCACGGGTGCCGGTTGAGATTGGCAAAGTCTTATATCTTCTTCGCTAGCCACACCACCAAACTCCAAGTCTGAACACAGTCGCTTTCCAAGCGGTCGATTTGACATTGCTGACGAATCATCTAAAATTTACAGGATTGGTTTACATCAGTCAAAAAAGCTTAAATCATCTTAGCAAATTTAAAACTAATAAAACAATTTCATTTCACTCAATTGTTACTTAATTACTTACTTCATAATATTCAATTACTAACAATATACAAATGGTAATAACATTATAGAATTATTTGGTGACAAAACCAGGTGTGCTTTTAAAACTTTTCATGTATAGAACCCACAGGCCACAGTTCTACATAATTTGCATTTTGATCTCAAAGGTGATAAGGAAGTGCCGAGAAGAAAAACTTTGAAACTTGCTGTGCATTGACTTGCTTCCTTGCTTTGGTTATCTAAGCTTTATGAACCAGTGTACGTCATACAGCTAGATTACCAAAGAAAGGACACAAATCTGGTTTTCTGCAAAGAGTGGTTATAAGAAATAAGAATAAAAGCTTTAACTGCTAACACACTTGTTATCAATTAACAACAATAACATATCTTTTTTCCGCTGCAAAATGCTGACAGGTCATTGCAGCAGTGCTTTGGTAATCTAGCTTTATGATCTCATAGTCATGTTAAGCCAGAGTACCAAAGCACCGACACAAGACATTTTGAACCGCAGGTGCTTGTTGACTGGGGTCCTGCCACCAGGAAAGGTACTCGTGTCCTGGGATTGAGGGTTCACACAAGCTCAGAGTCACGCAGTACCTGACCTGGGAACGGATGAATATTTGGCCGTCTCCTCTGACCTGTATCAGATAAAGAAGAAATTTGAAAATTACCATTTGTGTGCGTTCGCTGCATCCATCTGTGCTTCTTGATCTGTTCGATAGAGATTCGACTCGAAGGCAAAGGTGCTAGGACTTTCCGCAGTAAACTCAAGCCCATGTTATCGACCTTTGTCCATGGACTCAAGGAATTTTTCCCATCTTTCCACGCCATGTACTCTGGGCAATCAGAATTAGGTGCATCCCAAGGCAGCTCTAACATAGATTTAATATTAAAAAATTCATCAGTAAAATGATTTCAGATTTTCCAAATATTACCTCCAGCAAGCATGGCAACTAATATTATTCCACAAGACCATACGTCTGCTTGTTGAGCACTGTAAGGCTTCAGAAGGACCTCTGGAGCCACATAGGGAAGTGTCCCGCACTTTTTGTCTAGCAGCCTCTCTCTACCATTCAGTCGGAAAATTGTTGCAAGGCCAAAGTCAGTGATCTTCAAATGATCAAAGGTATCCAGAAGCAGATTTTCTGGTTTGAGATCTCGGTGGGCAATGCCCATGCTATGCAGGTACTCCTAATAGACATAACGTAAATTCGACAAAAATTTATCTGCTACAAAATACTTACAACTCCAGCAATAAGTTCAGTAAAGTATTTTTGAGCCTGTCCCACAGGCATTCCAATGTCGGGATCTGCATAAGATTTATATTTAGCACAATTTAGCAGAAACTTCAATTGAAAAACTTTACCAATCCTATCAAAAAGCTCCCCTCCGGATGCATACTCTAGAAAAATATACTCTTGAGCATTCTCTCTTCGGTGGCCGAAGAAGTGAATAATATTTGGGTGTTTCGTCATTCGATGGATGGCCACTTCTTTTTTTAAATTGACTAATGCGTCTGGGTGCTTCACCGTGTCTACAATTTTCACAGCCACCGCTTCTCCACTACTGTTTGTGATTAGTTTGACCCTAAATTTCAAATTAATAATTTTTCATTCCAATTTATAGGCTTCAATCTCAAACTTACTCTCCATAAGCTCCTTCTCCAAGCACTTGAACGACGGACCAACCGTCGACAAATTCTGAGCCCATCCTCAAGCAATACCATTTAAATGACTGGAAAAAAGAACAAACTATAAATAAATTAAATAAAGGCTTTCTTGAAGAAAATAAATATTTAATTATAAAAGGCATCGACAATTCTAGAAGGATAATCAGCTTAAAAGAAATATGCAAGCAAATAACTAATTGTATAATTCAAACTTGAATTATTGGATATAGAAATTTCGTTCATTGTCGTTCTGCGTCTGTGACACGTTAATTTAACATTTTTGACTTTTGAGAATCTGTCTGAAAATATTAATAATTTTAAATTTCAGTTCACAAGTATAAGACATTTGTATTCAGAGCGAATGTTAAAGAAAATCCAATACGTTCTCAAATCTTTTCGTCGAAAGGGGCGAGGGTGCACTTTGAAAGAGGCAGCCATAGAGACCGTCGAGGCCCGGGGTGCTGCATGCACACTGTGTCTCCAGAATGGCGGTCGCGAGCCGATCGATAAGCCCACCGAACCGCCTCCACCGCCCCCGCCCGGCTACCTGCCACCCCATACACGCGTTTTTCGGTTGTAACGCATAAATCAAAGACAAAGACCGACAAACCGCGCAAGTGGGACAATTTGGGACAGCAAGAAGTCGAGTAATTCCAACACGTGGTTGCTGAACTGCCTTGCCCTCGTCGCGAATTTTTTGCACTTATCTTCACCATCGACAAATATGTTGAATTTTACAACTAAATTCGTTTACATACTTAAATCCTCTTAGTATTCGCAATTATTTACTTACTTAAGGCACGTTTTTCCCGGAAAATCAGGCTTGGGAAATAAGGCAACTTCAGCGCGAGTCGGAGTCGCTCGTATCGACTTTCATGGCGGACCAATGACCAATGGCTTTCGCGCCGGTCTCGTGAGCGAGTGTTCTGATTGGCTGCAACTTCGGAATAATCGATACTGTGACTACCGGGCGCGAATTTCAAACACGAGAGCACGTGCTAGGCAAAATTGAAATGTTTGAAATAGGATAAAAATTGCCTGCTTTTTCCAGATGATATTGTTAGTCAACATTAATTTCAAAGCAGCTTTAGCAGCGGTTAGTGCGCTCGATTGCTTTTGAAGCCATACCACAGAATTTATAAATTTAATTTCTTCGGTCCTGTAGCTAGCTTATTTGCACTTATTTGACAGGGGGCGGGGGGTGTGGCATAATATCTTCCATCTAGCGGTGGAATAATGTAGGTTAAATTAAAAATAAAGAACCCAAATTCCAGCAGACGCTGATTTTCATTCATATTTAATAATTAAAAACAACATCGTTTTTAGCGCAGAATAGTTCCTGAGTGAAGAATGTTTCAACGAATTTCACTTGGCCTGTTTGTAAACAGCAGAAAAACTCAAAATATTCTTCCAAAGGTAAAATATAAAATAAATTATGGCGTAAAAACTTTAGGACCATGTGTGTACTTGTGTAAAAGTTAACAATTATGCATAGTTTTATTTTAAATGGCATCATAATTTCTCTTCATGATTACAGATAAATGTAACTTCACTGGCGGGAAGCATTGAACAAAACCCCTTGGAGTCTGGTGAGTTAAAATGGGATTTAAATAAAAAAAAAATCAATATAAAATGAAAATTCAATAAAACGTATATGTACACTCTATTTAATCTGCAGAAATTTCACCACCCATAACTACAAAATCAAATATTTATGCTGCTGGGCCAAGAAAATTAAGTTTCATGTCCACATTTGAGAAACCAAAGCAAGTCTGGCTCGAAAATCTCAGTACGGTTGACGAAGAAAAACTTTCAATCTTAGATGTCCACCCTCAAGTTTTTGGTGTCCTTCCTCGACTTGACATAATTTCCAGGAATATACGCTGGCAGACACTGTACGGAAGAGTGGTATGAATTTTTCTTATCATTATTTGCCATCGATATCTATAAATATTTCAAAATAAATTATAGGATTTGAATCAAGCGCCTTCTAGAGCTGAACTACCAGGCGGTGGTCGTAAGCCATGGCCTCAAAAAGGTCTTGGCCGAGCAAGGCATGGCAGCATCAGGTCACCATTGTTTAAGGGTGGAGGCAAAGCTCATGGCCCTCGTGCTCCAAAATCGCATTTGTTCATGCTTTCTTTTGACGCTCGATTGATGGGGTTGACAACCACCCTCTCGGTAAAACTAGCCCAGGATGATTTGCACATTGTCGAATCATTAGATATTCCGACCGACGAGAAAGAATACATGGAACAGCTGGTTGAATCCAGGAATTGGGGACCATCTGTGCTCTTTGTTGATGAGTATGCAATTATTATTACATCATACTTGTATTTCACAAAATAAAAAAAATAGGGAAGACAAGATGCCAAGAAACATCACCAAAGCTACGGATTCCATCAAACACATAAACCTTATGCCTGTTTATGGTAATATTTCATTAGTAAAAATTTGCCACTTTTACAAAAACTAATTTAAAAATATATTGGTTCATCCAGGTCTGAATGTCTACAGTATGCTCAAACACGAAACCCTTGTGTTGACGTTGGCCGCATTAGAGAGAATTGAACACCAACTTCTCATGAACATACACAGAAATAAGAGTGCTAAAACTGAAGGAAGGTACCTCCCGTCTAGGCAATAATAGAAACCTTTCATTTTTAGTTACATATTATTAAGGAGATTCACTTCTCTGTAGTCTTAATACAATCATTTATAAATATTTCCCACATAAAAACAACTCTTTAATATTCATCTAGCCTAAGGGCGTAGTTTTTTCACAGATAAATAGGCCTTCATTGAACTGCAGATGACTCGGTTTCAGAAGCAGAGCTGAAAATTTTTTTTTAATTAATTAATACAAGCTCATAATATATATAGTAGTGATTTCAAGTTGCAAGCAAAGTTCAAATTAAATTATATATTTATACCCTGTCCCCTGCAGACTTCCTTGATATTTGTTGATTTTGCCATATAGCAGGATTATTTTCCTTAGGGATGTTGAATTGCTTCCAAAACTTTTCATAATAGTGGTAGAGAGCTACAGGATCATGCCTTGGTGGCTCTTTCAACTTTTTGCAATCTGAAAAAGTAATTATCTAGAAATGATTAAATGAATCTTAATATTATTCTTTGCCTGCAATAATACCTTTTGGAATTCTTCTCTTTGGCATTTCCGACAACTTCTCATCCCTCGATGATCCTTTAGAAAGACTTGTCGATGAGGATGCACTGTTGAAGCTGCCAGTCCTGTTGGCAAATATTATTATCATTGATAAAAATTATATTGTTTTTAGCGCTTTTTAGTTATTATTCCTTTGTTTTACAAAACATGTTATAAAATTCTAAATTTACCTTAAGTTCCCATCAATGTCCTTTAAGGGGTCTCTTGTAGAAAATGACGAAGCAAAGGTCGATTGGTTTGTAGACATGTTAGTTTCTCCAGTGCTACTCGAAGCACTACATGCAAACCCCTCAGCAGACGATTCGGAGGAGTTCAAATTCTTCTTCAGGTCATGTTTGATAAGTTTTGTTAGATCTAAAATTAAAGCAGAAGGAAATTATTGTGTTCACATATAGAGAAAAGAAAAAATTTCCAAAAAAATGCGGCAACTAACCTTTCATGAAAATCTGAAGTTGGCTGGGTGATAAATTTTTGTAGCCCATCTGCTGCAGTTGAGTCATCACCTCATCTGGGTCCAAATGGACTTTAAAGCGTTGCTTGCCTGCTTTGTTTTCCTTCATTTTTTGAAGAGTCGTACCCCAAGGTCCGCCGTCTTGCTGACGCTTTTAAAATCTTGCGTTGGGCTGCGTGTTAATAATAATCACATTTGTATTAAAGACAAAATGTTTTTTGATTTGTTTACTTGAATTAACCGACCTGGAAGTGCTTTGATCTCAAACAAGATGCACAGAATATGTATAATTTTCCACGACGGACGTCAACAACACACAACGGACCTTTAAATTTTCGATTTTCGCGGGGTTTATCAACTCACTCTGGATGGGACGGATAGCCATTCAGCTCGCGCATTTTGATTGGTAGAATTTTATGAAATGTGAGGGGTGAGGGTAGTGAAGGGGAAGGAGGAGCCTCCTTGAAAGGAGGCAAAGGAGCGGCCAGGTAAGGAGAGTAAGGCAAGGAGTTAAAAGATTACTATAATAAATCCATGGGATCTTTTAAAGATCCTTGGGAGCGGCACACGAGCAGGTCTCATCTTGGTCTCATCCTTTTGATGGAAGGGGTGAACAAAAATTAAAATTGATAAAAAAAAGTTAAAGCATAATCATTGTATTTTTTTTTTTAAATAAAACCCGGGCAAACTTCAATCTTTCTTTCCCTTTTTTACCAAACAAATATATTTTACGAGAAAATTGGCAACAAGGAAAATTGCATTAATTAAATGAAATATTATGGATGCACACTATAGTAACTTTGCTTTAATATAAGTGTGATTTTACATAACCTCTCGGGCTGATGAAAAATTAACTCACTACAGTTGAATAATGTTTACACAATTAATTTATTCTGCAAAGCATTGTGGGTAGTTATTTTGCTGATTACTTCTGTGCTTTTATTCAATAAAATTGAAACATACAGAATAATCACTTACAAAATCAAAATGAAGATTTTTAGCTAAGAAAACATTAAAGTAGCAAATTTATCGTGCTACCTTAAGCGTGATTAAATATCAAGGCCGGATAGGGGCTCCGCGGCCCATAGGGCGATATCATTGAGAAAGCACGGCCCAGTTTGTCGGCGCAGTCTTCCTTTCCCCATTAAGACTAATATTATATTGAGCCGCGGCCCACCGGGGTTGGGCCTGAGCACCCACTCCAGGCTTGTTAAAATAATGAATTATACATTAAGACCCATCATCCTACAAATAAATCATGAATTTATACAGAATTAGCAAGAACTGATAGAACTAAAAATTTGGTCACCAGTACAGATCTAAGCGTCAGCAGGCGAAACAACAGCAACTGACTGAGCTTGTGCTTGAGGTGGTGAGCCTCCTGGCACAATTGCACCTACACTGGGCAAAGGAGCCACCTGAGCAGATGACGGAGGCAGACCTCCTGCTGGAGAATGAGTAGCTTGGATAACTGGCGGAGGCAGACTCGCAGGAGGCATTGGGGCTCCTGGCACAACTGCAACAGCTTGAGGCGATCCTGGTGTGTCTTGTGCGGCCTGAGCAGTTGCAGTAGGCCCTGCTGGAGGGGGTTGGGCTTGCTGCTGCGCCCAGAGGTGCTGTTCAGCAGCAGCTCGTTGATGGGCTTGTTGTCGGGCACGGAATTCAGCTGCTTTCAACTGCTCGAGGTGAAACTGCTGTCGTTCTGCAATGAGTTGCTGTCTTTGATACTCGAGCCCTTCACGTTCCCTTTCCATGGTGGTTTCAAGCTCCTCGAAGTGTCTCAGCTAAATTATTTTATTTTTTTAATTAGTACACCTTTTTCAGTGAAATATCAATCCCTACAAAAATACCTTAATTTCAAGCTTCTTCATTTGCGTTTCAACTAGCAAAGCCACAAGAGACTTGATTTTCCGCTCTTCAACTGCAGCCAAATGCTTTGCTTTCACTGCTGCAGCAGCCAAGGCAGCAGCTGCAGCGGATTGAAGCTGAGCATCCTTAATAATCCGTTCCTTGGCAACGACGGCAGGGTCTTTTTCTTTAATCTCCTCCTCTGCCTCCTTTGACTCAGCATCCATATCTTCACTCTCTTTGGGCTCTTCCTCGTCCTCTTTTGGTTTTTCTTCCTTGTCCACCTCCATGGACTCATCCTTTTTCTCATCCTCTTTCTTTTCGATACTTTCCTTATCTTCGATCTTATCCTGGAATTAAATTGTAATAACAAAATTCAACAAAATTTGATTTAGTATCAAACCTTCTCTTCGCCCTCCTTTTCTTCTTCTTTCTTTTCATCGCCCTCGACCTTTTCATCACCAGGGGCAGCAGTTCCAGCTATTCCGCTCTGAAGAAGACCTGCACTCGGGTCAAAGGCACCCTCTTTGCCAGAGGCTGCAACTCTCTGAAGATGGGCGTCAAGCAGAGCAGACGGAACCTGGTTTTTTATAATTTAATTTTTTTTAGAATGAACTATGCAAGATTATATACCTCGTCGCGGATATTAGAAAATTCTTGCATAGCAGCTTTGGCTGCACTTGAAGCAATCCTTGGGTCAACAACAGATGCCAAGAATGCAACTGTTGACATAATTGGGTTCCCAGCTTGGCTGAATGGAATTGGTTGGAAAGCAAGTGGACCCAGCCACCCATTGTCCTCAACACTCTCCAGGTAAGGATCCTCTATGGGGAGGCGCAGGAAATGCAAAATGCACTCGTCTTGAGTGCGACTGCCAACGTGCTCACAAACCTATCAATCCACTCTAGTAGCTTATTATGGATACCAATGAAATGACAAACCTTGTTCCAGTCATCTTTGTAAAGTTCCAGACCCTCAAGCAAAAGCAACGTTTCCTGTTCAGTCCATTCTCTGGCCATGTTTGCAGCAGTTTTATTCCTCATGGCTGCAGGTTTCTTGGTATACTGGTCAAGTTTGAGACCAAAGTTTGCCCCAATAGCTTCTGCTGCAACGAGAGTTAGATTCATTAAAAAAAAAAATAATAATAATAATAATAATTAAAATATACCTTCTCCTTCAGTTTTAATCTTTGGATCCTTCTTGTCCAAGTCCAACAAAGTTTTGGCAGCAGACGGCTGGGGTGTTTTTGGAGGATTGACTGGAGCCAAGCCGCTGGGTGTATCAGCCAATACATGGAAGTGAGATGTTGGTGGCGGACCCATTGGTGTGGGACGACATTCAGCATCAACCTGATGACATTTATACTTTAATTGCAGACAAACGCAAATGAAAAATAAATACTTGATAATTAACTAGTCCCCACTGTTCAAGGAATGCATGCACACGCATAATGGCGCACACATCTCCAGCCAAGTTCCTCCTGCAAGCTGTGCTTGTGAGATATTCTGTCGGATTCAGACGATACGTGTCAACCATGAAGTTCCTGTAAGCCAGATAGATTTCTGGGGTCTTTGAACGGTTCTTGCCATTGAAAAATTCAGGCATGGCCCTGCGTTCAACAGTGTGAATTGCGTTATAGTCAAACCAAGCCGCATAGCTTGGAATGACGATGTGATGAGTTTGCTCCGTTACGTTGTCCTCCTGTTCAATTGAAAATAAGTTAATTTTTACTTCAAATAGCTGCATTTGCATACTTGGCCATCATCTTTAGCAGCATCTTGATTTTCCACACCTCTTCCAGTTTGAGAGTCTTCACCTTTTTCAGCATCTTCGTCTAAATCAAGAACAACTCCACCTTTGATGGGCTGCATCTCGGAATCCTTTGAACGCGAGGCATTTGACGGGTTGGAATTGGAATTGGAAGCAGAGCCTGGCTTCAGATTAACTTCCTGAATAATGCTGTGATCTTGAGAACTTTCTTCAGCATCCTTGCTGGCATCGTCATCTTCGTCCTCGCCGCGGTGTTTCTTGCCACCAACACCAGGAGCGCGTCCACTAATCAAGTCTATTAGCTTCAAAATCTCAATAAATATTACTTATCATAATTACCTCTTCCTTTTCCCGGGTTTGGGTGGAGGCGAGGGAGATCTCTTCCTTTTCGGTTTCTTCTTTGACCTCTCTGGATCTCCTAAATTCATCATGTCTTCGACGGAGAGTCGGAGCTAAATTTAATTTGATTAACAATATTTTAAGCAATCGTATAATATTTTTAATTTACTTTGTGCACTTTCTTTTTGCCACTTTCGTCAACCTCATAATCCTCTTCTGTCATCCACTCGTTGTACTCTTCTACCTCATTGACCCAAGATGCATTGACCCTCCATGGTCCATTTCGGCTCTGAGGCGAATCGGGAGGTTCGATGGGAAGTTCTGCAGCAACCCATGAGTCGTAACTGTCAGGAAAGTAGTACCAGTGGAGCAACACCATCCTATCTCGGTGGAACAACGGCCTTGCGTATTCCTCATCGAGGGGATCGCAAGACGGGTAGATGATGTGGGTTGCTTGATCCTCGTTCTCAGTGACCGTTCCTTGATGTTTCTTTACAATTTCCCGAACCTTGGCCTGAGTGGCTTTGTCAAGATCTGGCCTCAGGCAGACTACAGGAAGTGTCAAACATTTGTTCTGGATTAACGCTTTCTCCATGCTCACAAAGAGCTCGATGTTGCGTTCCAACCGTGAAGGTGACTAAAAATTAATTTTTTAAATTTAATTATAAAAAATATCCATTTTGAAAATGTATAGTTTATTTTATAAATAAAATTATATATTAGCTACCTGGAAATCAAATCGTCTCCATCCTTGATCTGTTCTAAACTTGAAAGCAGTAGCTAAAATGTGGCATAATGCTCCACCAGGTTTAAAGTCAAGAAAGCACCTTGCCTAAAATTAAATGAAAACATTAGGACTTCAATGAGTTGTGAACTGGTAAGACAAAGGTACAGGCAATCTGGTCATGGGAGGTTTTGTAGCATTCTTCCCCAAGTTGTCCTCTTGGAACTGGATGAGCTGGATTGTCAATGACGAGAGTGACTTGTTGGATGGTGGTTCTGTCTGGACATGCTAAAACATGAAAATATAATCTTAGAATGTGGATTTAACTCAGAGCAGCTGGGCAAAGTCATTAATTTTAGAAATATTCCAAATCAAACCATTTTATCAGATTTTACATATTACACAACAACATATATACATATGCATACACAAAGAGAAGGAAATCCTGAAACCGTGTTAAGTTTTGTGAACTCATTTGATCATATTTAAAACAGATTTAAAACATACATATTCTTGACTTTTGTATTGGAGTATGTAATGACTTCAAAACTTTACTTTACGGTCAGTAAAACGAAAAACAAAAGAGGAAATTTTTTGATTAGCGCTGACGAAAAATGCCGAGCCAAAAGTGACGCTTTAGCCGCTCATACCTTCTTGCAATTTTTCAGCAGCCAAGTGCGCACCGCGTCCAGCTGCGTAAGGGTTTCCGGACTCTCGAAGAATTTTGTGTTCGGACCGCCGTCCTTTTTAGGCGCAAAGCCCATCATTTTTGCCAAGATTTTGTCGCAAATATTCTGCCGGTTCAGTTTGATACACAAAGCCGCTATGCTATAATGGAGGATGCGGAACACGACAACAACAGTGGAAGGGGGGGGGGGCGAGTTGGAACCTTTTCCTACAGCGACAGATGGGCTACGAACTTGTAACTCAAATGGTGGGGGGAGAGAGGATCGGAGAAGGTGGAGGGAGGGTGGAGACTGCGAAGAGAGGAAAGGAGAAAAAAACCAAAACAATAATAAACAATAAACAAACATTGGGTCGCAGGATTTGCTCTCGGTCGAGGAGCAAGTCGAGGACTAGTTTCACGTGATTCGTGAATCATTGCTGCGCTGTCTCATTTATTTTGTAAGTACTTATATTATTTAAGTTCACTCTCATTTCATTAAGAAAAAGTGCAATTTATTATTTTGCTCAATATTTTTTGCTCTCAAACATTCTTTGCAAACGAATAATTTTATTGCCCTGCATGAAGAGTGGATATTGGTGTACATATCTGTTATGTTTTGTTTATATAATTATTTCTTGTAGAACCTTGCTCGGAAACATAAAAAGCTGTAACAATGGATTTGGCTGTAAATTGTCAGCCTCTGCATCAAAAGAATGACAGTGACGATAGCGAGGCAGAGCAGAGTTCTTCAGAAACTCAACAATGTGATGACATATTACCAGATGATGCGAGTCCGTCTTCAAAAACCTCTGATCGTCTAATCAAATATGGAAACCCTCGAGACGGGTATTTTTAACAAAATAAATTTTTATCTACAGCGTTTCCAAAAGATTTTTCTTAGATACAATGTAGCATTTTTCATCTTTTATTTGCTTGGAATGACCACACTTCTGCCGTGGAATTTCTTCATCACACCAGACCACGTAAGCCAAAACTTCCAATACATAATTTTCATTTTTGAATAATATTATTTTAAATTTAGTACTGGATGTACAAATTGCGGGAGGTATCGGACAATTCTACAGTTCCCAGCAATGGAAGGACACCCTTGCAAGCTGAATTTACGTCTTACTTGAGTCTTGCTGCCAACGTCCCAAACACAGTTTTTATGATTTTGGGAGCACTGTATGGAAAACGGTATTTTATTTGCTACTTGTTTTGGAATTTTTAAAATTTAAAACATTTTATTTTTTAGCATTCCATTAAAGCTTAGAATGATTGGCAGCCTGGCTTTAATCTTGGTCTTATTTCTGGTGACAACTTCATTGGTTTATGTGAACACTGACACATGTAAGAGCATTTTCTTAATCTTTCTATTCTAAATATAGGTTGGTCAACATAAATTTTAAAACCTTTATTGTTTTCAGGGCAACAAAGTTTCTTTATCTTGACGTTAGCTACAGTAGTTATTCTAAATGGTCTGTATTTATTTGATACAAAATACAATATTAGAACAGGAATGATAATATAATTAATGACATTAATTTTATTTTCAGTGGGGACGGCTATTATGAACCTTGGCCTTTACGGAATTGTTGGCAGTTTCCCGCATCGATACATAACAGCAGTGGTTGGTGGCCAAGCATTAGGAGGTGTTTTTGCTGCTTTAGCAAATATTGTTTCCATCTGGCTCGGAGCATCTCCCCAATCCAGCGCTCTTGCATATTTTTTGGTGGCCGATATTGTGCTTGCGACATCTGTGATTGCCTACTTGGCCCTTTCATCGTCTGTGCGTGTTTCACTTTTTATTGAGTGATAAAATATTTTTATTTTATTTTGCAGCCATTCTTCAAATTTTACATGGGCCTTCGGCACCAAAATGTCCCGTTCAGCCCTACAGACGATGGAGATTCTAATGTGCTACCCTCTGACATTTCGTTTCGTAGAATACAAAAGAAGGTTAGATAAGTTCTATATAATCTCATGGCTTCTCATGTCAGTTTTAATTATTTCAGATTTGGGTGCATTGTTTTAGTATTTTGATGGTGTTTGTCGTCACTATTGGAGCATTTCCTGGGATCACAGTGCTAATAAATTCAGTGCATAAAGCAAACAAGAAGCCATGGAATTGTATAGAAAATTTTCAAGTCTTTTAAGTGTGTTACAGTGAATTTTATATTTGATTTTTACAGATATCTACTTTGTTCCTGTCGTTGGCTTTTTGATTTTTAGTATTTGCGATTACGCAGGACGTCTTTTTGCTGGTTGGCTTCGACGGGTAAATTTTATTTTACTGTAAATCAACATTTTACATTACAACAACTTTTATCTTATTTCATGTAGCCTAAAAGAAATCAGTGGCTTCTGGCCTTGTTAAGTATTCTCAGGATTGCATTTATACCTCTCTTCATGTTCTGCAACGCTGAACCTCGTAATTCGTTACCAGTGCTAATTGACAGTGACGCTTATTACGTATTGATTATGATGGCATTTGCTTTGTCAAATGGCTATCTGGCCAATATAATCTTCATTAATGTTCCAAGGTAAGCATTTTTTTTTAAATCTTGTTGCAAAATTTAAATTAATTTCTGCAGTCTAACAAGCAATGCAGAGGTGGAAACTGCATCCCAAATTATAACTGCGTGGTTAAGCATGGGTACCTCGATAGGTGCTGGCTTGAGCCTTTTGATGATTCGGTTGCTGTAAGATCTCAATTTTATTGGACTCGCTATAATATAGAACGTGATCAAAATAATCAAAAATCTTGTTGAAAAGCTAAGTCAGCAAGTTGAGAGATTTTCTCTCGTTATCTTTTGGTGTGTGCATTTGCTGAAATGGAATATATCCATCTGAATGTTAAAATCTCGGCATATGAGCCACTCAATTAATGTTGCACAATAATAATTATATCATGCCATCTGTTATTTATAATGTTCGTTTTTGACACAAGACTCAAGTTAAGACTTAAAAGCATTAATTGTGTTTGGTTGATGGGTTTGGACAGGTTGTACGTTGTACTGTACTTTCTTTTACGATTCTCAATTTAAGATAAATAATTGATTCATTTTTATATTATTAATGCTTTTTGAGACCTGGTGCATGTGAATGACAAGACAATGTATAGAATTACGGAAATATAATAGATAAAAAATATATGTACGAATTGATCGGTGCCAAGACTGTGTTAAGTGCTTTTAAGCATATATGCATAAATTTACTGGGGTTTTAAAACAGTTTTATTTTTAATATCTTAATCTGTAACGCATTTTAAATAATTATACGCTATTGTGATTACATTTTTTCATTTTTTTTTTACGGTTAAGTTAATAATTTTTACAACTTTCATACTTATTAAAATGCATTTTATGCTATCTTGACAAAATTCGTCCTCATTATATATGATTATGTAAAATTTGTATCCTCTCATCTTGACTATAATATATAATTATATATCTTAAGTAATCAAACTATTATGTTATATACACATGAATCGTTAATCGTTATGAATATAAATATCATATCAACAAAAATGTGAATATTAAACAACTTTTATTAATAATATCATGTGCCTTGCTGAATGTATAATTTATTAATACATAATTATTATATATATACAAAAAATGAAAAGATCATTGGTAATTTATGAAAAATTTGGTTCAGTTTAGAAGGTTTTGAAATTTATTGTAGCTTTTATAGAAGTAGAATAATTTTTAATTATTTCAAATTTTTAAGCTCTAGCTATTCCACCCATCCTATCATGACCACATAACAATATTAAAGTTTTGAAGGTCATGAAAGTATTGTTGGCGTTATCTGAGCTCAAATACCGTTGTTGTGCGCAGCTGCAAAGAAATCGAGACTTGGGCCCACGCCCCACTGCCAGGGAAGGGAGTTTTCCAAACAATCTGCCCTGCCGTTGCCCAAGACAGCCCCGGAAAAATAAATTGCTTTTTTAGCATTTAATAAGAAATTACGCCTTTTTTTCTCGTCAATAGAAGTCACGGCTTATAGGTCCGATCTGTGCTGCATGAGTGGAAATGCAATGCAAGAAGTGGCACTGGATTCCAGGGCAAAGGCACAAGCACATTTAACACAAGAAAACTGGGGACGAGCTTTTGCCCATTTTGTATTGTGCCTAAAACTTGAACCATCGTGGAAGCAGCAGCTCCAGGACCAAATTTCAACTTGCTTATGTGCGCAAAATTTTTTAAATTAAAAAAGTAGAATGAAATTTTCAATATTATCTTCCTTTTTATTGTTTCAATAGGCTTTTGGGGTAAAATATTGGAAAGAGAAGGACGATTCCAAGACTTGCTCCACTGTTACGAACAAGCTCTGGAAGTTTATCCAATTGACCATGAGCTTCTCAATAACCTCGGAGCCCATCTCTTCAGGTAAAAAAATTAACAAAAAATAAGAAAAATAAAAAATTACCATGAAATTACTTTCCGCTGCAGCTATTTGTAAATCGTGGCTCAATGTCCTCTCAGCATTTTGGGCAACTAAGAAGTTACGTAGGCACATGCATAATACAATATGTGCCTTCGAGAGCCTCACTGCCGGGCTCAAGCCAGCCTTTGTGTGGGATTTTTTCCGCACAGAAAGAGCAGAACTCGAAGGGGCTGTTGCTGCTTTAGTAGAGAAAGGATTTGTCCACTCTAATACAACAGTACTCATCTTGGATGATGGGGTGTGTGTTTGAAAACTTAGTTTAAAAAGTACCCTTCTGGTGCTTAACTTTGAAATTATTCTAAATCAACTGCAACTATTGTGTCGATCAAGGAATTCATTGTGGCCTGCACAAATACTCTTCATGGGAGTCTGGGACGAAAAATAGAAGTAGTGGATGTCAGCAAATGCTTTGACCCTCCTAGAGTTGTTCAAAGGGCCAAAGATATTGCGGCCATGGTTGCGTCCGTGAGAACCACTCTCGACTCTCACTCTGGGGTTTTAAGTTTAGACCCGGAATGGAGTGTCCCAACACTTACAGGATTGCTACTTGGTTATCCTGTTCTGTACTGGCTACAACCCAAAGCAGACCATGGATTGGCAAACATTTCCTTGATCAACGTAAAAGTTGAAGGGCGGCACAGGGTCTTGGAAAAAAATTGCGTCTTATCTTCTTTTAGTGTGCCGGAAATGTTTTTTGGTGATTTTAAGGTTAGCCAGAATTTTTATTTCATTCAGGATTTTGCTCATAACAAATTTTAAAGTCTATGATTCAGGATTGGTTTTGCTCCAATTTTGAGAAAGTCGATCAGTCAATCTTTCGACAAATATCTTTTGCCACTTCTGTTGCCACGCAGTCGAATATTGTGCTGTAGGCAAATTAATTTCATGGTAATTTATTTATTCAAAATAAAATCATTTAATTTAATTTAAATTTTTTTCAGAATGGGCCACTTGGTGGAGGCAAAAGAGTTTTTTGAGAAGGCCCTCAGTGCCAAAGAAGACTACTTGCCAGCAGCTCACAATCTGGAAAACTTAGCGTCTGCAATGGTGGAACGTTGGCACTTCCGAATGCTCAACGACACAGTCAGAAACGAGTCCTATCGAGAAGCAATCTTTAAAAAAATTCGGCAAGGATTTTCGACCATACTTGACTTAGGCACAGGCACTTCCCTTTTAAGGTAAGGCTTAAGGAAAAGACAAAACATTCGATTAACTATGCAACGCTCATATTAGTCTCTATGCAATGCAAGGAGGGGCAAAGAAAATTTTTGCCTGTGAAAACTCGCCTGCCATGATTGAAATAGCAAAAGATGTGATAAAATATAACGACTCCAAAACTCTCATACAGCTTATACCCCTGTCCTCAACTGATCTCCAAATTCCGCAAAATTTGCCCTCTAGGTAATAAATTATTTATTATTTACTTCCTTACTAAAAAACATATTTTTAGGGTATCATTGCTTGTGACCGAGACTATGGACGCAGGAGTTTTTGGCGAAAACATACTGCAGTCGCTGATAGATGCCTGGGACAGACTCCTTCTGCCTCCGACAAAATATTTCACTGCTCCTAAAGCAAGCTCACGGAACGGAATTGTTGTTCCCTTTGGAGCAACAATTTTTGTTGCCGGTGTACAGTGTCCGTTCATTGCCAATTCCAGCCATGTCCTACCTGGAAAATGTGAGATTCTAGAAGCTTTGCCGTTTAAAGTGATTGCGTCGTCTGCACTTGAAAACGGAGAGTACAGTTCTGAAGATTTAACAAGGTTACCTGGAGGGTTTAAATTGCTAACAGAACCTGTAGAAGTTCTCAAAGTGAACTTCAATGACCCTGACGACTTAAAAAAGCACCTAAACGGTGAACGTGATAAGACGGTAATTTAGAAAAGAAAATCTATAAATCATTATAATTAATAGAGGAAATTTTCCATCAGGTTGATTTGATGTGCAGCGAACCAGGTGTCATAGATGCCTTCGTTTCCTGGTTTGTCTTGCAACTCGACGAAGATTTGAAAATATCTACCAAGCCGTGCCAACAGTCTTGCTGGGAGCAGGCTGTTTTCGCAACAAGGATCCCATTAGTGGTGGAATCAAACCAGAAGGTCAAAATATGCATAAGTTCGGCAAAGGGTGTGTTGAATGTCCAGCTCGATGCTAAAGATATAGAGATCGATTCCTATTGCTTGGTATGTTCTATCTGTTTCTTTTTTCTCTTCAATCTCTTATTATTTCATTTTCTGAAGCTCGAACCAGATGCCATTCGTTTTTTAAATGACAGAGCCTGGATAAGCGCAATGCATAGCGTGGCAAATAACATGAAAGCGACTGAAAATTCCAATGTCTTGGATCTGAGTCCTTTTCCATATTTAGGTCTGTTGATGCTGAAAAAGGGAGTGTGCAAAAGTTTGACCACCTTGTTAAAAATGGAAGATGCTTGTAAAGACGTGTTTGGTACAATTGGGACTTTACGGTTTATTCAGGATATAGAGGAGCTCAACGGAGACCAAATCTTTGACGTTGTGATCCTAAGCCCGTGCAGTCAACATGGAGAAATAGATCAAGAAGCTATGCACATGTTTGGGAATCTACGGTAGCTTTTTAAATTGGTTGAAATATATTGTAAAGAGATTTAAAAGTGCGATATTTTTAGGAATCACATGACTGAAAATTGCATTTTACTACCAGAGAAGATCACTGTGGTTGGTCAATTATGGGAGTCGCAATGGTTAAACTCAATGTCGAGGCTCACCTCAGATGAAAATGTCACAAATTTTCGAATTTCGGAGTTTGTCAACAAATATAAGGTATGTTTTAAAAGATAAAAGAAGTAGAAATTCAAATTACTTTCAATCCAATTTATGGATAGTATAAATTGTCTTCCTTCAAATAATTACAAACAATTATATCATCATTAAGAAAAACTGATTCACTTGTTATTGAAGATTTCTAATTTTCAGCTCAAGAAACACCTAGATTTGAGTATTCAAAACGTTCAATACATTCCTCTTAGTGAACCTCAACAATTCCATTCTTTTGAATTGTGCCAGCTACCTGACAGTCTAACTTGTGTGGACGTCAAAGTGCTTAAGCAAGGTACAGTTGATGCCTTGGCATACTGGTTCGAGTTTGATTTTGGAGGCACAATTCATGTGACAACAAACCGACCCGATTCTCATTTACTTCAAGCAGCATATCTTTTTCATGAAAGTAAAACTGTTTCAGAAGGTGATACTGTTGTCTCAAAAGTTATCACCCAGTCTGGAATTCTAGACATTTGCCCACGGTCGAGTTGAATTTAAAATGATTTTTCAAATAAAGAAATTTTAAAAAGTAATATTTCTATTTACATCTTTTTATTAATAATCAACTATGCGAGCTTTTAACACATGCAGCAAACCTCAATGTTTATCGAACGGGAATCCATTTCTGGAACACATCAGCGTACTTGACGCGAGCTGGAAAAAATTCTCTCTTAATTTTAAATTCCAGCAATAATAATATTTGTCTTACGTGGTAATTCAAAATCTTCAGGGTGGAGAGTAATATAATGTCTCAAAATAGCGTCCCTCTCGGCCAACTTTCTATCTCTGTAATCCTGGAGATATTTTCCAGCTCCACCGAATGCAGCTATGATAAGGAGTGATCTGGGAGCGCCTGTGACAAATGTAATTTTTGTAAAGTTCATAAAAGAAATTGTTCAGTCAAGATACACACCGCTGTATGCTGGTTTATAACTCGCCCAGTTCATCCACACTGCTGAGGCTATTCCCAGGACGGTGCCAGCCACGACTCCCCAAGTTTTGTACAAGACGTTTAGGTCGTCGCGATTGGAAGGTTCCAAAAGTTCTAAGGCTGTTTTCCTTTCCATTTTAAAAGACTAATGTGAGTAGTGCAAATCGTAGGTATCCGAAGGATTGCTTTAAATTTTCGCCGATTCCAGGACTTGAAAGACTTGAAAGAAAACAGAAAAATGGCCAATGCCACGCCCATTATTTTACGTTCGCTCATTGGTCGTTCGAAAACGATCCACGAGAAGGAGAGAAAAGTGGCGGGATTAAAGACGTGCTTTATTGAAAAGCACGTTTTTGTTTTGTCTACTCGTCGAAGAAAATAAATTAATTTAATTTTGGATGCGTTTCATGATTGAACAGAGAATGATTTATTTAAACATTAATTTTGATGATTTTTGCGCAGTTTTATCAAGTTTTATAGTAAAATAAAATGAAAAGCAGTATAAAATAGCTAAATTTTAATTTAACTAAAGCCAATTTTTCCTTCGGGATAGTCAAACCGTTTTTTAAATTATCATTATTCATTTAATTTATTATTCCATATTAGTGTAACGAAAATTTAAAAATATTATTTTACTAGAATCAACCTTTCTTGGTATGTGATCAAAAAATCTCGATCTAGATTATTACTTAAGAATTTTATTGTCTTGCGCTTTTTGGCAAATTACGTGTTTAGAATATAATATATAGGAGAATAAAATTGTATTATTCTTCAAGACTAAATGTCCTCTCGGTTGATTGTGAGGAAATTTCTTCCGAGAGATTTTCCTGGTCTTCCAGCTCCTTAAAAGTTATTCCCTCTAAAGAGTTGACCGACCTCTGTATATTTTTATCAAATCAATACACGGCCGAAAAATCGAAAAAAAAAATAAAATGCTTGTTACCGCTCTTATATCAAACATAGGGTTATGAAATGCTTGCTGCGTGATTTCCACCTCGCCTTCAGCTGCCGTGTTTTCAAATCTTGCAAATAGGAACGAGGGCTGAATGAATTCAGCAGGAACAGTTCTTCTACGCAAATGAATTTAAAATTTACAAATAATTAAATTGTTTGGTTTGTTACCCCGTTTTGTTAGACAAATGATTGATTGCAAAAGCCACGCCAAGAACTAAAACTGCGGCCAGGAGGATTTTTGAAATAATCGCACTTGTAGTGCCCCAAGATGTTACGGGATCTCCTGAATATGTCGTTCTAGTATAAGGTGTAGTTTCGAAGCTGACTGAAATAATTTTTCAAGTGAAAAACATCACAAGAGTCGAAATTGAAAAATTCTCACCCGTTTCAAACTGCTTTTGCAAAACAAGAGCGAGGGCAACGCTTGCACTCGTGTAAATATTTGGGTCTCTTAGAACAACTTGGAGTTCATTTTTGCCAACTCTGCTGATATGATACAGGACAGGGTATGTCCCCTTTTCCTGATTGTAGTCGATCATGCTCTCAATCATTTGCTTCATTCTTGGCCAACTGCCTTTGAAAGAAATGTAGATCGCCGCTCCTTTTTATTTAAAATAAAAAAAATACGTTTTTATTTAAAAGTTAGATTTAAAATTGCAAACCACAAATGGGGCAGCAGAATCCTTTGGGCTTAATTGGATTTTCGCACATGGGCAGAGCGCAACGGACACTCTCGAATGAACAAATGCGCTGCCACGTCAACGGGTGCAGATCGGCGTTGCATATGCAGCCCCGCGGATCCTGGCACAGTTCATTCGTAATTTCCAGTTGCGAAGCGTCGCCTTTGAATAAATGGAAGCCCGTGTCATCTAAGACCAACTCATGCAATTGTTCTAGCGAAACATCCTAAAAAGTGATGAAAATTGAAATTTTAATTTAAATTAAAAAAATGGAATTAATATCAAAGGCACCTTTCCCTCAATATTCACAGCACCGACTTTGACGGGCACGTCAGGCAACTGGACCTGAAAAGTGCCGCCGTTCAAGAATATGACCTGGTCAGTTTCGCAAGGAATTCTTTCGCTGTGTGGAATGGGTGAATTTTGTCCGCCTTTCAAAGGTTCTCCGCTTGGGCCATTCCAATTTCCTGGGTCTAACCAGTACCGTGCTTCACCACCAGTAAATTCAACATCTTTTTTTTTTTTTTCGAATTTAGTGAATAAAATGCGATAAAAATAAATTATAAACCTTCTCCAATGCAGCCTGATGCATTTTGCAGGCCGGTTAAGATGAGGTCCCCGTTACTCAACAGAAGTTCGCCTGTGGTGGGCAACACGATTCCCTTGACGCTGGTGGCACCGGGATGGAGTGCAATAGAGGCCGACAAACTTGATGGAAATATGACGAGATCGTTTCGGCACGGCATGCGCTTCACATCCCAATTCATTGGATCCCAGTAGTTCGTGTTTGGCATCCAAGTTTTGACCGCATCGGCATTTGTTTGTGAAATCACTAATAAATTTCAATTGCGACGAGCAAAAATTAAAAATCGTTAACCTACCCAAACACAAATTTATGATCAATGCAAAAAATAAATTGCACTCTCCGGATTTCATAATATCAACCCAACGTATGTGCTGAATATTTGAATCCTAAACACCGACTGCCTTTGCTAAGCGCCTGAAATAATATACACGCTATGGGCGTTATTCAAGGGGCGGCAAAATGTGTTGCTTTAGAGATTATTTCTCACTTCCTCATTAATTCTAATTTTGCGTTATCATCTCACAATCAGTGCGGAAGAGAAAATTTTTCGTGCACTTCATTCTAATTTTAAAACATTTTATTTCTACTTTGTAAATTCATTTTCAAAAATTGACCCACATTTTTAAAATCTATCTCAATTTTTTTTACTTAAGAAAAAAGCGCTCGAAATGAGTACGTAATTTTTGAAAAACGAGATGCAGCGCATCAATAAATCAAATCGATTAGGTAATTTATCACAGAGAGGAAAACACGAATAAAGCTGGAAAACACAGCGCGCAGCTACCCTCTCTATAGCCGGGGTTGGGGTGCGATATGCGCCGGAGAGCGTCGACTGGCGCCGACCTCTTATTAATTTTGCGCGCACGCACGCGCCCTACATTACACGGAGTTGTTTCGCAACAAGAACCGAAACTTTGTCCCATTTTTCGGAGAGAAAGTCGTCCCGAAGGGTGGTTGTGGCGCAGGGCGCTCAGGGCGAATGTGAGTTCTTTATTGCACAAATCCATGGCCAGCTGCTATCAAAATTTGAGTCTCGACCGACCGCGCTCAGATCACATATAGTAGCAAACACTCGCGTTAATTAATAGCACCAATCATTTGCTCCGGACGGAGAAACATAAATTATTCAACAAGCGGCTAGTGCAAAAATCACGCCAAAGTTAGGATTGAAGCTTATCAGAGGAATGATTCTATCGATTGCATTTTTATATTCCTTTTTTTATGGAATTTTGCAAATCTTGAAAATTTTCCAACTTGAAAAATCATAATAAAGGCGTATTTAAAAAGAGGATCAATACACAATTAATTGCAGTATCAACAGTGTCATCTTTGCCGCTACTGATATTTTGGAACGAGTTTGACCGAGGATGCGAGAGGGGGATTCCATCCCATCCATCTTCAATCCCCGCCGACCCAGAACCCCAAGTGTGGTGGTGACAACGGAGGACGGGGAGGCAGCCCCTGTTCCCACCACCCCCGTCACCAATGGTCCGTTCACCAGCATACAAAAGCACCCTAGACAACAGGACTCCACCGAGCAAGGTTAAAATTAAGCATTTCTTGATATAAAATTAAAATTTATACAAAAATTTTACTTTCAGCACCCTCGGAGCCTGACACAAGTGCTGCCATACAGCCAATAACAAAGCACTCTTCCATCTGGAGCAAATGCAAAAAATTAAGTGATTCGTGCATTTCTTTGCCTGCGAGAAAGGTAGCAAATTTTTTTTTAAACTTTTTTATACTGCTATATTTTCAGATATACTGTGGCGTTTGTGTCATGGTCGTGGTTACGGGCTGTTGGGTGGGCACTGCTCACTCGTTCAAACTTTTGTACCGCCACCGCAGCGCTACTAATGCTTCCTCACCCGCGAAACCCTTATTTTACAACCTTACCACCCTAAACAATGTTACAAACATCACCAAATCCGGAGAAATTGTCAGCATGGTAAATTTTAAGTAAAGTTTTCTGCGAATTTAAAATATACATACATTTTTTTTTAATTTTTCAGAGGACAATTCACTACGACGCGCCGTTTTGCACTGCGTGGTTTTTAACGAACTGGAACATTTTGTTCTTGCCATTTTACCTCCTCTGCCGAATACCAGGATCGAGGTGTTCGAACCCCACAAAGATAATTGCCGAAGCACTCAGACCGTTCAGAGAAAAGGGATTTACGTTTAGTAATTATGATTTATTAAAAGAAAAGTAATTCTTTAATTCAAACAAATTGTTCAGCTCGTTTCTTTATACGTCTGATGTTCATGACTGGCCTTTGGCTTGCATCCTATTACTGCCTGGTGCTCTCGCTGAGGACGATCTACGTCACAGATTCGCTTGCTTTATTCGCAACAACTGTTTCCTTCGCCTACCTCCTTTCGTGGGTAATTCTCCATGAGCAATTTGTTGGCATAAGGGTAACGTCAACACAATATATATTTTGTTAAAAAGAAAAACACTATTTTTTATTCGTATAGATTGTTGCTGTAATCATGTGCGATACGGGGATAGCGTTGATCGCCTACATGGACGGCATCACGGATAGTCCGACGCTAGGCGGAGTCGTCTTGGCTGTGACATCAGCTACAGCGTTTGCGATTTTTAAGGTAATTTTTTTACGCAATATCCATTCTTAACTGGATCTGAATTTATTTGCAAGGTTATGCTAAGAAAAACGGTCGGCCCAAATGCAAGCAGGGGCCAAATCGCGGTGTGTCACTCAGCTCTTGGACTGATGAATGCGACGCTTTTGTGGCCTGTGGCCCTCGGACTTTTTCTCTCTGGCTCCGAGTCTGTCCCTTGGCCAGACCTGCCTTGGATTACTTTGCTTGCAGCTTCCACTCTTCTGCTAGGTGTGCTTATACTGAAAACATGTTATGGTGGTTATTTGTAAAATTAATGTTTTTGCAGCAACCAATTTAATCAGCAACTTTGGGACGGTTTACACCTACGAATTTTTCATTACGATTGGATTAATTGCCGCGGTTCCATCATCGGGAGGTTAAATTAAAATATTAATGTTCACTTTCAATTTTTTTAAATTAAAATCTTATCTAATCTCAGCGGTGGATATTGTGCTGTACCACGCTGAATTTGCTGGAATGAGGCTGTCTGGCATGATTTTGATTGCGATCGGATTCTTTCTTGTTTTCTTCCCAGATAATTGGCCAGACTATATCACCAGACTGCTCAGGTATTTGAATTTTTTACGTAGATTTTCATAATTATTTACATTAACACCAGATTTTGGCGTGCATAGATTAATAATTGAATTTGAGCGCCTACAAACCTTGCTAAATTTTTTGGGATTAAATTAATTTCGATTAATTCTATTTTGAGCAACAAAAGTCTGAATTTTTTGGTTCAGATTATTATAAATGTCACCACTGGTGGGGTTTTGCAATTTTTATATAATGCTAACCGTCAACACTGCTTCTTACAGAAATGTAATTCTGCTAAGCCATAGCGCTAGGTAAGCTGCTAGATTTTTTAGTACTTAATTTTTGAAGTAAGCATGTGTGTAAATAACATATACTTCAATACTCCTTTTATATTTAATGTTTATTATTCATGGAAAATTTAAATACTACGTTTCCTATTTTTTTAAATTTTAATTCATTAAAAATAAAAATATGTCTTTTAAAAATTTCTCTTTTCAATTCTAAGAAGAGACGTCAAACTTTTGTTATAATTAAAATTTGTATTCATAAGATCGATTTCTTCAACTCAAAACTTTTCCAAGGAAATCGTGTCTGTTTTTCTGTGACCCCATCATCTCCTGACCTGACTTTTGGTACTCTGCAGGGTTTGTTTTGCTCTTTTATAGGGTTAGGGCTGGAGGAAAGCATAAAGATGTCAGCATCTCTCAAAATTTGAACCATTACTGATGAGAGCTAAGGGAACACACACTACGCTGCTTTGCATTTAACTGTTTCCAAAGTAACTATTAGCTCCTCAGTCCTCATAGTAACATTGCTCACGATTACATTAGTCTTATTGCTATTTCGGCTCACAAAAAATATTATTTTTTACACAAATTTATGTTTGGAGTCACAATAATTATGCATTTGCAAGTTAAGTCCCAGCAATTAAATGATTAAGGTTCCCATTTGTACGTTTTTTAAATAAAATTGTATGAAAAATTATGTAAAACTTCTTTAATAAAGTATATAGTGCTTTAACTCACGATAAATTTAAAATTATCAAAAATACGTGCAGATAAATAATTTTTTCATAATTGGCTTGGGGATAAATAAATATCTTTCATCCTTGAGGAAATTCCTGTATCCATCCAGACGATCCCCACCAACCAAAAATTTTGGCCTCATCCTTAAGCACAATAATCTATCTGTACACTTAATATATAAATTGCACTAAAAACGGCTCCTGCATTTGGCAATAAGACAAGTGCGTACATGGAAAGCTCGAATATGCTTATTCGCACGGAATTTCTGCTTATCATAGAACCATGAAAACTAGCTGAAATTGTACATGTAATCAAAAAATTCTGCTTGTACAAGTTTTCAATTTTGCTTTGTTAATTTTCTTTTCAAAATTACACGTAATTAAAATTTGAGATTAGATGCTACGCTATCAACTCGACTGACAAAGTTGATATTTTATTGCAGAAAAATTTGCATCATAATGCTTGCAAACTCCATTGTTGAATGATTTGCATGGATAGATCGTGCTTAAACTAAATTTAAAACTAACTTTTTTTCACGTGATAGGTGGAGTCGGCGCCACAGACACGGCGCCCTCACAGGGCAGCGCCGCGACATCGTCGATTATCGAACCGGATACATCAGGTCTCACTTGCGGTCGCCCTCGGGTAGGGTTCGGTGACCCACGCTTGATGGGGGCAGCATAAGCGGCAACGAGGCGTGGGATTCAGACCATGACCAGTAGGCCCCTTTAGGCGACCGGGACTAGACTTGGATTCACATTTTTTTTTTTAATTTTTCATTTTATTCTTCGCCTTTCTTTTTAAATAATTTTATCCTAACATTTATTTTTTAAAATTTCATCTTATTAGATTATTTACTTTTTGATAAATACATTTTTGCAGAAATTTTGAATGATTTGATTCCGGTCAAGTGTCCAGTCTCCGTGTAGCCCCCATCGTGTTTCAACTTCCAGATAGTTCGTACATCCAAAAATAGAAACTGATATAGAAATGAATGTGATTTGTGGCCAAATAAGGACAGTTTTAGCTGATCTAAATTGGTGTATATTTTCATACAGAAAATTATGGGAACATATAATGTATATTATGTGTGATTACCCATTCATGGTTATTATAAAAAGACTAATTAAGATATTATGTATTCGACTGGATTCGGATTCCAAGTTGTGCGCATAAAATGTTAAATAATAAAATATTATAATATTATGCAGCAGTGGAAAATTTATGAATTGAAATGAAGGCAAGGCACCAACTGAAGAGGAAATATTTTAACTATTATATAAGATTTTAATATCGACTTGTACCACTGCAACTTTGCCATGCACCACAAAAATTACAATTTTAATCCATAAACATTGCAAAGTTGATTTTTACCCGCATATTGCAGTCGCACACAATACATTGTATTTGGATGCATATGCTGCCTGTTACACACACACCCTTCAACCAGATAAATGTGCTTAGAAAAGAGTTATTTATGAGATCATCAATGATCTAACAAATCGTTCAACATAGACATTTTCGTCTTGTGGCTGTAAAATTCGATCTGTTTGATGTTTGGTAATAAAATAAATAAACGAATAGCAACAAGATTACAAGATAAAAGGGTCGTATTATTTTCTAGTTAAAATCCCATCATGAATAGTGGGGCTTTGCGCCGATTTCAGGAAAATCATTTTCATATTCTTCTTGGTTCTCAACAAGAAAGAACTTTCCAAGCGAGGCAACAATGGAAATGTTTAATTTTGTGCATGGCATTCTATCCAGCATAAACTTCTTTCCATCCTTCTGCGTGATTTTTATTTTGGGCCAAATGAACGATACACTTGACTTGCCAAATTTTTCTCCTGGACACACGCCCATAGTCAGAGTTCAGCAAAATGACAGGTAAGTTAATTTAAACTAGCCAACCAGGTGTTAAGAAATTAGTTTCTGAAGAAGTTTCAACACACGACTTGTACAAGGTAGGCCACTGGTTTGACACCAATGATGTGCGGATTGCCTACTTTGAATACATCAGGCGTTTAATATAACTTCTTTGAAAGTCGTTGCTGTTCTACATTTATTTTACATTATTGAATGATCATATTTTTACTTAAGATTCTCATTTTTTTAATGCGGTGACACATCTAATTTAAGGGCCTCCATCAGTGCTTCTCTTGACTTGGGGTGTGAAAGTGTGGTTATTTTTACCAATGAGCCAAGCGAGGCGTTAGATAATTTGCACTTAGCGACAAAGAAGTCTGGGCAAAGAAAACACAGAAAGGTCGTCATGATTTCCCAAGGAACAGACCCCAGAGAAGTAAATTTACTATTTCTTATCTGAATTAATGTAAAACAAAAAACTATATTCACAGATATTGAACCTAGACGTACTAGGGTTCTTTGCGAATTTCGCGCTTGGCCTACTTTACGAGGACAAGATCACTTTTTGGCGGCAGAAATTTAGCGGGAGTTCAAAGGAAGTGCAAAATGAGCCCGTCCTGATCGATGTTTGGAAAAACGAGTCGTTTTTATTTGGCAATAATAACCTTTTTCCTGAGGATTGGAGAAATTTGAGGTTGCGAAAACTCCGGATGGCTACATTCAACTATCCACCATACTCCATAATCGGTGAGAAAGATTAAACATTTCAATGTTTTAATAAAAATGATTTTAAAAAAGAGGGCAATCAATGGGATGGAACAGAAATGAAGTTGGCGATTGAGCTCGCTCGGAAACTAAATTTCACTTGGCAACTTGTTACCGACTCCTCGCAATGGGGTCAGATTTTTGAAAACTCTACTGGTGATGGAATTCTGGGGTAAATTTAATCGACTGTTGCAATAACATTAATGACAAAAAAAAAATCAAGAAACGTCGCTGGTGAAAAGGCCGATTTTGGATTTGGTGCCATTTATTTGTGGTACAACGAGTACCAACATTTGGACTTCACCGTTCCATACATCCGCACAGGCAATAAAACAAAAAAATTAGGTTGAAAAAAAATTGATCAAAAAAAGCATTTAGCAGGCATAACATGTTTAGCGCCCAGACCGAAGCTCTTGTCTGGATTGATGGCTCCAGCCTTGCCATTTTCGAACGGAGTTTGGACCCTGGTGGGAAGTTCAATCGTGGCGGGTGCGTTTGTCTTGTGGCTTATGGCAAAAAAGCTGCACCGCGAGTCGAGGTTGATTGGATTTGTCGATTGCACCCTGACCGTGCTTGGCTTCATGTTGATGGTGCCTGCTCCGAAAATGCCCCCAGGAGTGGTGAAGATTTGCCTGATCTTTTTTTCAGTCCAGGTTTGCATAAAAATCTCGCCTTAATTGAAAGTGTAACATTTTTTATACGAAAAGGGTTTGCTGCTCGCAACAAGTTATTCCAGCTCGCTTATCTCCGTAATGACAGTGCCACGTTTCGGTCAACCTCTTGACACTCCAAAACAAATGGCCGAAATCGGTGCATCATAATTCACTAATTAAAATTAATTTCAATTAAATTGTCATTTGGTTGCAGGCTATGCTTGGGCAGCTAATCACGACGCTTGGGCCTTTTCTTTGAGGGATGCGACGGATAATGTGTACGCAAGAGTTTATAAACAGTTTCGCATTATGAATGAAGAGGAGCAGCAGGCAGCAGCATTGAAGGTAAGTAAAAATTAATTTTATTTTTAAAGAATAATAAATAATCATTTAAGCGCGCAAACAGTGACAAGAATTTAGAAAAAAAATATTAAATATTGAGTTTTTTATATCAAACATATCAACTACATTTTCTTTTATTGTTATAAATGTAGTTTACTTAAAACTTAAAATCCGTTGTCGCACGATTAATTTTCAGGTTTTCGGGACATTAGCCTTTTAGCTTATTCCCTTTTTCAGTGTTGCATTGTGGGTCTCAAAATGAATAGATTTAAAAAAAATGCATTATAAACTAAACACAAAAGTTATTTAAAAGATTTATTAGAATTATTTGGCCCTTCAACTAATTTTTCTGAAGAGAGAAAATGTAAAAAAAAATTATTCGCAACCGAAAATTCTAGACATGCAATGACAGTTATGAACTATAACATTTAACATTGGAAAAGATAGATGAAAATTCAGATTTAAAAAGAAAATTTTAACAATGTGTTTTGTCAAGTATAATGAGTTTTTAAACACCATAATTTATAGCCAAAAAGTATGATGAACCTTTTGAATATTATTCTTAACTAAAAATAATAATAAAAATAACCATAACGTTCCAAATTGACAGGGATTTCGTTTCAAATTAAGTGCAAACTTTAATCCTGAACCTCAATAAAATAATTATTTTCTACTCTGCATGATTTCCATGATTCAGGGCGCCCGCGTTGCGTTTGCCGTTGAGCGTTTACCGTCGGGCCAACTCGCTGCGAACACTTTGTTGTCGTCGGCAGTGGACAAATTACGGCTGATGCGCGAGGATCTTTACTGGGAAATGGTGGTGAGCGTTTTGAGGAAAGGATCCTACCTGACCGACACTGCGAATGACCTGGCCCTGCAGTTGCAACAATCGGGTCTGCTGCTGCACTGGGAAGAACGCGCAGCCCACAAGTGGGACTTGGCCGCCGTCGGCCTCACGCAACAAGCCACGGGGCCCACCAACTTGAAGTTGACGCATTTGGCCGGAGTTTTCGCACTTTGGGCTCTTGCAATCCTAGTTTCAGCATTCGTATTTGTCTGCGAAGTTGCAGCCTGTGCTTCTGTATATGCGTAATTAAATTTTGAGAATTTTTCGCTGATCATTTTCAAGTAATGAATGAGGTAACGCAGCTTTAGCATAAAATACTGTGTATTTGTTTAATGTGTCATATGACTAATTAATTTAATTTATTTTTCCTGAATTATAATTATATGAAACAACATAAAATTATTCACAATAATTTTTTTGCTGATATAGAGTTGTGATAGCAATTAAAAAATTAAAATACATATGCAGCTAACATTTTAAAATCTTGAGTGTCCGTCTGGTTTTAAGCATTTCTTTTTTATGCGATATTATTTAGAGAATAATAATTACAATATCTTAAGAAACTTGCATTATTTTATAATTGTAACTTCCAAGCGATTCCAAGTGATTTTATAATTGGTCAGATTGATGAATTAAATATGAAATCAGTATCAATTTAACATGCAATAATGCCTGTAGTTTTTGCATAAAAGTAAATAAAATTTTAGAGGAAAACTTACATTGCGTGCAGGGCAGAATTTCCGTTCCGATATAATGTTATTCAGGTGTAATTATAATCCAAACTGCGTGTTGATGATATATCTGATGATTTTGATTCACACGATTTCACAATATAATTAAGGATTTAAAACACTTGATGATTGCGTAATCTTGATATTTTCCACTTGTATTTTTTGGCGATCACAACACTATAAAGTTGATCAAAGAAACGTATATTTTATACACATTGCAGCTGCAGCACAATGCGCGCACACGCGATCAACAGTTTCAATATCATAACTGGCAAAAGGAAAAAAATTAAAACTGCAAAATAAGATTTAAAACAGACACAAGAACAGCCGCAGCAGTCGCAACAGCCAACAACAGTGAAATGAGAAACATGCTGCTGCGCTGCCATGGTGGTCGTGGTAGGCGCCTAGGAATTTTGATTTTGTCAAACACAAGCAAAAGTGAAAATCACAGTGGGAGGAGGGATGACGGTCACACTCCACCTCGGCAGATCTTGACAGAAGCAAGGACAGAAAAGGGATTGGAATTAACGCGCGTGAAAATTTGAGAAGGATAAAGTTCAGTTCAGCTAAATGAATACTTAATATTATTGCACGTTTTCTTCACCCTAGTAATTTTTTTAGCTGACCAAAAATTGCGCATCATTTTTTTCTATTCCAAATGAAAATAACAAACTTTGATGTTTTATCATTATAAATGAAAGTGTTATGATTTTATAATTAATTTCTAAACTGCAATAATTTTTTTGCGACAACGGTAGAGATACATTTACTAAAATAAAATGAATCAAACACTTCTCTGTAATTTGGTGCGATTTGGTATTTAGTTAATTTTTAGCAGAGGACAGAGAGGGAACATTTTTTTTTTTTTTTAATATTTTGCCTCAAAGGGCAGTTTTTATTCTCTGCGCGTTATACTTTACAAAACATAATGATAACAAGTGAATGCGACTAGCATTATAACTAAAACTCATACAATTAATTACTGTGCCAGTGGCACCGAAATCACAAAATCGTGTATTTGTAGAGGACGCTTTCAAGCTATATTGCAAGCAAAATCTTTTAACTAAATGAGAAAGCTAGATCAGTTTGATAAGTTTTACCTGTGATCATTGAAGTTTCATTTGGGGATTGGTTGCAAATGCATAAGTGCAAAAATGTGAAAATTTGCAGTAATTTGACATTAACGTTACTAATTTTTTTCAGATAACCAATTTTTAGAAACACAGGAATCGTTGTTATTAATGATATTCCATTTAAATTCTTTGGAATGGGTAAAACTCGCTGACTAACGCAGCGTGCGGCATAAGAAGTAAACAACCCTAACATCAATGATAGTTTTCATTTTTGAGGCATGCCAGTGGGAGTCACAGCGAGCTTGACTTAAGTATCGCCAAGCTAATATGACAAAATACAAAATTACATGTCTTGTCGACAGTAAATTTACAAGACCACGAGCAGCCGATCAGGGAAATAAGAAGAAATAATTTAACAGTTAAAAGACATCAGAGCCAATCGTACAAAACAAAAATCTTCTCAAGCTGCCTGGGCATGGAGTTGTTGCAGAGTTTCACAAGACGGCGTTCGTATGTTCTGCGCCTTTTGGAATAACTGGTGGTCACCGAAATTGCGTGCTTTCCATAGCATTGATTCCCTATTGGTGCGTTAATAATTTAGCATGGCATAAGGTAAAATCAATCAACAATTACCTATAATGCTTTTCTCTGTGGCAAGCGTGTCGTAATCCATTCACATAGTCTTCTTCAACGGACGACTCCAGTCTCCGCAGACTTCCTTGGTATTCGGTATGGAAATTTTCCTTAACATAGTACGGAATTTTGAGGTTCATAGATTTCCTTGCGACAGGGAACTTGTGGCTCTGGTGCAGGGAGTAGAGCGGATCAGAGATGAAGAAACTGCTCATCATGGAAAGGAAGATCAGCAGCAAGATGGGCAGCATTTGGAGAAAAACTGTGTAGCCTCCCTGACCGGCCTGGCCCCCTCCACCGCCGCCGCCACCTCCATTAGCTCCAGCTTGGGCTCTTTGCCATCGACCTCCACGACGGACGTAAACATTCTGATTTGGAAAACCACCACCAAAGAACATGTTGAACAACTCCTCGGCCGTGACGTCGGCCTCAAATCCACGACTGTAGCTGTAGTCATAGTGTCTAAAATAAGAACAATTGGAGGCTAAAATTTAACAACTCATTAGTTTCAATAAATAACATACCCTTGGTGTCTGTGATTCAGACGATCTTCGTCCGAGCCAAACTGATCATATCGTTTTCGTTTTTCCGCATCAGTCAGCACAGCCACTGCATTGCCGACGGCTTTGAAGGCCTCGGCTGCTCCGGGAACTTTATTTTTGTCAGGATGCAACTGCAAGGCTAGCTTCTTGTACGCCTTCTTGATTTCAGAGTCGGTTGCCTCCTTAGAAATGCTCAGCACCTCATAGTAGTCTTTGCAACGTTTGATCCTCTTTACAGCTTCCACTTGCTCGCTCGTATAATCTCCTTCGTCGGTGCCTGCTGCACTTGCACCTTCAAGTTGAAGTTTAATTAAAGAATTTTAACACCAGTACGTATTATGAGTTTATTACATAAATTAATATCTATCTTTACCTGCAGGTGAGGCTGTATTTTCCTTGTTTGCTGTAGTTGTACGTTGACGTACAAATGAAGGCTCGTCCTCAGAATTCTTTTGGCTTTGATTTTCCTGCATTTTGCTCAGTTTTGACAATAAATCTTTGGCCTTGGTTGTTGGGTATAATTTTTCAGCCTTCATGATGAACCTTTCAGCCTTTTCCAGGAGCCCTTGTTCCGCAAATCGTTCTGCGTATTCCAGACATCTCTCAGCTTCGTCTTTGTTGCTGTCCATTATTATGCTCTAGCTGTGTCTGTCCAATAAAAATTTTTTAATATTACTTATTATGGTTGATTGATATTGAATCAAGCAGGGTTGTCAGAGAGCAGGAGAAAGATTCGGGATAAACAAAACGGGATAATAAATTCGAGGTGATCCGATGATCCTATTAATTTATTATACATAGTTTCGTCACTTTTACGTACCTACTGCGGAGCAAGATTTATATACACAGCACTAAATCTCTCACGAGCAAACTGCTGATGGAGCAACAAGGTTCTTGTCCGAGTTTTCGACTCTGTCTTGAACTTTTTAGACACAGATCTTTGGTCTAAACTTTGAAATTCGTTCGAGTACAAGACGGGTTTTAAATTACCTGCAGCCGTCCATGTTGAAAATATTATAGCAGTGGGGTGGGGGAATCAATCTTGAATGACGTCGTGACCCCGGGAAAGAGAAAGTTTTTGGTTGGCTCTTGTTGGTTTTGGCTATCAACAGTAAAAATCATCGATCATCAGATTCATCATTCACCACACCAACCAAAACAAGCGTGGACTCCGAGCTGCATTTTTCGACTCCTCGTGCATCAGAAACAGTGGAAATCTCGGACGATTTGGAATATAATTAGTCGGTAATTATACTCACAGAAGTTGCCATTTAGTAATTTTTACGCATATATTAATCCTTAAATGACATTTTATCAAATGTACCATAATTTCGTGAATATTATTGCGTTCTACGAACATAATTTTGATGTTATTTAAAAAAAAAATAATAATTTTCAGACACATAAATAACCATGCCGCCGACTGTGATGAAACTTATCCAATCAAAAATAAAAAATCCAAAGAGGAAGGCTTCAAGTTCAGATAAGGCGGAGACCGAGGAACAGGAATTGCCTGCGCCGACGAGATTTTCAGACGAAAGTCCGGCAAAAAAGGTTTTTGAAAATTATTACATTATCACGCGTTTTTTTTTTTACAATCAATTTGTTAACAAAGGTAAAATGGACCAACAGGCAAAGACTCCTTGTCTTTGCATCCAGGGGAATAACATTCCAACAGCGTCACTTGCTTGAAAATCTCAGGAGCATTCTGCCACATAGTAGGACGGAGAGTAAAATGTCCAAGCAGGAGCACGTGTCTGCCATTAACGAGGTAAAACTTTAAGTTGAATTATGGATTGCACAAAAACGTTTGATGCTTTTAGTCCCGTAAATACTTAAAAAAATAGTCCATAGTTGTCTGCTCTTTACAATATGATGTCGATCCCTGAGGCTCTTTAAACGATATATAGTGTATATTTAATCAACAGATATGTGAGATGAAAAACTGCAACAAGTGCATTTACATGACCAGCGCCAAGAAAACTGATTTATACATGTGGATTAGCAACGTCGCTGCTGGTCCATCAGCAAAATTCCTCGTGCAAAATGGTAACAAAAACTGCATAACCAATAAGCTTAAGATTAACTTGTACACCGTCAGTGTACACCATGGGTGAATTGAAGCTAACAGGGAACAGTCTGAAAGGGTCAAGGCCACTCCTTTCGTTTGACAAGAGTTTTGAAGAGCTGCCTCACTACCAGCTTTTGAAGGAGTTGCTGGTGCAGGTCTTTGGAACTCCAAACCATCATCCTAAAAGCCAACCTTTCTTTGACCATGTACTTTCCTTCACTGTGCTTGACAACAGGATTTGGTTCCGCAACTACCAAATTGTCGCAGAAGATGGATCGCTTGCAGAGATAGGTATCTAGAATTTTTTATTATCTTTCTTTAATCAGCCCTAGTATTTTCAACCTCAAGCTTTTACTTCAGGTTGTGTACAGAATGTCTTAAGTGGCATTCCTAAGGGCAATATAAAGATAATAGCAGTTACAGGTGCAATTTACCATTAGAATGGACATTTTGCGTATGAAACTGCATACATCCGATTATTCAAAAATTTGCTTCCTACTTCATTATTAGAAAATGTATTCAATTTTATGCCGCAGGTCCGAGATTTGTTCTGCAACCTATCAAAATTTTTGATGGAAGCTTTGGTGGGGCCACACTTTGGGAAAATGCAGCCTATAAGTCGCCCAACGAGGTTTGATATTATACAATTAAAATAGCACTTGCTATTTATCAAATCATTATCATAGTATCGGAAACAGCTGAAACGGGAACTTGGAAGCAAGTATGCTGCAAGAATTAGTGCTAAAGTTGAGTATGAGCAGAGGCGTCCTGAAAAAACTCATGAAAAACGACACTTGGAGGAAATTTTTGGCAGCGATCCAATTGAAAAGGCCATGGAAATTAGTGCTCGAAGAGCAGAGGGCAATAATGATATTGAAAAAGCTTTGGACCCTCCTACTGTTGTCAGGAAACTCAAAACAAAGAAAGTAAAAACTGGCGCTGGAAAGAAATTAATGAAGAAAAAGAATTTGAAGAAGACCGTGATCAAGAAAAAGAATGTTTAGATTTGCCTATCTTTAAATTTGCACAATAAACAGGATCATGCTAAAAAGCTTCACACTTGAGAGTTGAGATTATTATTAATCAGACATTCTTCATTATCAATTGAGTGTTCATATAATCTTATCAATATATTCAAGGCACCATTCCTGGTTGGATCATCACCAAGTCAAAATGGTGAGGCTTGATTTGGGTTTTAAATATTGATTTTAAATTTATTTAAATTGAAATAGGATGTGGAAGAGTTGAAAACACAGGTGTACATCATCACTGGTGTGCTCTCTGGAGCTATAATTATTTTATTCCTGTTTGTTGTCGCCTTGATAATTCGTTTGGAGAGGTAATTACTATTAACATATTATTACACATAGATCATTACAATTATTAATAGGGAAAGGAAAGAGCGGAAAGCTAATGAGACAATCTTCCTGACGAATGCAGAACCAAATATTAGAAAGGGGGAGGAGATGGACAAACGAGGCTATTCCCTGTACAAGGGAGTGCCTGGTCAGCCCCAGGTGGCTCCTCAAAGACACTCGTCTCTAGTTCATGAGCTTCGAGAGCATCACCATGAACCACACCACCATGGCAGACCTGCATCTTCTGGCGGAAACTACGGACGGGACCACAGAAGACATTAATTAAAGCAACTCGGGAAATTGATATTCAGCTATACATCATTACAAAATCCTATTATTCATTATTATTTAATAAATACTACTTGTTCATGATGAATGCAGCAACAAAATTTATTCACAATTCCAGAAATAATGGTCTATCAAATATTTACAGATGAGGCCAGTCCACAAAAATTAAAATGAAAAAGACTTTTTCTTTGTCATAGAGTGCAAAATAAAAATTGCTATTTTTTCATAAATATTATTTACATTATTATGAGAGAATACAAAATGACAGTTTATGACTCTAGGTCATCTTCACGCTGGCTTGAAAAATATGACACCAAACCTCCAAATTCTCCCACTTCATCTTCAGTTGAGCCTTGTGCAGGTGCTGTTGGTGTCTCAAAGTTGGCAGGCGGTTCTTGGGGAAAATTGTCATAATATTCCTCGGTCCCATAGAAAAACGGTTGGGGTCCTCCAGGTGGGTATGCAGGTGGTTGGTACTGCCCTCGACCAACACCAACAATTGTGTCTTTGCTGTCAAATCTGGGACGCGCTGGCAAATTCCCTCTGAATGCTGGTTGCAGCTGAGCGGGTTGAGAAAGCCGAGCAGGGGAGGGTGCAGAAGGTCGCGCTTGATACGCTGGAGGTGGTTGACTTGGAGGTGTACCAAATGGATATTTGCTTGGGGAAAAAGCAACGGGTTGAGGTATGGAAGCCGGACTGGTGGTCTCTAGAGATGGATTCAAAAATTTTTCAGGTGGGTTGAGAGTCAACGGAATGAGTGCTTCGTCATCATCTGCAGCTGGCGTCTTTATGATAACTGAAGTTTTCTCTTGCAGAAACTTTTCAGTTATTTGAAGGCTTGGAGAGGCTACTTTGTAAAATTTTTGTTAAATGTTAGTCTTGAATTAAACTTTCTATACCTTTCATAAGCATTGGAGATTTTGCAGGTGTTCCATTCCTATTAGGAGTAATCTTGCCCGTGATATTTCCTTCCTCGGCAATATCTGCCTCATCATCACTCAGCACTTGTTTCCGTGCTTTAGCTCGACTAGGTTTGGGCTGCAATGGATTTTAGTTATAACACATCTGGCCGACAAAATTTACTTTACCTCATCACTGTCGGAGCCAATGATTTCTTGATAGTTGATTTTCTTGCCTCTTGTCGTCCTCTTTTCTACAGGGACTGGACTTTTTGGCTTTTCACTTCTCTCAGGTTTAGGCCGAGGCTTTTTAACAACAGGCTTGTCCGAGTCAGAGTCCTTTGGCAAGGACCTCTTCTTTGCAGGTGCTCGTGACTTGCCTTTCTTTTTACCTCCCTTCTTTCTTTTCTTCGCAGGCGCTCGTGATCGTGTTGGTGCATTCCTCTTCCTCTTTTTCTTTCTTCCCCAGTCAGAATCTTCACTTTCAGAGTCTACCGACTCTGAAAAGTCTGACCCTAGCCAGCCCTTGCCTCTACCTTTGCTTTTCTTAGCCTTACGACTGTCATCAGATGCTTCACTGTCGTCAATGAATTCTTTGTCATAGCGTGACTGACGTGCTCTGTTTGATCTCCGCACCTAACATTTTACTTTAATTTTAAACATCTAATTCTTTTTCTTTAACTTACCGGTCCTGATGCACCTCGTTTCCGCCTGGAACGTACTACTTCGGAGTCTCCGCTGTCAACAGATGCGTCGTCATCTTCCTCGTCTTCATAATCACTGTCAGAACCCACAAAGTCTTCATCGGAGGCATGATCATCATCCCCACTTGATACATCTAAACAAGCAATGCTCTTTTTCTTCTGCTTCCTTTTGCTAGCATTTGCATTTGCAATTATTTCCAAACGTTCCCTTTCTCTGGCCTTTAGTTTTGCTGCCGCTTTGTTCAGATCTGATACAGAATAAGAATAATTTGTTAAGTAACTGTTTTGACTATAAATTTAAAATTAATTTTATGCAGAATGAAGACGAATCTGCAATAATTATTTTGAATTAATACCATCATCATCTTCATCCTCTTCTGATTCTGATTGCTTTTCTTCTTCCTTCTCCTCAATCTTATCTTTTTCCTCGGGCTCAAATGCTTTATCTGATCCCTGCTCGTCTTCTTCAGCATTAACTATATTTCCAATATCTTTGCCTTTGCCTAGGTTTCCTGCTCCCTTCACTAACTCTACCTCATCCTATTGCAAGAAAAAAAAATAGAACTGCTGACTGCTGATTTGATCCAGACAAGACTTACTTGAATGGCGGAGTCAATCATCTCATCGTATTCTTGGAAATTGTATTTAACAGAAGCAGCTGCCCTCCTTTGTCTTAAAGGATACATCTCTTCATCCTCCTCAGATTTCTGTTCTTCAGACTCGCTGCTACTCGAAGTTTGACTTCCAGAGCTTATGTTTTCTTCCTCCACTTCCTGCTCGACAGCGTCTATGGCTTCTTTCAGTTCTGAGCCAGCTTCTGATATAACAGAGTCATCTTGCTGATCATCACTTTCCTCTGATTCTTCTTCATCCTTTTAAAAAAGCTAGTGTTTACAGTAAAATTCTGTTTAAATAGATTACCTTTGAAGGGATAATGTTTGAAAGAGAAATTCCAACGTAAGCCAATCTCTGTTTTCTAAGATCTGCATTTGATTTCTTTTTGTTGGCCCTATCAAGATCTCTCAATGTCGACGTAAGTTTTTCTATGAGTCGATTTTGTCCGCATGGTGGACAATACCAATCTCCTTCAGGTACCAGGTGCATTTGTGGTTTCATGCATGTTATGTGACGACCCTGATCACAGGAGTCGCAGAGAATAATGATTTCTGGTTGGTCACCGCTTTGACATTTCTGGCATCTATATTCATCTTCCTCCTCTTCAACTTTGGCTTTTTGAGCTTTTTCTGTAAACAAAGGTAAGAATTTTAATATAATTGAATAATTAGCACATCAGTTTACCTCTCTTAGCAGTGACAGTCCTTGCTCTTCTTGCCGGCTGCAGTTCTTCTCCGGGTCCCAATTCGAGATCTGATTCGGGGGAAAATTCATGATCAGATTTAAGTTCAGGCACTTCATCATCATCCTCGTCCTCTGGTTCTAATCCATCGCTCTCCTCAGACGAGTCGCTGTGAAACAATACAACAACCAAATAAATATGGAAAGTCCTAAGGGATTATTTTAATAAGATAAAGCACCTTGAATCAGAGGACTCCCAAGGGTTAGCACCTGCACCCTTTCGTCCTCGCCTCCTTCGCTTCTTCTTCTTTTTCTTCTTCTTTAATGCTATGTCTGCTTCATAGTCATCCTAAAAATTGACAGAAAATTACAAACTCCATTTCACTTTAACTGAGCAAGCACACCAAAGGCAACAGCAAAAACATAAAAATACATACTTTTTTCTTTCGCCGCGTGTATTTTCTTTTTGTCCTAACTTCAGCACTATTTGATTCCTGAAACAATTATAATATGGATGCAGGACATGTAAGCCATGCTGTATGGTGAGGTGCATACATTCAAATTATGTTAAGCATGAGCAAACAAACATAGGTGTTAATTTTTTATAATTAATTCACGATGTTTACTTTGCTAGTAGCAGTAAAGCTAAATATAACAAAACCCCCATTCTCTTATTACAAATATCTACCTCTGAATCAGAGTCTGGCGATGAGTCACTGGAACTTTGTTCTTCCAGCTGCTTCTGCCGAAGTAATTCAAGTTCACGTTTCCTTTGCATTTCAATCAGTGCTTCAGCCTCCTTTCGTTTTCTATCTTCTTCCTCCTTTTGTCGTATTACAGCTATACGCCTGCTCATTCTCTTAGATGGTGAAGCTAAAATCAGAAAATTATTAATGGTTGTTCAATTTAAGATGGAGTATTAAAAAAATACTCACCCTCGTCAGCTTTTTCATTGGCAAGATCTGGGCTTCGGCTGCCTTTGCTTTCATCACTATCCACAGTAAGTGAATCAACTCTTCCAGCTAAATTTAAAATTGTTATTTTATTAGATTTTATAATCAAACATTTAAACGTTATAACCTTTAGGTCTGCCCGGCGGCCGTCCTCTTCCTCTGCCCCTTCCTCTTCCAGGAGTGATTTGCAACTGAACAGACGGTGTATCAGGCTTTTTGTCATCAGGCTGCGCAGTGTTTCCAAGTTTCTTTTTGGCTGGTCGTCCACGGCCTCTAGTGAAGCGAGGAATCGTTTCGATTACAAGCTTGCCTTCTGGACTGGCAGGTGGGTTATAATCAAAAGTTAATGCAGATGCCACTGTAAGGGATTCCTTCTTTTCCACTTCCACAATTTTTGTTTTGTCAAGGCCAAGCTCTACATCCTCTTTGAAATATTTCTCTGACGACTTTTCATCAATTTTAGATTTAAGATCATCTCTATCTTTTAAGCTTGTCAGCTCCAAAGTCTCTGGAATTTCCTTTTTCACACATTCCGAGGTAGAAGCTTTCAGATCCTCTGCTTTAACTTCAGTTGTTTGATCCTCCTCTGTTTGATCAACATTTTTCTCCTCTGCTTCAGTGACATCCATGGCCTCCATTTTTTCACACTCAATCCCTGTTGTCTCTTGAATTTTCAAATCTTGCTGGTTTAAATCGCTATCTGTAGAAGTATGTGCTTTTTCATCAGGTTCGTTTTCCTTGCTATTTCCTGAGTCCAAAGGATCAGTTGGCTCTTTTTCCACAATATCAATATTCTCCTTCTTGTCAACCACCGTCACTTCAGAAGAGGGTTCGTCCACCTCCATCGGCTGTTCTTCAGGTTCCGTGCTTTTGTTTGGCCCTATTTTTTTCAATTTGTCACATTTCTCTTGAGTCTCTTGTTCTTTCGGTGATTCGTTTGTGGCAGATACAACATTTTCTTTACTGGGCTCTTCAGCATCTAGCTCTGTTTCCACACTGGGCTCTTGGCTTACGGTGACTGGACCCTCTTTTAATTGCACTGGAGAGTCAACTTTTTCTTTGTCAACAGTATTTTCAAGCTTGTCTGCCTGCTCATTATGAACACTAGTATGTTCTGTTTGCTCTTCTTCAAGCTTACTTTCTGGTTTTGCCTCATCCGAACCAGCTATTGCATGCTCGTCTGCGGATATGACAGCAACCTCATCTGTGGATCCTTTGACGGCAACCTCGTCTGTGGATACTTTGACGGCAACCTCGTCTGTGGATACTTTGACGGCAACCTCGTCTCTAGATACTTCAACAGCAGTATTCTTAGTAGAAATTGAGTCACCTCTCTCTTGTGAATCACTTTCTTGATTGACAGCTGTGTTCACTTCACCCTCTTTAACTTCTTTTGACTCTGTTGACACTGCTGGAAGATCAGACTCAATCTTATCACTCGCAGTCACAACACTATTATCTGTAGGTTGGATCTTTTCATTGGGCATGTCCATCACCTCCTCGACTTTAGAGGTTGAGCTTGGCTCAGACACAACAGATTTTGCACTAGCCGCAAAATTTACATTGAAAAAAGATGGCTTCTCTGGACTGGGCACAAAAGATGGTTTTGATAAGTTGCCGAACATCATGCTCATTGAAAATGAGGATTGATTGTTTGGTTTACTGGATCCACATATCTGGTCAATGCTCCAGACCTGCAAACAAAATTTTAAACAAAAAGAAAAATTGCCAATACTAAATTTACTGCTGTCTTGGAGGGTGAATTTTCAGTTTTTTCTTTCTCTGCATCTTTCTCTGGTTGCTTCTCCTCCTCATTTTCACCAGGATTGCCTGTGTCACATTCCTTTCCTGAGCCAGTGCCGCAGAAGAACATCACTGGTTCCTCTATCGCTTCGCCAAACACAGCCTCGCAGTCTGCTCCATTGCCTTCACCTTCGATGACCATCAAAGGTTCTTCCTTTGTCTCACCCACTTCATCAGCCTTTTCTTCCTTGGAGGCATTGTCGTCTACCACACCAGGATCATTTTTTGCTCCTTCTCTTTTCTCTTCGGACAAATGCTTTGTGTCCTTTTCGACATTCGTAGGCTCTTCCACCTGTTTTAAATTTAAATAAGAAAACATCAAATAAGTTTGTTTGACTTTGAACGTACATTATCTATCTGCTTTTCGTGGTACTTCTTCTTCTTCTTGTGTGGTCCGTTTAGAAGGCCAGGAGGCAGGGCATCTTCAGGTTGACCAGTATCCAGTAGAATGTCATCAGGCTGCACATCCTCGTCTTCATCATCTTGGCTTTGATTGCTATCGTCATCCAAGACTGCACTTTCAAGGTCAGCAGGACCAAGTTTCCCACCAGATAATTTTGTTATTAGTTCAGCAAGAGACTCCCTATCTCTGAAATAATGATTGAACATAATGAGGGTGTCTTAAAACCGAGCAAATGGTCATACTTGACAACAAGATTCCACGAATTCTCATCTTCGTCCTCTTGGTACACCCTCAAGTTAAGTTTATTGTCTTGTTGTGCCCAATAAATCTGTCCATCAGCATCTCGTCCCAAAGGCGTCAGCCGTAATTCAGATGCTGTTAGTTTGTTGATAGCAGCTTTGAATTTCACATTCAAATCAAACTGAGCTTCGAGAAGAGCCTGCAATAATAAAATGCTGAATTGATGAACAAAAAATTTATTTTAAATTTGCTTACCTTCAATAGCCTAATTTTTGTTAGCAGAGGTAACTTGATGTATCCAAGAGATTCGATTTGCGTAGCATCTTCTTGGCAAAACGTGTGGCAAAATTTAATCAAAGCCTTTTCCCATTTCTCAGTAGTAAAAGATTTACGAGCTTTTCTCAAAAGCTTAACATGCAAGTCGATTAGCTGAGGATCAACTGAAATCAAAGGGGTTTCGTCGTCAAAAATCAAGTTGTAAAAATTTAAATTTTAGATTCTTTTAATGTGTATACCTTTACCTGGTTAATAATGAAAAATAAAGTTACACCGACAAAAAGAAATTTTCAGTAATATGCTCAGAAATATAACAAAAATTATGGAAAAAATACAAATAAAATATCCTAAAAAACAGATGCGCATACGATCGTGAAACCATGTATTATCTTTTCCAAAAACACCTTCACAACTTCGAACACAAACAAGATGCAAATCAAAACAAAAAAGCGGCCGCCCCATTCACCCTTGATGACAGGCATCAGAGGGAAGGAAAATAGACACGATATAACGCACCTAGCTCGTTGTTCTCTAACATTTGCTGCAGTTCTTTGAAATCAGGATGCACAATTCCGCATGTTTCAGCAAAGCGCTCTAGAAAAGAGCAAATAACCGCAAAATTCGGGTCGGTTGTACAGGAGTCCTCCGCTTCTGACGCCATTTCGCTGGCGAACGCGCAATCGCGCAATGAGGAGTCGGGATGAGAGAAAAAAGCCGAAAGCCGCCTTGTTCGCCCTCTTGGTTCATATTTTTTGGTTCCAACGTTGCCCACGGCGGCGGCGGCAGCGCTCACGCTTGAAACGCTTGGATAAAGGCGCAGTCATGCTAACCTAATAGTAAAATCTCATATGTAGCTTAAAATTTTAATTTTTCATCGATTTTTTACCTAAAACGTTTAGAAATGGAACATTTTAATTTTTTCTTGCATTTAAAATTACTAAAAATCGTATTTTTCTCGAAATGTGTTAATGTGATCGAATGCGAAAACTTTTGTACAGTTGTCATTCGTTTCTGAATGAGAAGCATTTGAAAAAAAGCGGTAACGAGTAAAACCATCATGGCGGAACAACAATTATTACGAGAACTCGAGGTTGCCTCAGAAATTCTTCTTGTAAGTCGACTGATTTCGTATTTTCCCGAGCTTAACGTGATTTTCATATTCGCAAAGTAATATTTTACACCTGTTTGCAAAATTAATTCGTGTTATTTAAAGAATACAAAGTTATCACCAATTTTCTTCCCTCTCTCTGACCATGCCCCATCTTGGCCCACATTTTGCTTTTTTGTGAAACTTAAGCAAAGCACGATGAGGATTGTCATCAACCTTAATCTCGGTTTTCAATCTTTTTTCAACAACAGCAAAATTCTCATAAAATTTCATACAAACATTCTGAATTACATATTATTGATTAACGTACTGTGCAATAACAATTTTATTGTTCTTGTTCTGAAAAGGCACCACCAAATATCGTCAACAAGGAGCAGAGGCAATCCGCTGAGCAAGTGTTCTTAAATTTTAGGAAGACAAAATCCCCCTACGCTTTGTGCCGCTACATTTTAGGTTTGTTTTCTAATTATTGGTATTGTTTCAAATTTTATTCTTTCTAATCCACAAACTGACATATAATATCATTACAGATTAAATTTTTTTAGAATTAATACTGATATTATTTATTATTTTCCAGACACATCTCGTGTGGACTATGTTTTGTTTGAAGCAGCGGGTCTTATCAAAGAGGCCCTTATTAGAGACTGGAGTTTGATGCAAGAATCTGACATATTGTCACTGCGGCAGTACCTGCTTCAGTATGTGCTCAACAACCTGGCTCTAGCTTCATTCGTCCGAGAGAGAATCCTTCAAGTCATTGCAGTTATGGTCAAGAGGGGCAGTGTTGATGACTTTGGAATTGAACGAAGTAGTATAGTCGCTGAAATAGAAAACCTTATTTTGAATGGGGATACAGTTAAAGTAGGCTCATTTATGATTTTGAATAATTTTTTTACTACAAAAATATTATTATAGAAACATCTTGGGTGCAGTATCATCACTGCTCTGATGCAAGAATATGCTACTACAGTCAAATCAAGTGACGCTGGGTTAACTTGGGAAACACACTTCAAAGTTAAAAAACAATTTGAGGTACATTTCACATGCTTTGAGCCAAATATAACTTTCTATAGATTAAATTCTAGTTTATGAAAAATTATATTTCAACTGGATTGTCATATTGTGATTGAAATTAATATTTTTTATCAATGTATACTTCCAAAGTGGAACAAATTTTCATTGCAAATATTTCATAAATTGGAATTTAAATCTTTATAAAAATGAAAAAATATCGTTGGGTATGCAACAATAAATGGTCATTTGCAACAATGTTTATTGTCAAAACATTGTTGCAAGTGGCCATTTGTCCTCAAAGCTGACGATATATTATGTTAATTATGATGTGAGCAATTTAACAATTTTTATGTATCAGGCATCTGACCTCAAGAGGATATTTAAATTTTGTGTGGCAGCTATTTCGGAATTGATCAAAGTTGAAACTGTATTGAGTGATCCTCAGTCCGTCAGCCTTTTGAGAAGTCTTTTGGCCATCACAAGCTCAGTCCTTTGCTGGGGATTCATATCTGCTAGTCATATCCTTTTCTAAGCTACTACTTTTTTTTAATATTTCATATTTCGTAATAAATATTTTTCTTAATAAATTTTTACTGCCCAAGCGACTAATTGGAATCTTTGAAACCGTTTATGAATCTGATCAAACTCCAGCTTTGAGATTAATATCATCTTGGAAAGATATCATCGTAGACGAAAAACTCATTGGTTGCTTTTTTCAGGTAATTTTCAGTGGAACATTGCAAATAAATACTTTGATCAAACAAATTTTCTTTAGATACACTGGAGAGTTAGAGAAAATTCAGATCTGAGCCATTACTCACTAACTTGCTTGGCCCAACTGGCCTCATTGACTGGACCTGTGGTCACTGATATTCAAGTCAAGTCGAGATTTATCTCGTGCTACATTTCAAACCTGATATCCTTCCTAAAAAAGTATGCTTATTCTTAATTTATAATGCTCTAAATTAATGCAACAAATTTTAAGCACAAAAGTATTGAATACCGAGGCTTTAGGCACAGCACAAATTTTCAGGAAACTCCTTACATTTTACTCACCAACGTTGTTGGTGACGTTACCAAATGAATTATTTTCACAACTCATCATCGAGCTCCAAAAGCTCACTTGCCACTTTGCCGAAGGCGCTGCATATGAAGAAACTGTTAGTTCTGATAACATTTTTACCCTCTCCGACTCTAAAATTATGATTTGGGCAGGTTTCTGCTGAAGATTGCAGGTTCATAGAAGCTTTTGAGCATTTGCTGGAGGCATGGGTGTCGGTTTTGCAGTGCTCACCCATTTATCCTCCTTGCTTCATCAAACAACATGCAATACACATTTTCAACACTTATCTGTGTTGCCATTTGGCTCCACCTGAAGGATCCCGAGGCCAGGTTAGCTCTTTCAACGTTGGAAATTTCTCTGTTAACACTTTTTTTTAGGGTGGACCTGAGCACAATGAAGAGGAAATATTTGAAACTGACGAGCCTGACCGCGTTCGTTTCAAAGAGCAGCTGATTATCATAGGAATTTTTGGCAGACAAGTTTTAGAACACAGTCTACCTCTGGTTGCTAAACTTATTGAGGAGAGAACGGAACAACTCAAAAGCCAGCTACAGAAAGTTTTTTCACAGTCCTACACCATTTCTGACTCGGCTCAGACAGTCAATTTGTTTGAAGATCTGCATTGGCTGCTTCTTGTTACAGGTGATTCCTCATTTAAAATATTGAAATTTTGAAATTCCTCGTAAACTTTCAATTTTAGGTCACCTAGTGGCACAGGAGAGTGAAGGAGAACAAGCTTTAATTCCTTCAGATCTGATGACTTATACTGTGCAACAGTCACAGAACAGTGACGTGCAAGCAAACATAAAATTATTAACAACTAAAGGCATGACACCCTCTCAGCTACAAGTTCCTGTTGAATCGCTTGATGGGATTGTCAGGTATTTTACTGATTGTCTTAAGAAATTTTCAATTAATTTTTAATTTCAGAGTCATCTCTGCTGTGTTACGCTTATGTGAGGTTGAAACGCAAGCACTGGAGGCCAAGATGGTCTCGGTGATGAGCCCAGAGCTAGGCTCAACAATTGTTTGGTTCCTATCGCATTGGGCAAAGTCGTATCTTTTGCCCGTCGATGCGCTTTACAATGAGGTATGCAGCACAAAAAAGTTGCTGACTTATTATTTTTTGGCTCGACAAATTTTCAGGTCAGTCCAGCGCTTGAAGCTGCTTTTATCTCGAGCGAATCTACTATTCCCTCTTGGGTCATGAATCAACTTTTGGAAAAGGTTGAAGCAAATTTGAGACTATGCCCAAATGAGACTTCACTTGCAAAGGACTCTGCAAATTTGTTACTTACTCTTGTAGACAAGCCAAAGAAAGCTGCGAAAATTCTTTCCTGCTCGGGAATTCTTACTGTTGCCAGGTATAATTGCAAATTCCAGGAATGGCTCAAAGTAACTAAATATCTATCCTCATATAGATTCCTACACATTGCACCGAGGTGCCAGCCAGCCAAAAGAGAGTTAACAAGAGGTGTGACATTGGCCGCAGCAGGAGAGCCTAACCAAACAAAGCGCCTTGAATATCTGCAACAAGTGAGACGAGAAAATACCAATTAAATTTATGATTCAAGTTCTTATTATCCATCTTTAGATATTATCTCCATTTGTGGATAGAGCCAATGAGATGATGTCGAGCAAAAATTTCAAGAAAGGGTGCCATGAAGAGGCTGTTAGATTGGAGCTCATTGACCTTTTGGAATGTCTGATAGGTAGCTTTTCCACTTCTGTCTCAATTGTCTCATATCCTATTGAACGATGTTTTAATTTGTAGGTGCAATTCAGTCAAGCAGTAGTTCCTCGGCTGGGTGCATTTTACAAATTTTGAACCCCATCATTGGAAGATTGCCTGATCTGCTGAGTTTTTACAGCAATTACAGTTTGCTGGTGGAGCTCATACTCGAGTTCTTAACTGAATCTGCAAAGAGAACCCTTTGGTGCCTTGAAGAGGTGAGATGTCTTTTTATTATTTTAATTATTATTACTCTAACAAAAAAAAATCTTTACTTTTTGTCAAATGCAGGACAGTCAAAATGTCCAGTTTTTATATAAGGTGTTCTTGAACGTCATGCAAGTATACGCAAGAGAAAACATTGGGAGAAAAAGTGCCAGTCATGTCCTAACTGAGGAAGATTCTTGCAGGGATCTACTTCTAATCCTTGAACTTCTTACATCCATTGCATCTAAAAACTTCCTGGAGAAATTTACAGCAGGTACCAAGAGATAGTTGTAGCTTTTTTTTTCCTTAATTGCGTAACTTTACTAGAGGAGTCGGCTGAAACAGTCAAAGCAGTTGACATTTGCATATTTGGCACCGAAGTCATCGCACCACTTTTGACGACAGACTTACTACAGTTCCCTCAGTTCTGTTTGAAATTTTATGCAATGGTGACATTTACTGCGGAGGCTTATCCTGAGAAAATGGCAACAGTATCTGACAATTTGATGGTGCCTATCATGTCAGCTATCAACTTAGGACTGACTGCTTTTGGTGCTGAAGTGTGCTCACATTGTTGCGACTTCATTGGATCCATGTCGATGCACTTAGCTGCTCACCCTGAACTGGGAAACACAAATTTTGCAAACTGCATGCATAACTTCCTAAAAGTAAGCTCCCTGCTCTTCTATGTCATAGAGTATTTACCTAGAATTTTATTCTCAGCAAATGTTCCACCTTATCATCACATGTCAGATCAATTCAGACTGCCTTATGAATGCCAGCAAGTGCCTTTTCTCCCTGATCTGCTGTTTCCAGGTTGGTGCCATTGTTATTCACTTGTGAATTTGTCCTCAATTATAATTACTTTTTTTCAGCAATCCTACCACCAGCTTGTCGACGAAATTCTCTCTGTTCAGACAGAGGACGTCGCCAGACAAAGATTGACAAAAGCTTTTGCTGAGCTAACTGCTGACCTGACCCTTGCACCTGACAGAACAAATACACTGAAATTCCGTGAGAACTTTGAAAAGTTTGTGGCAAATGTACATGGTTTCCTGCTGGTTAAGTAATTTTTTTTACTTCAAATTCAATTTGGCCCATTTGCTCACAAATAATTGGGATGTATTGTGTTCTGCGTTTTGCTGAGTTTTGTTTTCGCTGTGTAAATCCCACACCAATAGAACTTTGGCGATCGGAATGGTCAAGAATTTCTTTCAGCTTCAGGGCTGCAATCATAAGCCTTTAAAGCAACTAAATTGCAATGAATCAAAATAATAATTGAGTGAGTGCCCACCTTTAAATTATTTTCACTAATTAAATTTCAATATATATATTAGGCTTTACAATTTTTGTCACACCAAATTAAATTTTGGTGAATGTTTGTTTGACGTTTTGATCAATTTGAGCCCATGGAGGTGTTCAGTTAAGATTATTTATATTATCTTTTGCACAGCAGAAGTGTTGAGGTTTGCTTTTTTTAATTACATATTAATTTATGAAATATTGCAAGCCTAACTTATAGAACATCTTGCCCTAATACATCAAAAACACTTGACAATGTGTACAACTCACTTTAAATACTTCTGCAATATCTGCACCAATCCTTTATATCTATTTCTCCGCTTTATAGTTGTCTAGTGTTTGGTGAAAATATTGTGCAGTTAAGTTTATATAACTATTTAATACAAATCTTAATTGATCACCTCTTTTTACCATCCAAATCTTAATTTGAAAGATTTTATATTGTGCAGTAATCGCAGCAATCCTTTGTTTTTAAAGACAATAATACGGGCATTATTCATGACACTACTTTCTTCTGAGCAAGAAATACATTTTTTTTTATAGTTTAGACTTACTTTTCTTATACAGAAGTAATTACCTACAGCCCATCATAAATAAAACTTTATGTGCAGGGAACAAGATTTTATGTAAAACTATTTTTGTTCAGATTTCTTATATGGTCTGTTGATATGCTGTGTGAGCAGAGTGGAGTGGACTACAGTCATTTCGAAATAACAATCCAAATAATTTATTTCAGAGTTCAGCCAGTGATATGCTGATGTTTGTGCTAACAATTTGCTGTGGTTTTATCATGTGGCAAACTATTTTTTAAATATACAGCATTGAGAGAGACAGATAAAAACTGTTATATCAATTTAAATCACCTTTAATTGCTTTAATTAGTAAAGGGACACATTTTCGTTTTCTCATGAGAAATTTAAGTGTTGCCTGTTAATGAAGAATATTGGACAATTTTCTTGTTGACATAAAATTAATCAACATATGGCCGGATCAGTTCTTTCTTTGTAGAAAAATTAAAACACTAACTGAGAGCACAGCGTTTAGTCACCGAATGTCTGATACTTTGACATCACCTTCCACTAAAATTGCCTGTATTTAAAAGTCGCAAAAGCAATTCCATTGATTGCAATATTAAATTGCTTCGACTCGCAGCGTATCACCAAATGAAAGGGCTGACCTGGCTTCAAGGGACACCCTCCACTTCTTTCTTCGTTGCCCCACAAACCTTTGAGCAATGCATTTCGTACTATGATATGTGCCTCCTTAAATCTTGGATTTATGTGCAAAATTATCGGAGGTTGTGGCCGCACCGTCTTTAATTAATTTAAATCTTCAATACGCAGAATTTGAATCTGGAAAAAAGCTTACGAGTGCGGCAGTACTTTTACTTTTCCCTTGACCTCCACCCGATGTCCTATTGCAAGGCCCTCGGGGATGTCCCCCAAAAATGGAGTGCCCTATCCAAACAGTTATCAAAGTATGGGTATAAAACATTCAAGGTCTAAATTTACAGTTTGCTGGCGGTAAATTATGAAAATTTAATACAATCCTGATTTATAAAGAGAGCATAAAACGAATCTCTATCTGTAAGTTCATATTTAATAATTATATCAAATTTGAAAAAAAAAAGTTGACTTACCGGTCCTACTATGTGGCTGCAAAATGTTCTTAGATTAGCAGGACACGATCTTGTAGGAATGGGCAAAGATGCTGCTGCTATTGCACAGGAAGGCATCGGGTATCCAGTCAAATTCCGGCGATGCTCCGGTTGAAACATTTTTATGTCCCCTTCAACGTGTATCCCACTAATTCAAATCGGAGGCATTTGAAAGTGCAAAAAATATTTTACAAACATTAGTATTTTTCTTGTAGAGTAGAATAAATTTACCTGATATGAGCACACATGACAAACGTCAATAGCAATAAGAAACTTTGATTCGGCTACAAAAATGTACATGTAAAAGGGCTGCCCTCTTTTTAGGGGCAACTTGAAAGGCACCACAGATTCTTCTTCGCCCCAGCGTTCATTGTGCCGCGTATTGCGCACCAATCGCATTTCATCGTACCGCGGATTTACGTGCAAGCCAACGTCGCACTTCACTGACAACCCACAAATCAAGTCAACATTAAATCTGAAAATCAATAGCAGCTTTTGTATGGACATTTTACGCTTTTTTATATTTCTCATACATACCTCTGAGCACCTGGTCCAGTACGATCATGTGTCCACTGGCCAGAGGTGCATGCCAGCGGCGCACTGGTGTAGGGCACCGCCTATAAAAAAACAATATTTTATTAAACAGTTCAATATTTCATTTAAATTAATGTACTTTTGAAATTGCCGTCATGTTTTTTAGCACCGCTTTACGGAACCTGCTGAAGCAAGACCGACCGTTATTTTTTTTTTTTTTTTTTTTATCGAGATATATGTATGTAAACGGCTAACAGCCGTCAATTATCTTTTTGTATTTATCTTAAAACTGAAACCCGCGTAACTCACTGACATGAAATCTTTATTTAGTATATTCCATTTGCAGCAAAAAGTGTTATATTGCAGCTCAGTCGCCGCTTTCAATTTAGAAACGTCAATAATTTGATGAAGCTTTGGTGAAGTCACGCATGCCTTGATCAGGCGCTTTTTGTTTCGTTAAACGTTCGTTCAATAAACCCGCTATTTTTTATTCCATATATGCTTCCTCCACTTCTTTCCATTTTATTTCATCACTGCATGCGTAAAAGTATTACGTCGCGCCTTCAATAGTGGTTTTACGTCGCGCATTCAATACTGGGTGTGGCGATGTAATTTTTTAAGCAAACCGATTTCCTCGGAAACCTCTATAGCACGCCAAAAGACGTGACCTACCACCAATGTACGGGGGAAGGGGGTTGTTTGTATATGTCGCGCCCCTTGAAATGGTTCACTGCGATAGGCGCGACATATGCACGCTACGCCTGTGCAGAGGGGAGGAGCCGAGTCTGCTGCTTCCTGCTTCCGTCCGTCGCCTCGTCCCAGTCTCCACGTAGCTCGCCCTCGATCAAGACCGATAAGCGTCTACGTCGGCTGCTCTGAAAGCCTAGACAATTTGGAGACGAACCCGGCCCAGAGACCACAGAGTCCTTCTTGCCCCTCAAGCGACCCAGCACAGCGGCCGCGCGCGCCGTGACCTTATTCAGCGCGGCTTCCTCGCCTAACCTGAAAAAGGTACGTTATGTGCGCCTACGACTCCAAATGAGAGTTTTAATGGATTCATTCCATTTTCCCGCAGACAATTCGTTTTGAGAGTGCATTTTATTCTAGACAGGCGCAATGTCTTAAAAAAAATTGCATCCGATTCACAAATTCCAGCCGCTTGCGTCAGTTCCTCAGAGCGACTGGAATTTTACCTATATTTGCGCTTTTATTTATTCCGCGCGCTGTGCATTTCTTTGCATCATTTTCCACTTCACATTTGTTACGTATTGTTTTTAGCATTTACGAAAAAAAAATAAGCTGGCGTTTTTTTTACCATTTTTTTTGTCGCAATTTTTCGACATTCCTGCGGAAAAATAGTTTAATAACATCTATTTAGAAAATATTTGATTGAACCAAATGCGCGCGTAACGATTTTTTTTATGCGTTTACATCTTGCAGGACAAAATTTTGCATCATTTATTGCGATCACGTGCTTCATTTTTTATTGTTTCAGAGTTTTGCTGCTCTGCGTCCGTCCGCGTCTCTGACTTTGAGACCGAGCGCGCCCAAGACCGCACGCTTCAGACTTTGCAAGTACAAAAACCTGCTTTTTTTTAATTGCGCGCCAAAAATTTTCTATTTCACATATTTCATACTTCGTTTGCTGAACTTTGAAAGATTTAGCAAACAACACCTGTGAAATTATTAAATTTTTGAGTCGAGATCAACCGCAATATTTATTTAATTTTGAAAGATCCTGAAACCGAACCTCTCATTATATCCTCAGGCCGCGCACTTTGCTTTGGAATTTTTTCCCAATTTATCGCTGCGGTCTCGGCGCAATTATTTTGCGTTTGACTTTGGCAACAAATTCCGCACGCTTTTGACGCGTTTTCTTCACTTCACCTTTTACGATCGAAATGTTGCAGAAAGGCGTTCAAATATGATGGCAATTTTGCGTTTCTCGCCCAAGTCGCTGCTCGCGCGTTCAACTCGCTCTTCTCGTCACCGTCTCAGCGCAGTTCGATTGGGCAGTTAAGGCAGTTTGTCCATGATTGCCTATACAAACGAACTTTGCTGAACAAAGAACTTCGCGCGAACCTTTTTTCCTTCGCTCGCACGATTGGAATATAATTTTCGCGGCAAATTACGTCAATATCATTAAAAAAGTATTATTATCATTAATCAATTAAACTTTTCTTCAATGGTTAAAAAACTTGTGGGAAAAGTGTGTGGCCACACACGGGCTTGATCCATCACAGCTCGGTCTTCTATCGTCATGTCGGCGGCAGGACCCTGAACTGCAAGCTAGCGGAGCGGGCTGTGGCGGACGGCCATGTGGTAGACTGTATTGTTGTGTATATGAATTTGGTGTTGTTGCTGGTGCTGTGGAACTGCCACAAACTTACTTGAGAACGCAGACAAAAAAATTAAATCTACAAATCAGAAGAAAAAAATTAAAACGTTTATATTTTCATGTTTTTTTTTTTAAATAAATAATATTTTCAAATTATAATTATTTGAAATAAATTATTTTTGTTGTGTTTTTCAAGTTTCCAAACATTTCAAATAAAAAAAATGTGACAAAATAATTTAATTGCTGGGAGGAAAACAATTGAATTAATCAATAGTTGGATAATAAAGCACCGCACCTCTACAAAGATGAGGTAATGAAAATTTATATTATAGCGATTCAATCCAATTAAAAATAAAAATTTATGTACACATATATTGAAAGAAAAAATTTTTGTCTTTTGAACATTTAAATTATTTCCTGCATAAAATTATGTAAAATTTTGAAGTTAAAAGTAAAAAAGGTAATACTAATGAAATTAATAAATAAATTAATTTACCTTTTTTCATAATATGAAGATTTTGATTTTTTACGTTAAACTTGGAATCTTTTTTGGGAGGCGACTAAAAAAATTATATAATCACACTTTAAAACTGGTAGGGAATTGCCTTAGTGTTATTGAGCATAACTTAAATGTATATTTTAAATTAACCAATTCACGATTGTTACGTCTTTTATATTATTTTTTTCCTCTTTATCTATAGAAAAAAAACCGTATTTCACTGCAAGAAGTAGGAACGATTCTCACGAACGCAACATTTTGGCTGGATTTGGCTGCTTGGCAAAAAGACAATGTACACGTTCGCTGGTTTTGGCTGCCGGCGCGCGGATCTGCCACATTAATACAAAGAGTCTCTAACAAGGGTGGATTGCGACTCTCGGCTACAAAAACTTGCCGCAATTAAGTCCGCCTGAGCGAGAAAAATTCAGTGCTTCCAGCCAATTCACATCACAGATATCGAAGCGTCAATCACAAATGTTCTCACATTCTCGACTTGCGAGGTTGCGAGTCCGACTGTGACCTTAACGAGACAAATTCTTTACAAAATCACGCGACAGGATTACTTTGGAAATCTATTGAATTTATATTATTTTTAGGGTTAAAAACTTAAATTGTGGGTTAAATTAGTTGGGTTTATACGTTGGACTACGATAAAAAAGTTAAATTACATCGTTATTAATGGTTCATTTATAAAGATAAAGTCTTTATTGATCATTATTCTTAATTGTTAATTCATTTTGATTTTAAAATGGCAATTTAATTGATATTAGGTTGGTTTAATAAAATTTTAGTCAGCCTCGAGACAGTGCCCGGCGGCCCGAGGAAGCCCTCGGCGGAATATTAAAAAAAAACGAGGCAGAAATGACGCAACCTCCTATACAACGCAATGCCGCTGTATTTATCAGAAAATTAAAAGTTAAGAAAATCAAAATTCACAATTTTTTATATCCTTTTTATTGTAAGTATAATAATATTGTTTCTTGAATGTTCCGTGGCAGCCCTCGGCGCTCCGAGACAGAGCGAATTTAAAAATTGGAAATAAAACCCTTTAATGTGCTAGAAATTAAAGCAATATTATACAGTACAACTTCCGAGGCGTTCTCCGATGCCCAATTCACTCGGAGGCAGCCCAAGACGGTGCTAGGCGGTAGTAGTCGTTTGGAGGCGTTCTCCGATGCGTATTACAAAATACGCTAATTTTAATAAATTTATTTTATTAAATACAACAATTAATTAAACCCCATTTTATTAACCCTGACTAAATGAACCTTTTGAAAAAAATCTAAAATTTAATTTTAAAATTCAACCTTAATTCACTCACTCAATTTAAATTGAAATTAAATTTAATTAAAAGTAAAATAAAAAGCTATTTTTGTTTGATTATTATTTAAAATACTAACTTAACACTTAACTTATTACTGAGGCAAATCGTAAAAAAAAAAATAAAAAAACCCCCCTTCAAAAAAAATAATTTTTTTTTTTTTTAAATTTTAATTACCCACAAATAAAACATAAAAATTAATAATATAAATTATTAGCTTCTATAAATTTTTTCATTTAAAAATTTGTTTTTTTTCCAACAAAAATTAAATTTTTTTTTAAAAATTCATGATTTAAATATGCCATTCAATTAATTACAGTTTACAATAATGTTTACATAATTTACGGAGGAAGCACGAGACGGTGCGAGGCGGTCTGGGGCTTCCACCGTTGCCCAATTCACTCGGAGGCGGCCCGAGACGGTGCGAGGCGTTCCGACTTTGGCAGACAAAACATGAAGGAGAGGAAATTTTGACAAAAGTTGGATAATTAAATTGGCCACCGCATTCACTATTGTATTAGTACAATTTATTTAAAATAATCCTTTTTAGATCTACAAAAATAAGACGCACCAGATTTTATCTTGCTTGTGGGCTGATTAATTTGGCTCAAATCGGATTGTTTTTTCTCTGGCATTCTCTGCAAACACCTTCGATTCACGTTGTTCAAAACAGGGTTTTTTTTAGCCCCAATACACGCATTTTCTGTGGGGATGGTCGCTTGAAAATTAAAACTTATTCCAAGCAGTTTCTGCTCAATTTGTTTGGAAATTTCATGCATTTGCTTTGAAATGTGCCGTAAAGACGACGCGGTCGTTCGCACGCAAATTAAAAATTTTGAATTTTAATTATTTGAATTCTCATACGTTATTGGCAGTGTTCATTTTAAAACTAATTTTTGCCAAATGCACGAGCAAGCAAACTGACCACGCGATTATTGATTTTCATTTCAGACCAATCGGCGTCTCCGACTCCAGTGTGACCCCGAAAAAGGCGATGGCGGACTGTGATGGACCTGAAAGGCAAACACAACCTGAGGTAATTTGATTTTTCAAAGCGCGCCTATACATTTTCGTTCAATCAGCAATTCCGCTCCACATGCCAAAATTAATTCCTGCGCACTGAAAATATTTAGAGCTTCAAGTTCATTTTCCAGCCTGCGCTCGCCAGGCAAACTTTTGTTTATGTTTCTTGCAATTAAATTACGAGTGCGATTTTTTTATTATTTGTCTCTTATCAAATTGGTGTAGAAATTTAAAAAAAAAACTTTGATTAAAACAGATTAGTGAACAATAATAACCTTGAGATTCAGTTTGTTAATTGTTGGTTTTAATGTGTTGATTGATTGCATCCGAGCTTTTATTCCACTGCTGCATGATTTTATGCAACAGTGCGAACAGTCCAATTGAATTTAGAAAATAATAATTCAGATATTATGTTATTCTCGATTTGCGGCTGCAAAATTTCTCTCTTACCAAGTTGCCGAAGCACATTGAGCTATTTACAATGTTGGAACTTGAGACATACATATATGAACCTTTCAGTGCGACTCGGAATTGCGCTCTCGCGGACCAATTGTGGTCAAAAGAAATCTTTTTTCTAAATAGATAATATCTGTGATGCCCTTAAGGTTGTTATATAGTTTGAAAGTAATAATTATAATAAATTAATTAATTAATATTAATTATCTCACACATAAAACACAATTTTTTGGCTCTTTCTCTTTGTTGAGTTTGGTATTCGTTGTAGCAGAACTGCAAAAAACTTGCGCGCACTTCTTTCTTGAATGAAGTCCGGCCTCAGAATATTATTGGCAAATCAAACTGTGGCGATTTTAAGCAAAATTGATGAATACCCTTTTTCTGCTCCATTGAAACTGGCTCTCAAAATTTGTAATTTGATGATGCACAGAGCCTAAAAAGATACTTAAAACACTCAGAATTTAGTTTCTTGAAAGAGCATAACACACTATCTATACTCAGCTTACTTGAGATATTTTTTCCTTCAAATTTATTAGCGTGTTTTTACCAATTTAAATAATAATAGTTTTGTCTTTTCTTATATATTTGTTTTCACAAACGACCCATTCACTTTTTATCGCGTACGAACAGCAAATTGGTACGGTTTTTAAAGTATTTCAGCATTTTACTGAATGATCTCTAATTTAAAATTGACAACAAACAAGCTTAACTTTCTATTTTTCCAACAGGAGGACGCTCTTCGTTATGATTACAGTCCCGAGCTGGTAAAAACACATCTTCCTTTTGTGAAACGTGAAACACAGCAATTAATCCGCTTATATTCCAGGATTTGATGTTCGCTGTAGGCACCAAGGAGGCCTTTTTGACGATTGACCTCAGGGATATTTCATACGTTGACCTGGTCCACTCATTGCTTTTCAACGGTGATGTTGTTCTCTTCCAAATGGAGTGTAAGTTTTACATTTTGCCTCTATTGCATGCAAAGCACGTTGATAAATTTTTTCTTCTGATTTCAGGGGTCTGTTTGGCAAGCATTATGATTCGGAGGCTGGGTGCCCGTGGCGTTCCTCTTTGCCAGCGGCAGCTTTGCCAACGGTGTTTTCGCCCGGCGTTTCACAGAAGAGGATGTGGCCACTGCAGCCTCTGCCCCAGTTGCGGAGGAGTGGATCGCTGTGTGCAATGCAACGCCGAGCAAGTGAGCCAGGACGAAACTGACGAAAAGTAACGCAAAGATATATAAAGAGTTTTATTTTATTTAAAAAAAAAAAAAAAAAAACGTCCCTTGGAGAGTTGCCTTCACATTTGGCCAGTTTTGCTTATGCAATTGGAGCTGCAACCTTTTTACTTAAGCAATTTCTCTTCTTGTTTTGTTTTAACACTTTGAACCTATCAAACCTAGATCGAAACTTATGCTGATGAATTTTGCTTACAGTCTGCCTGAGGGGTGGTCTCTGCTTGCCGATCAGGTACGTTGTCTTCTAATTATTATTTACAAGCTATGCAGATGAATCTTAATTTAATAATTGAAACTTGCTGAATTTTGGTTTTTTGTGTTATAGCAATTTGTCACCTTTTCTGAAGCCGACGCCGAGAGCCTGTCCAAAATGATGAAACTGGTTCGTCAAGGAGGGCTGAAGGAAGAAAAATGGAGTGAGGTGGAGGAGGTGCTGCAACACTTCAACCAGCAAGAGCTGATCGAACTCTTCGAGATCAACAGAACCTTCACTGGCATTCATCTAGGTGAAGGTGAGTTGCATTTTTCTACTTCTATAGTCAAGCCTTATTTTATGTATTCATTCCCACTTTAAGTTACCCTAAAATATTTTGTCTCATTTACCCCTCGTTAAAGTTCCTGAAGAAGTCCTGCGCAGCATGCTCTTGTCCTGCCTGCTTGCCCGAAGCGAGGTCAAGTGCCAGACCTGCAGCCTCCACGGGCGTCCGATTCCAAACATCAGGACAATTTTGCACGCCTGCATACATTCAAATTTCTGCTACGAATGCGTCAAGGCCAACTATTGCATATGCAAAGAGCGTTACTGTGTGGAACACCTATCGCAAGGTCACACGGTTGTCAAGCACACCATTTTTAATAATTAATTTTGAGCCTAAAATCGTTTTTTTAAGTCGCTGTAAAACCTAGGGCAACCACTCCATATAAAATGACCCTATTTTTGTCGGTGCCTCCAAAATTGTTGGTTAAATAAGTTTATTGTGCTTGCCTATGGGCCGAAATCATATTGAAACCTAATTTGTATATCATTTTTTCTGAGCAAAATTTGATAAGTGTGAGAGCTAAAAAAGCGAGTGCAAATAATGTCATAGATATGTTTGTGATTTTAAGAGTTGCGGCACTCGCTGGTGCAATTTTTCATTTGCAATAATAAACTATAATTATTATTTAAGAGAAGCATAAAAGAAAACATGTCATTTATTTAGAATTTTATTCACCTTCTTATACCACAAATCATTACTGAACATTTTGCATTTTTTTTTTTAAATTTACAGCTCTTATAATTTTTTTATATTTTCATTTTGTAATGAAACGAAATTTATGATTTGACTGAGCGCTCTAAAAAAACTTTTTACGATGCGGTGGTCAAAAACTCTCTGATTTTTTTTAGGCTGAAGATTTTTTTTTATCAATTTATCCTATTGAAATTGAAAAACGTAAACAGTAACCAAAACTTTGTTGATGAGCAATGAAAAGAATGCTTTTTGCCATTGTTCTTTGGCCGCCGCAGATGGAACAGAAAAAATAAGGTGGCCGCGCACACACGAATGAATGAAATGAGAAGGTTGTGTGTTTGCAAGTGGGAGTGGAAGAAGCTGGAGCCGCGCTCGCCCAAGAACGGCTCGGCTTCACACCCTCCTGATCGGCAACCTCCTTCCTCTTCTCGCCAACTGCAGCTACGACCCCCAAAATAACATATTCTGTGGATGGGCCGCAACTTGGCCAGGGAAAATTTAATTTTTAGCAAAATTTCTTCATTACTTTATTTGCATTTTTACATTGTCTTTCTCTTGGCAAATGTAAGTGAAAATTGCACGACAAAAGATGAATTGTGTGAAAATTAAAAATTATTTTAAAATGGATATTTGTTATCTTGTATTGATATCAATTTGTTCTATAAAAATAAGAGGTCATGTTCACTATTAAATGTTCACTAAAAAAAACCAAATCCATGAAATGAATTATTCTGATGGACACCGTGATTTTCAATTTCGGACTCAAGATGCGGAAACTCTTAATTTGTCTTTTGCTCTTTATAACCATTTAACCGTCTTGTGCGTTTATCAACTAATGGCGACTAAATAGTAATTTGTACTTCTGTTTCTACAATTATTTCAGTTTAACAATCTCACAAAATAAAACATGCAACCTTGAACTTATATTTTTTTCTTAGAAACTGATGTATCCCAAGGACAAGGAGATCGATTAATTTACTTTTATAGATTCAGCATTTTTAGGTTGTTTCATCTCTTAAGGATAAATTATTAAAATGTCATATTTAGCGACCAAGAACATCTCAATAGATACCAGTTGACTTGCTTTATTTACGAAATGATCCAAATAAACTTTGAAGAAGAAAGGGAACTACAGTAACATACTTTGCCGTGCGCCAGAAACAAATTTCCACAATATTGATTTGTGTTTATAAATTCAGTTCAGTGATATAAATCGTTTATTTGGCATGGAAGAAAATTGGAAGACCATTAATTCTCACAAATTTAATTGAAGACAGCTTTAGAAAAATGTCTCTTAATCATTTTTCAAATCTTAAATGTATTTTTGTTTAGGGATTCTACACCATTCAGGAGACACATCTGCCAAAAGCAACTTGTGATGACGTTCCTGTCTATACATGTTAGCTTTTTTGGCAAAAATTTCGCATCGCACTTTTTGCAAATGGGGGCAGTTTCTGATGAGCCCCGAGAGCAGCTCGTTGTGAATGTCCAGGGCTTGTGGAAAATCTCTGTCTTTGGTCTCCTTTGTGGGCCACTTGAACTCAAACCTGGTATTGAGGAAGGTCAATCTTTGCAGGAATGGCGAGGCCGAGTCGAGGAGGGCGCTCGGCTCGGTGAAGAGGAAGTCGAAAAGCCCGACTTTCTCAAGGTTCGGCGCCAGCAACAGATCCCAGAAGATCATGCCAGGGTCTTCAGCGTCGTCATCAGAGGAGACACTTGCTTTCAGCTTGAGATCCTTCAGCTTTAACCTGGCAGGCTCGACAACGTGCTGCTGGTCTTCTAGACTAAAGTAAGCAAACAGGTGCAGCTTCTCCAGGTTGGGACACAACATTATAATACGACTCAGGTCTACGTGTTCACTAAAAATGTTCGAAACTGTAACTTCAACCAGTTTGGTGCCGACCAGTTCGAGGGCCAGATAGTCCTCAGGGAGGAAAAGGTCATGCATCGATTGCAAATGGGGAAGCTGAGTCAAAATCTCTGGGGACAGTCTATTTCCACTGCCACTGCCGTTCACCCTCTTCAGTTTACTAAGGTGACTTCCAATGCTGCGGGCAAATAAAAATACAGAAAAATAGTAGATTTTTTAAATGAGAAAATAAATTGTTATGACTTTTGTTGAGAAAAATAAAATTAATTGAACTGAAAAAAAAGTTAAAAGAAATACTTCTTACTTTTCCAAAGAGCCCATGATGTCTGCCACCTCTTCCAACATGAATCGCTGTTGAGGATTTTCCGGGATCGACAAGTTTGGCAGTTCAAAGCGATCAGGATCTGTAACATTAATTGGATCCGTCTCTTCATCAATAAATCAATATGGCACAGGGTCAGTAAAATTGTAAAATGCAATGTCAAATGTTATAATTCTGTACATAGTTTGAATCTGAAAAAAAGGGAGACGTTTCTTACTATTGGTGGGATTATTTTGTTGGGAATAATTTAAGATTTAATAAAATAATAAAACAATTTTTTGATTTCAAAAGAAGTCAAGAGGTGGGTGGAAATTTTTTGACCAAATATTTGACGTATTAGTTGTTTAATAAGAAATAAATAGTCAATAAAAAATTAATTTAATTACTTACAGTGCCAATTGCGGATGGATCGGAGCTTGGGCAGCAATTCAAATGCTTTTTGAGGGTTGACAACATCTCTAGGGTTATATCTGCGGTCCAAGCAATCAATGGAAATTTGCTCCAGGGGTAAATTTTCAAGCGAGCGCAGTCCGTTCTCAGTCAAATCTCCGTTCCTTCTCAAAATTATATTCTTCAGGTTTGGGCAGCTTGTACTCAGCACTTGTATGTCACCTGTGTATTCATTTTTAATCAGTAAATAGTTAAATAAATTTGCATAATCATACGATCGGAGAATTCAAAGGTGGTCAGCTGCTGGTCCAAGAGATGGAAAAACTTGGTAAGGTACGGGACAATCAGGTATCCAGGTCTTGGCTTCTGATACCCTTGGTCTCGAATGCTACATAGGTAGGGAGCTGAGGAGGCCAAGCACTGCCAAATTTTCTCAGAATCTTCGCTGAGGACGGTCAGATCTTGTTCAACCACATTGAAATCAAATTTTTGCAGATCTGAGGTTATGAGCTGTTTGAGTGTGCTGAGATCAGGCTGGAGTGAGTTTCTCTCCTCAAGAGTGAAGCCAATGAACATTTTCTGCAAAAAAGATTTAAAAAATAAAATTTCTTATATTGATGCTTCTTATGAAAGAAAAGGATGAAATTATTTACGGACTCTAAATTTTTAGCAACAAATGTATTTTAAGTTCAAAATACTGCTTTAAATTTAAATATTTTTCTCTCAACAAAGCAGATGAAAATAGTTTTGTACCTGGATGATGCAAGAACTGTCTGGAGCGAGGTCAAGGCCAATAAGGGGGGGCAAATCACTTAATCTGACTTCGACTTTCCTGGGAATCAACTCTGTTATGGCCTCGAGGATTGCAGTTTTTAAAGAGTTCGCTGCAAAACATGAATCGTGAGTTGAACTATGCAAATAGCCAAAAGTGTTGCGTTACGAAGGTTGTTGATGGAATCAGGGTCCAGTTTGGGCAAGTTGGAGATGACGGTGCGCATGGCCAGCTCCTGCAAGGGCACCAGGTTCAGTCTCACGGTTTGCAGGACTTTCGCCGCTCCGACCAGATCCCGCGTGCTCGCCCGACCTTTGACCAAGTCTAAATCCCCAAATAAATACGCCATTATATTGCACATTTTTTAAAATCATTTTCATGCAATTTAAAAACAGACCCAAAAAATGGTGCCTCCTAATTAGCGACGATGATGGATGATTCATTTTTGTCGATTTGCCAATGGGTCTGCAGTAACTGGTCCGTCTGAGATAAATCCCAGTCAAGTTAGCAGAGTACAATGAAGTTAATTATTTTTAAAATTACATTTATTATTGTTTTGATTTTTGGATAAACTTGAAGAGAATATGTACAGTATGTAAATCCAACAAGTCCAACAACACCAATGTCGATTGGCATGACACAGAAAGGATTACAATCTATGTTAAGCTTTAACCAGCTGGGGATGAACAACAAAAATCACTTAATGGCTGTATAGCCATTATTGGAAATTTTTTTTTAACGCCTTCTATGCTCTTTGTATATGTCAATAATTTTTATCACTCTCATAATCAGCATTTATTGTGCATCCTTTTCATTATTAATTCGATTGCACTTTTGTTCTCGTAACATTTAATGAAATCCTTTCTTAATGCGGTCAAAGGATTTTATCTAAAAAAATTTTTGAAAATTCAGAACGTAAAATTTAACGAAGAACTGAATATTTCATTTTCATGTTGTGGGCGAATTATCTTTCGTCTTTATTTATATTATATTTTATACAAGTGGAAGTAAAATTTTAATTTAAAGTTAAATAACAAATATTTTTATGATTTCTATTACAAAGTTTTAAAATTAAATCAAAATTTTCACATGTTTTGCATTGTTTATCTTTGATCTGAATATGTAAAGATAATTTAAGTCAAATTATAGAAACTAAAATAATTGTGGAAAATGCATGTACGGCAATTGCAAAAATATTTTATGACATGACAAATAGTTTAGGACTTAGGACAAATAATTTTTAAAAATTTTCGGATAAAATGAAATTAGGGGCATCGCGGATGAAATGAAATTAAACTTTTTTAATTTAAAATAGCATTCATTTTCAATCAAAGTTCCCTTTAAACAATCAGAGTCAGCTAGTGGTAAAAAAATAAACTTAAAAAGTTGGGTTTATATAAAATATAAGCAAAAAAAAATCAACTACCACACCCATTTTTGATTTTGGACTTACAAATCTATTGAAACTCAAAATGCCACGTCCTTTTGATTTTGTGCCGAACACATAAACCAACTTTGAGACAACTGTCCGCCTTTGCCGCTTTCTTACCCACCCTACCCAGCGCCCTGGTCAAAGAGTCAATCACAGACAACCACTAGTTTTTATTTTTACAATTAGAATAAATTTACTTTTGGTTTTCTATAAATATAAATTTCAGGCACTTGTATTTGTAAATAAAAAATTATTTTATTAATTTTCCATTCGCGTAAATATTATTATATTTTGTTTCAATTGTTCTTGATTTTTTTTATTATTGTTTTATAATTTTTAGCACAAGCAGCAGATAATTACAAAATTTCTACAATTCAAATTTTGTGAGAAATTCGGGCCATATTTTACCACTTCCCCAATAAGGGGGTGAAAATCATGAAAAACCGATTTTTTAGTGTACTTTGCATGGGAAAAAAATCTTCGGATGGAAAATTAAATTAGAAGGCACCGTTTTGCCGCGACCTTGTGGTTGTTTTTGATTAACCCTTCGACCAGGGCGTCGGGAGGGGTGGGTTAGAAAGCGGCAAAACGGTGCTAATGGGGTGAAAATCGTGAAAAACCAATTTTTCGTGATATTTTCGCTCTTGCCACACGTTCCCCGCGTTTCTCACTGTTTTTGATTGCATTAGGGACACAATAAAACGCATTTGACAAAGCGGAAGTGTTGCTTTTTTTGATCAAATTGTTGGCGATATCGCTAACTTCACCCATTTTAAAAAATTATTAAAAAAAGCTAGCGATATCGCCAACTTCACTAGAGTTCAAATATCAATTATTACGAGTGAATTTAAAATTTAATGAATTTCTTTTTAAATTGTCAAAATTAGCGCTGATGATGAAGGGGTAAAAACACCCCCGCACGTGGAAATTGGAAAATGTATCATACCTGAAAAATGTTAGGACTAAAAAATCATGATCTAAAGATTACACACTCCTTAGCGCAGGGGGCTGATGATGAAGAAAATCCTGTTCGGAGGCACTCGACTGACCTCAGGACGTGTCCGGGCGAGAAAAAGCTCGTTCTTTGTTCAGAAATGACGACAGAAATTTCGTGTTTCACGGCTCCTGAAACAAAACAATGAGTCAGCTCGAAGTTTTAATTACGCCGATAAGGATAACAAAATCGAAATTGCAGTGCACATCATGTGAACAACGCCGCAGAGTTTTAAACAAATTTTCAATTCAATTAAACCATTAAATCCCGAATTGAACCGTGAAAAACATAAAATTTTCACAAAGAAAAAAATCTTTACAGAAAAAAAGGTAGTGACAAAAACAATTACAAAAAACTCCCGACGCGACTGCGGTACGAAAAAGATCCGTTTTTTTCCGCGTTTAGTGCGCGATTCAGAGGCCGAATGACTGATTAAACCAAGATTTTTTCTCACTCGTAAAATAATGACGCCGTTGCGTTGACAGCCGAAAAGGATTGCCGACGAAATTCAGCTCAAAAAAGCCAACACGCACTACGGATTCTCGTGGGCAGAAAAGCCACAAGATGTCCGGCTTGGCGTCGGATTTCTTTGCGATGAAAAACTGCACATTTCTGTCTTTTCTGCTCTCCGACTTGTCTGGACTTGTTGCAAGGAGAGTGGGATTCAGTCATTGATTGATTTACCAGATTATTAGGTCCATGGATTCAGTATCATAATCATTCAGTGAATTGTTTTGGTGAAAGCTGTCGCGGTAGGGGAAGGAGGCACTTTTTTACCCCTCCGCTCGATGCTCGATTCCGCTCCCCCATATTTTGCTCGCTCTATATCTCGTGGTGCCACCTAGTGGCGCAGTTTAAAATTATTATCAAGTCAATGGAATGCGGAGGCGGCTTCGCGGGCTGTTTCTCTCCCGGCGCAGCAATTTTTGTCAAGACTTGTCGAAACTTGTTTGAGCAATTCCTTTTCTTGTGTAACTGTATTCAATAATCGCAAGCCTCCATCTTATTCGCTCCATCTTCCAGATAATTAACTTCATTTTACGACCAGAGTGGCGTCTGACGTGGGGTGCCGTCGTTTCTCTCTCTCTGCGCAGTTTTTCTTCCCTCGGACACGAATGTGATTTTCCACACCAAACACTTTCCCACACAGACACGCGGCCGTCGTCGCCGCTGCGGCTGCGAATTCTTTCCGACGCAGTGTGCTGGGCAAGTCTTGTTTCTTTTTTTTTATGCGTCGACGCTCGTCTGCGTCAGAGTGCCCTGCGTCTGCTTTTTTGGTCCATCTCGGCCTCACGTCGTAAGTATATTCGTCTAAAACTTCCATATTTTCATGTTTGCTGATATTATTGTTCTCTCTTTTTTATTGCAAAGGCTGAAAATTCCAGAGGCAAAGGATAATCTCTTGTTTGCGTCCAAGCTTGAGAAGGTGTCCGCAACCATACACCCGCTTGACCTTGGCAGGTTGCAAGGTCATGCTAGTTGGTCATGGTGGAGCTGAAGAGGTATTTTAGTAGTACATTGATTATTATTTAACTTTCATGTATGTTTTTTTCTGATCTAGTTAAAATTTCCAGATTTTGCATTTCAACAAAGCTACATTGCTGACCATTTGGCCTCAATTTCGCCAAATAAGTTTGGAGAAGATTTGTGTTGCCTCGCCAAGCCAGCCTAGCTGTCTCAAGCCTGAACCGTGTTGGCCGAATTTGCTGAAAAGCAGCCACTAAGATTCTTCAAGAGTATAATTTAATCTTATCTGCGTTAATTTGTTTTATTAAAACATTTATAATTTTTACACTTTTAGATTCGTTCACCTCTCGAAGATTTACCTCGATCCACTTGATATAGATAATGCTTTGCTGAAATTTTTAACCTTGCGAATCGTTTTCGCATCAATTCCCTCATCGGTTATTGCGTGGAGATTTGGAGCTCAACCTGTGTGTGAGGATGATCATGTTTGGCTATGTTCCTGAATGCTGTGCTCGGTGAGACGGAGAAGGAAAACTACAATGTGAAGATAAAATGTGCCAAGGTAATTAAATGCTCTAAATTACCATTTGGTCTGAAACTTTAATTCTTTATGGGTGAAAACACAGTAAGGTGCTTGGAGCATCCCTCGTCTATGAAAACAAGTGAGAAGAGCATAATTTCCATGCTCCAGTTACAAGATTTTAATGTTACACTTTCGAGAAGCAACTCATCGACTTCTGCGCTAAATGGGCCAAACAGTTTCCAAGCAGCAGATTTGTTATTGCTTTAAATTTTTATTTGCACAGACATTTTGTTTATTTATTCCTTAAAATATAGAAAGGTCATGCGAGGGCTTCTTCCTCACCTGCGAGTCTTGACTCTGAAAGCCAGCCAAAGCTACAGAGCTCTCTGCCTTGCCTTTATGACAAAGTCAAAACATTTTGTTTTGGTGGACCTTGCAACCAGAAGCAGTTCTTCTGGCCAAGAGAGTCCTCTGCTCTGCCACCACGGCTCGGTCCCACCGTGGCTTAACATTTGTGTCATTTCTGGTTCGTCAAGTGTTCACCGTTGACCGCATCAAGTCTCATGCCCAAGAGATACTCGACAAACGAGCAGAGAAGACCTTGACAAATGTGGTCAACTTCTCCGTCAAAGAAGATGTCAACCTAGCCAAGGTGGGCATTCTCAGCCTGGCTTTGCTAACTATGACCAAGTAGAGGTATAGTTACTGCCAGTAATAAGCTCGTAGTTGGAGACAATTTTGGTTCGAGGGTGGAATAGCATTAAGCATTAAAGCTCAATTATTTATAAATCACAGGAAATAAGTTTTGCTCAGAATTACTTTGAATTGATGTATTGGGTTTGCAATTTCACCCAACCAATAACATTGTCTAAAGGATATGTTTTTTTATAACATTCACTTTCATATAATGCGTTTGAGCAGAAAACTCTGGTAAATTAAATTGCAACCAGCACTGCAAAATTCTTTCCAAACAGGCGTCTTAAAACATTGCAACTTTGGTTGTGTCATATATAATTTAATAGTGTGAAAGTAATCATTTTTCTGTACCTAATATAAAAAGCATCATATGATTAATCTAAACCAGAAATGCTATTGAAAAATGCACGCTCTTGCTTTTGTTGTAGGGCCGAGTGCGCGGCGCAGAAGCTGGGGCGCCAGAGTGGGTCGCGCGCGCCTGCTGACGGCGTTCAGTGTCGGTGGGGCGACGCTTGCAGGCGGATGGACACCCTGTACGCGGCCAGGGTGCACGGTTTTGCGGCCCCGGGGCTTGTCAACCTGACAGGCCTCGAGGGCCACGAAGGCCTCTTGTCGCTGGTGGCCGTCTCTCGCCGCGCTTGTCTTTGCTTTCATCACTTACATGTACAATTTAAACTGAAAGATTGGTAATTTTTCTCTTTCTTCTTTAAGTATGCGGGTTTCTATTCCTTTGCGAAATTCAATTCAAGGTTAATTTTATTGCAAAGCTAAAGAAAAATTGAGCAGCAAAGTCTCAGCATTTTGCAAAATTAGAACGTGATAAATAATTTTCAGTATTATAGAAGTTTTTATAAAAGAATAATATAGTTTGTCGATCTTCAGATTAAATGATTTGAAATTCTAAAATCGTAAAACACACAATCCATCTAAAGCTTTCCTAGATGAGTTCTTTAAGTGCGGTTTGATTTATTAATGCATTTTCTTTTAATTTTTATTTCTCATAAAAGCAGTTTTTTTATTTTAACTTTCAAGTTTCAATTCAGTCTTGAAAAAAAACTATATATTTATAATTTTAGCAGATTTTTAGAATGCTGCTAGTTTTTATGGAAATGAATGAATGCCAGTTTTTACCTTGGAAGAAGTGTCAAGAGGTTGAAATCAAGTTAACCTAAATTTAAATAATTTTAGGGCGATATATATTATCCTTACTGGAATTGGTAAAAAAGAATTAAAATTCAATAAAAAAATTGAGATGTTGCATAATTAATTAAAATATTTTGCAGTTTTTTCATACTTTTCTATTTAAATAACACAGAAGAATTTTATTATTTTTGATGCCAAATTTTAAATTTGTTTTATAAATCGCGAATTTCTTGAAAATTTACTTAAAAATAGTTATTATTCAAAATATGACTCTCCCTGTTACATAATAAAACATTTTTACGGTTAAAACAAGATACAGAAAACTCTTTCAGAACTATTAATAAAATATTGACTTTTCCCGCAAATAAAAATGAGATATCCTTTTTAAGGCTTATGGAGCCATTCAAGTTGAGCGGAAAATATCCGGAAAAGCGTGGTCTCTTGGTATATAAAGTCAAGTGTGCGCTCATGAAACTTGAAACGCCGAAAACGTTAGGGTCTTTTACAAAGTTGAGCAATTTACGGCGCAAAAAAGGACGGTCTTTTCCGTGTGGCGAAAAACTTACTCGAAGGAAAAGTATAAAATTAGCTTTGCTGCAAAGTTCATTTCAGATGATAAATGTTGGCAGGATAGGACGCGCGATATCGACTTCGAGAAAAACCACTGAAAAAGGCTGTCTGTTTGCATTTTAGATTGCGAAACTTCGCCGGAATAAAAATCAAGAGGCTCGGAGAGAATAAAGAAGGGACTCTCTCCCTCTCCCTCCCTCTCGTTATATGTTTCAATAATTTGCACAAGTTGAGGCGGAGCGGTGGATAAATGTAGATTTTTAAACCGCGTTCCCACATTGAATGGCAGGGATAAAATAAACAGGCGTGTTATGGAAGAAAATAAAACAAGTTGTTAAACCACAAAATAACAACATTTTCAACAGTTTAAGTTAGCTCTGAATATTAGTGCTTATTGTTAGTTGGCCCGTTTGATGCTTATCACACTTTTTTTTTTTTTAATTTGTTAACTAAAAAAATGAATTTTTCCCCCTTTTTATGGAAGCAATTGAAGTTTTGGTCATATCAATTTCAGGTTTTTCACAGGGTGAAAGATACAAATTTATTTATTTTTCCTCCATTCAGTAAGATAGACCAAATTTAACTTTCTTTTGCAAAAATTTACCAAGGGAAAATCCAAAGCGACTCAATTTAACGTCGCCAAAATTTACGGGCTTAATAAATTTTAGATTGATTTACTCCCGTTTCGATTTTTATGCAGTAACTTATGCTAATTTCAAATAATCCCATTAACTTCAGAAAATTTGGTCACATTTTTAACATCAATTTTGATACATTATTCAAATACCTATCAGAAAATGCAACCATTTTAATTATATATAGAATCTTACTAGATTGATATATTCAACGATGCGATTTCTTTTTCTTTTGAAGACCTGCAATGTGCTTTTTTGTGGTTCAGTGTTTCTCTTACATACAATTATTTTCTGGGCACGGCTCTATATAACATTAATTGTAAACTTGAAAACATGCATTCCGCAAATTCCAATCCAGAGCATATTGTAGAGTGTGGAGTTGCGCTCAGCGAGGATTTTTTTTTTATCTTTCACCTCATAGTTATGACTTAATTATGATTTAGGTCAGAGATTGCAGTAAACACAGGCCTGAAAAGAGCAAAATTTTATAATTCTTTTCATTTAAAAAGTTCAATAAAATATAACTAGCGCCTCGATTTATACAGTTAACACGCGAGTGGGAATCACAAATCTCGCAGCAGCCGCCCAGGCGTGTGTTCCTCTTTAACAACCCTTCATATTCAGTTGGTGGAATAATATATTTCATCAAGAGAGCATGATATGCAACCGAGCGGCGCGCCAGACCAAAACTCTCTGTTTGCTTTAAAAATATGTGCAAGATTTGAACGCCGAAACCAAAAATAAAAAAAATTCTCTGCCTTAATTTGACAGAGTGCGCACGCATAAATTGGGAAAAAACGACCCTTCGTAATTAATATTTTTCTGCGCGTCAATTTAATAAAGTTGCTGAGAGCGAAATTTAATTAAAAGTGGCCCACGCAAAGTCCAAAACCGCCGTGACGACGCAAGGTCTCGGCTGCTTTTGCGCCGGGGCTAATTTACTTTGGGCCGGAATTTATTATTATTATATTTTTCTTTGAAGCAAAAAGCGCACAATGTGTCGGCAATTCAGAGAGGGCGAGATTCTGTTTCCTCTTATTTTCTACTCCATCGCAAAAAGGAAAAGAAATTGAGCGGAGGGAAAAGGTCCCCTTTCAAGATCCACGCAAAAAGAGAGCCTTTGTGCAATCAATTTGAAGGCTGCGTTCGCAAAACAGCACAATAAAGTGTGTTGTTCAACTCTCCCTGGAGGCGATGAGAAGAGAATTCTTTGATGGGAGGCTTAATTAATTTGATCTCGAGTCCTTTTCTCTCTTTTCCTTTCACTCAAACAAAAGAGTCGAAGCGTGTTTAATTTTTTTAACACTTACGGCCAACACAATTTCCACAGCAAATTAACGAAGGGAATAAGCAGGACGCAGCCTTCAACTCGTTTTGATTAATAAAAAATTAATGCACTGGAAAGAAAATGAAATAATACAATATTCCATAAATTTTAATTAAAACTCGGAATTTTCATTTAATGTTCTATTAAATAGCAACAATAAACAAGTGATGAAGCTTTCTGTTTTAATTAATGGTGGAAATGCTCACTTACAATGCAGTAGTGTATATTACGACAGGTCTAAAACATTTATTCTAAACCTCTCTGGGTCAATAAACCTCGTTCGAAGGTTAATAACAGCTCGCAGACGATCGTACAACTTCGGCTCATGTAATACCACCAACAGAATTGCGCTTTAATATGCGCCACTTATCAGACAGCGACGGCACCGGCGGGTAAATCTCAATCGATGTTATACGCTCGTCTGCGAGCTGACATTTACCTTCGAACGAGGTTTATTGACCCAAAGAGATGTAGAATAATTGTTTTAGTCACCGCGTATTATATACTACTCAATGCTAGCTAATTTTAGAACAATTAGAACCCAATTAAAACCCATTAATTATTAATATAAGTCTAAACCATGAGCTTATTGTGCTGAAAAATGGACCAAAAATTTCAACTCCATTAAAATAATGATAAATTAGTAAAAAAATAATTTTGTCTTCAAATTAATTTTAATGCTGCGTTTATTTGCAGGACCACGATTTGTGTTGGTCGCTGGCGTTGGCGCTGCACTACATGCGGCTGAGCGTGTTCTGCTGGCTGGCCGCGATGACTTTTGACCTGTACTGCTGCTTCCGGGAGAACGCGTCGCTGGTGGCCGCCCTGCCGACGCCGCCCGCCCTGCGCCAGTCCTTCGCGCGCCTCTTGCTGTTTGCGTGGGGCGCCCCCTCCTCCCCACGCTGGCCGCCGACCTCCTGCAGATGCGCCCCGCGGCCGCCGGCCTCTCCGACCCCAACTGCTGGTTCCTCGACGACATGCCCGTGGCGGCCACTTTCGCCGTCCCGGCCGCCGCCCTCCTCGTCGCCGACCTCGCCTTCCTGGTGCGCGCCGCGGCCGTCGCTCGCGCGGCCGTCGGCCTCCAAATTGAGCAGCGTGTCAAGGTTCAAACATTCATCAAAATACATTTTTTTTTAAATTAAAAAGTAAAGAATGAATAGTAATCTTGCACTAATTAATTTCATTCATATTCAATTTTAGTGGGTTTTTTTTAAGTTGTTAGTCTTCATAATTATAACCCTCATAATTTAAATTTATTAATTAGGCTAAACTACCACTAAATAATGCAATGATTTTTAAAAAAATGGAATAATTGTTCAAGAGAGAAATAAACGGAAAAATTATTATGGATTTTTTTTTTTTTTTTTAAATTAAAAGTTTGATATTTCTACAATTTGCATTTACATTAATGATTACTTTATTGCCTCTGATTCGAGTTTCTAATAAATTGAAAAATCTCCTTCGATCCTCATTTAACAAACTGAAGTTCATAGAATAATTAAGCCTAAAGCTTCTGTATGAAGTAAATTATTGCCTGTGGATGAATTTAAAATTTGCTTTCAACGTGTTCCGCTACTTTCGATGTATCAATTTAAAACAAAATAAAATTAAAGTCCTCCCTCTCTCCTTTTATAAGGGTCAAAATTTAAGCAAGAAATGATCAATTCCTTCCTTATCAATTAAGAAAACCACAATTTAAATCGGTTTTCTTTCTTAAAAATTTGAAAATTGAGATTTTTAAACGATATTGATTGAATTTTTAAAGTAAGGTTTACTTTTAAACAACTTGCTCTCTTTGATTTAAGCCTAATGATTGAAATTTTAATCCGCAGGCCAAGATGCTGCGCAGGCGACGGCTGCAGTTGTCGCTGTTTTTCTGGCTGGCTGCCTTCCTGGCCGTGGTCAGCGCCGTCGGAGTGTTCGGCCGCCTCATTCACAGCCAACTGCTGCTGGCCGTGTTCAGCGTGGCCGCCGGTCTGCAGGGCCTGGTGATGGCGCTCAGCGTGGCCTGCAGCTGCCGCGTCCTCAAACTGTACACGCGGCCGCCTCCCGCGGCCAGGCCGGGAGCGCTGCACAAGGCGCCCAGCGCCATGCACCTCCTCCAGTGCGACGCCTCTCCGGTCTGATTGTGAGACCACAAAAATTTCAACTTTAACATAAATAATCGTCTGCATATTACCCCCATACAATCCATAATTGTAAAACTAAATGCAATCTCTGAATTAATAAATGTCGAATTTGGTGTATATTTAAAAGAATTTTATTTCATTTGTTACAAATTTAGCTTTTATTCCTGTTATCCATTTTGTCTGTTATGTGTGCAAGGGAGACATAAATTAGAATTTTTTTAATGAATGAAGGGCAAGTAAACATCAACTGTCTCATTTTTTGGCATCTATTTATAATTTATAAAAACGACAAAAACTAATTGGTCTGCGACTGTCTTTGAGGCAAAAAAATAATACATAGATATGATTTGGAAACAAAAATGCCAAGTTTGTTTGGTCAACTCGACTGCTTTTGAGAAAACACGACTGATCGTAAAACCATCAGAACTCCTCTTTCATTAAGTGAAATGGAAGAGGAGTGTTGGACCAAATTCTGGCCAATCATTTTTCTCAGTTTATTTATCTACCACTTAAGTTAAATGAGTTACTTAAATACTTTATCATTCTCAGAAATTAGAACATTAAGGCATAATGTCAGTTCTGCAAATAAAAATTAACAAGAGTTGTATATTAACTCTTTCGCACATAATTATACACTATGTTAATGATAAACTAAAACATTTTTTTTGAGATGAGATGACATTATAGACATTCACTTTGATAACACACTTTACACAATAAGGCCAAAGGACTCTTGCAAGATGGTGGAGAAATTGAATATTTGACCCCAGGGCTAAGTTTATTTTTAAAAATGTTTTGATTAGAATCAGTGACCGAGTAGAAAAATCGAGGCAAAAGGAAAGGAGTCTGCGTCCCAAAGGGAGAACCATACAAGGAATCATTCTCTTACACAAAATTGTTTTTAGTTCAAATATCCTCCCTACAATTATTGACTTGTCATATGTACATGTAGCATTATTAAAACAATGAAACGAAGTAGCTCATATATCAATATCAGCTGCATGGCACCATCAAATAATAACGCATAGTGTGTAGTAAGTAACAATTATTTCTTTGCTTGCACAAATCACTCAAACTTTGAAAGAGGGAAACAGCTTAAAGTTTTTTCTTTGTACCAATACTTGAGTGATGTAAACTAAATGCAACTTTTAATGCTGGTCTCCAGCCGGACCAGGGGCAATTCCTTCATGCTCCCCCTGTTGTTGATCAAGAGGAGGACCTTGTTGTGGGGCCAGAAGGGGCGCGTCTCCGGCGGCTCCCTGCAGATGAGCTCCTGGAGCTTCAAAATACTCGACAAAACCCCTCTGGTGATACTCCTCGGCAGCCCTTTGACGGAGGGCATAGAGGTCTGAAAATAAGAAGAAATAAGAAATAAATAATAGTACTTTATTATTGAACATTTAAATTTAGGGACCAATCACAAATTAATTGACACCTGGTAAGTGTATAACTTATGAGCGTAGAATTAAATTTACAAATATCTTAAATTTAAAAATAGTTTGGCATAAAAAGATGCCTTCATGTCCTAGGGTAAATTCCGTTCATATATAAAGAAAGTTGTAAGAAGTTTTTTTGTTTTAAAAAGGCATCAACAAATATAGTATTCATTTTTTAAAATTTGGTCACATCCCTCGTATAATCTTAAAAATCTGATAGTGATGAAGAAAAAGTTGTAATAATTTTGTTTGTGATCGAGGTCCTATTTATAAAAATCCATATTACTGTCACTCAGAAGAAAACGAAGCCCCATGTGCCAGCACAAGGTGGGGATATATCTTATCCCGATTCTCGAGATATCATTAAGCCTCCTTCTCAGAAAGCTGGGCAGGTCGGCCATCCGATGTCCTCCTGGAGGCAACGCATCAAATTCAAAGACGAGCGATCGGGCATCGACGATCGCATCGACGACTTGTGTTTTAATGCGTTGCCGGCTTCCAAGTGCTGTAATAATAAATGCAAGAATAGTTATTTTTTAATCTCAATCCTGCATGTTTGAGTGTCGAAGAAAGCAGAAAGTTGGTGACGATGAAAATTAAAAATAAATATGCGTTAGAATGAATCTATTGTTAAAATCAAGATACACTTATACTGAATCATATACTGAATGCATCCAGTCAACTTGGCGTTTTTGGTCAACAGTATACACGTGAAATAGATAAAAAAAATTATTAAAGGCCAAATTCTGTTACATTAAATAGTGTTGTTTGTATAATTTGTAAGATTTTTGGGAATTATTTTCGCCATAATATTGATAAAATGAACTTTGAAGAAAAAGGTGAACAATTGTTGGTTCTTTTTTTGCAAAAAAAAAAACGCATAAAACCTGCAACGCATGAATGCGCACAGCTGCACGGGGATGAAACCTTACATTAATTATGTATGCGGCCTAAGGCCCGCTTTCAATTCTGGGCCTACTTCCTTTGTATTTCTTATTTAGGATATAAGAATAAGTGAAAAAGAATAACGTACGTCCTGTGAAGTGCAGTCGCAAGAACTCTGGGTTCCAACAGCAAATCAGCGCATAGAGCGCATCGGGCATAGTATTCATCAGGGCACGATTGCCCGTCGCTGAACACTTAAGCAGGTCACTGGCGAAGGGCAAGATCGACCTGTCTCGAAAACGTACAGAATTTCCTTGGTTTTGCTGCTGCATCGTTCACTTCTGAATTGATATAATACTGCAAAAAAAAGGCAGACAACAACGAAAACAATAAAAAAACAATGGCATGCAAGTGGTGGTGGGCGTTGGCGCTCGTTTCGCTCTGTGGGCTTGACGCGCCAAAAAGTCAAATTTGGCGGCAATATCAAATCCGTCACAGAAAGAAATATGAGAGCAATTTTTTTTGGCGCCGAGGGCAACTGGCTGAATCAGTCGGCCTCTTTTCGGCCTGCGATTAAAGATCTTTATGGAGATAACTCTTGTAAAAAGTAGTGAGAAAAACTATGAATAAACCGCTACATAATGAGAAACATATATATGCATTTATACTATTTATGCAAAATTGCCATCATCTCCCAACGGCTGAAAAGCTGAGACGCTCAGTCATTCTTCAAATTTCAAATGAATTAAATTACCCCTTGAATCCGTTTTTTAATTTAATTTAACATTCATGATAAAAAAAAATCAGATACATCCAGTACCAAAAAAAATGTCCAACTTTCATATTTCCAAAATACATATAGATTAAATGATTTTTTCATCCTGTCCTATCGAGTTTAGGAAAAAACTGAAAAAAGTAATTAATTATTTTATGTTAATTAACAACACTTTATGGATATAGTTTGGAATAATTTTCACACTGCGGAAACATGCAGAGCAATATAGTTATTAAAAAGTTATTTTCATTTGAAAACTTTTTATTTGGATTTAAGCAAGAACTCTCCGAGGTATAGTTTGCAGGATGCTCGTCAAAAAGGTGCCCCAACCTCAGCAGAAAGTGTACTGAGAAACTTTAAGATGTGCTGCCCTTTATACTGCAGCTGAACTTAGTTTTATTTCCTCACAGACAACATCTGCAAAGAAAGTGACCGCCTCTGACACAAATTATTCCGACAAATCTTTTAAACCTCCAGCCTCCTCTCAACTGAACATTCAATTCCACTAACAAAATTAAAATTTGTTCTGGAAATATACAAATTAACTACATATTGGATACAATAAAATAAAATCATTGACTTACTACCTCAAAAACAAGCTCAGTGAGAAGGATGAGGAATTATTTTATCATCTTAAGCTCAAGCTATAATAAGCTTAACTAAATTTTAACAACAGACACTAATTTATTACTCATCTTGAACTTTTAAATCTGGTACATTTTGGGTTAACAGTGAGATTGTACAGCAGTACATCAAAATAAAGCAATTCTGAATATCAAACTTTCTCCCATATTTTTAGCACATGTTTATATATTTGGTATATCTTTGAAAATTAGAAGATGATGTTCTTAAAGGTGGTGCGGTCTGCCAAGTCTAGTCGGGCAAACTTGATGCTGCGACAAGACCCTCGGTGCGTTTCTGGCTGGAGGTGTCGTAGAATTTATAATAGCCAGCCTTCTTCAGCTGCATGACCACCTCGGGGTACGTGGCGCCCTTCGCAGCGCAGAGGCTGCTCAAGCTCGACAGTAGCCTCTGCGTCGTACGGGACTTCGGCCTCCCAGTCCAGAGCCAACAACTTCCGCAGTCCGTCGTTCACAATAAGACGAACACTCTCTTGATAAGACGCTTCCTGAGGACGCCAATCTGCGACTCCCGGAATCTGAATCAAGATTTTTTTGAAAATTAAAAAAGTTTTGTAAATTCAAATATTACATTTGCCAGGAAGAAAGGGTCGCATGTCTGGTTGCTGATGGTGAAGCCGCGGAGGCGCACCTGAGGCGATAGACAGCGCAGACCCAGCGCCGAAATTCAGAGTGGGCAGCGAAGTACATGGGAATGCTCGGCGTGGCACAATTAATCTACGAAATGAACTTATGCGCCGCCTTTGATAATAAATAACAAGTATCAGAGCACTGAAAACAACTCTATAGTCCAAAACTAGCTCTGGCTGATTTATAAAAAGTGAAAATTTTTAAATTCACCTTCTACTAAAATAAAAGACGCGCGCATGGATTGATACGTCTATTGTTTGCCATGTTATTAGACCCTGAAGTCGACTCTCATTAAACCAAATCTAGCCCTGGCTGTTTTTTAAAAAGTGAAAATTTTTAAATTAATCTTCTATTAAAATAAAAGACGCGCGCATGGATTGATACGTCTATTGTTTGCCATGTTATTAGACCCTGAAGTCGACTCTCATTAAACCAAAACTAGCCCTGGCTGATTTTTAAAAAGTGATAATTTTTAAATTCATCTTCTATTAAAATAAAAGACGCGCGCATGGATTGATACGTCTATTGTTTGCCATGTTATAAGACCCTGAAATCGACTCTCATTAAACCAAAACTAGCCCTGGCTGATTTTTAAAAAGTGATAATTTTTAAATTCATCTTCTATTAAAATAAAAGTCGCGCGCATGGATTGATACGTCTATTGTTTGCCATGTTATTAGACCCTGAAGTCGACTCTCATTAAACCAAAACTAGCCCTGGCTGATTTTTAAAAAGTGATAATTTTTAAATTCATCTTCTATTAAAATAAAAGACGCGCGCATGGATTGATACGTCTATTGTTTGCCATGTTATAAGACCCTGAAATCGACTCTCATTAAACCAAAACTAGCCCTGGCTGATTTTTAAAAAGTGATAATTTTTAAATTCATCTTCTATTAAAATAAAAGTCGCGCGCATGGATTGATACGTCTATTGTTTGCCATGTTATTAGACCCTGAAATCGACTCTCATTAAACCAAAACTAGCCCTGGCTGATTTTTAAAAAGTGATAATTTTTAAATTCATCTTCTATTAAAATAAAAGACGCGCGCATGAATTGATACGACTATTGTTTGCCATGTTTTTAGACCCTGAAATCGACTCTCATTAAACCAAAACTAGCCCTGGCTGATTTTTAAAAAGTGAAAATTTTTAAATTAATCCTCTATTATATAAAAGACGTGTGCATGGATTGATACGTCTATTGTTTGCCATGTTATAAGACCCTGAAATCGACTCTCATTAAACCAAAACTAGCCCTGGCTGATTTTTAAAAAGTGAAAATTTTTAAATTAATCCTCTATTATATAAAAGACGTGTGCATGGATTGATTCGTCTATTGTTTGCCATGTTATTAGACCCTGAAGTCGTCTCTCATTAAACCAAAACTAGCCCTGGCTGATTTTTAAAAAGTGATAATTTTTAAATTCATCTTCTATTAAAATAAAAGTCGCGCGCATGGATTGATACGTCTTTTGTTTGCCATGTTATTAGACCCCTAAATCGACTCTCATTAAACCAAAACTAGCCCTGGCTGTTTTTTAAAAAGTGAAAATTTTTAAATTAATCCTCTATTATATAAAAGACGTGCGCATGAATTGATACGACTATTGTTTGCCATGTTATTAGACCCTGAAATCGACTCTCATTAAACCAAAACTAGCCCTGGCTGATTTTTAAAAAGTGAAAATTTTTAAATTCATCTTCTGTTAAAATAAAAGACGCGCGCATGAATTGATACGTCTTTTGTTTGCCATGTTATTAGACCCCTAAATCGACTCTCATTAAACCAAAACTAGCCCTGGCTGTTTTTTAAAAAGTGAAAATTTTTAAATTAATCCTCTATTATATAAAAGACGTGCGCATGAATTGATACGACTATTGTTTGCCATGTTATTAGACCCTGAAATCGACTCTCATTAAACCAAAACTAGCCCTGGCTGATTTTTAAAAAGTGAAAATTTTTAAATTAATCCTCTATTATATAAAAGACGTGTGCATGGATTGATTCGTCTATTGTTTGCCATGTTATTAGACCCTGAAGTCGTCTCTCATTAAACCAAAACTAGCCCTGGCTGATTTTTACAAAGTGAAAATTTTTAAATTAATCCTCTATTATATAAAAGACGTGCGCATGAATTGATACGTCTTTTGTTTGCCATGTTATTAGACCCTGAAGTCGTCTCTCATTAAACCAAAACTAGCCCTGGCTGTTTTTTAAAAAGTGAAAATTTTTAAATTAATCCTCTATTATATAAAAGACGTGCGCATGAATTGATACGTCTTTTGTTTGCCATGTTATTAGACCCCTAAATCAACTCTCATTAAACCAAAACTAGCCCTGGCTGTTTTTTAAAAAGTGAAAATTTTTAAATTAATCCTCTATTATATAAAAGACGTGCGCATGAATTGATACGACTATTGTTTGCCATGTTTTTAGACCCTGAAATCGACTCTCATTAAACCAAAACTAGCCCTGGCTGATTTTTAAAAAGTGAAAATTTTTAAATTCATCTTCTATTAAAATAAAAGACGTGCGCATGAGTTGATACGTCTATTGTTTGCCATGTTATTAGACCCTGTTGTCGACTCTCATTAAACCAAAACTAGCCCTGGCTGTTTTTTAAAAAGTGAAAATTTTTAAATTAATCTTCTATTAAAATAAAAGACGCGCGCATGGATTGATACGTCTATTGTTTGCCATGTTATAAGACCCTGAAATCGACTCTCATTAAACCAAAACTAGCCCTGGCTGATTTTTAAAAAGTGATAATTTTTAAATTCACCTTCTACTAAAATAAAAGACGCGCGCATGGATTGATACGTCTATTGTTTGCCATGTTATTAGACCCTGAAGTCGACTCTCATTAAACCAAATCTAGCCCTGGCTGTTTTTTAAAAAGTGAAAATTTTTAAATTAATCTTCTATTAAAATAAAAGACGCGCGCATGGATTGATACGTCTATTGTTTGCCATGTTATTAGACCCTGAAGTCGACTCTCATTAAACCAAAACTAGCCCTGGCTGATTTTTAAAAAGTGATAATTTTTAAATTCATCTTCTATTAAAATAAAAGACGCGCGCATGGATTGATACGTCTATTGTTTGCCATGTTATAAGACCCTGAAATCGACTCTCATTAAACCAAAACTAGCCCTGGCTGATTTTTAAAAAGTGATAATTTTTAAATTCATCTTCTATTAAAATAAAAGTCGCGCGCATGGATTGATACGTCTATTGTTTGCCATGTTATTAGACCCTGAAGTCGACTCTCATTAAACCAAAACTAGCCCTGGCTGATTTTTAAAAAG